AAAAGAAGTGAATTTAACTCTCAAACCATCAAAATGTAATTCTGGTTTAAATAAAGTTTCTGTTTTAGGTCATACTATTTCTGGTTTTGGAATACTTCCAGATGAAAATAAATTACAAAAATTAAAATTTGCAAAAGAATTAAAATCAGTGTTGGGTTTTTCTTTCGTCTAATAGAAAATTTGCTTTGTTGACTGTACCATTAAACAAATTATTACAAAAGCATTTGACAAATTGTTGATATTTTTGCAGAATCCTCGATTACCGCAACATTTTGACAGTTCTAATGATGTTATAACGAGATTATATGTGATTGGATCATCCCCATCTTTCATTCATTTCATTTTCATTTCACATATAGAAATTTTATTTATAATTTATTGCACTAATAACAAAGACATCTAATAACAGGCATTAAAGTATGTATTAAAGGTAAAAATACAAATTAATATAGAAATTAATTTATTCACTTGACATTGGCAGAATTGTGCGAATTGCGCTTACTGGTGATCACTTGCGTCTGAGTAAGACTGGCGAAATTTCGTTCAAGGTATTTTATGCCAAATGCGGAGTCAGAGATAAAACATTACATAAAAACTTATGTGGTGTGTCAAGAAAAGAAGTTATCTCATATAATATCGCCATTACAACCAATATCAGTTGATTTATTATTTGAACTCATAGAGATTGAGATTTTAGGACCACTAAACAGATCCATATCAGGTAAAAGGTATATTATTACGTGTGCTGAGGCATTTTCTAAATAGGCCATAAATGTAGGGCTGTCTTTAGAGCATCGGCTCAGTCGTTGAGTAATTTTCTTGTAGAAGAGGTATTTTGTATATTTGGAACGGTTTGTACAATACTGTCAGATAAAAGGTTGACTTTTACTTCAAGGGCAATGAGAGATACCGTGATTGAAAGGATCCGGCATCCAGCTAGGAGGGCCTTTATGTATCTTCAGTAACGGCTTTGTACCACCCGCTCACTCGCAAAAAAATGCACATGCACATGCGACCAACCAATCTCGGCACCACCACTATATACACGTGTTTCGCCCCCCGAAGTTGTTAAACAGTCGTAAACGCGTTGCAACTTTCTAGGATGCGGCTGGGCTGATGTGAGACGATCTTATCAGCACATTTATTTACCTTAAAAAATATGCAATGTAATTTTTTATAAGTACAAAAATAGGCTTCTACCGTCCGAAAATATGTTACAGTCTAGTAACACAATCCGTCTTATGATATTAACTAGCTTTTGGCCGCGTCCGCGTGGTATAGTTACTTTGGGCAGTATATATTTTCCAAAAACGCTGTTGTTTTTATACCTTGATGTTTAAGTTCGAAGATATTACAAAAAAAAACCAACAAAAATCCAATATTTTTTATCACTTTGTCTTTGAAAATTTTAGAGATACAATATTAATCCAATCCAATCCAATTTGAAATACAGATGAAAAACAGTTCTGAAGTTTACACAAAACTTAATCGAAAACGCAACATTCTTTGAAAGAAACGTTAGAGCAGATTACTTTAAAATAAACGCCATCTAGCATTGCAAAGCTTAAATTTCTTACTACATTTTATTTTAAAACTCAGTACTCTACTATCAATACTTTAAGATCTAAAATGAAATTGAGAATTTTAACAGATTTGTATATCATGATGTGTTGTTAACTTTTTGGCAAAATATTTATTATCTATGTTGGCAGCACTTTACAATATGTTCATTCTATAAATTCAGGTCAGTCACGGGATGGGTGACCAAAAATTAGTATCTCGAGCTACTCCGTGCTTCGGGAGGCATGTAAAGCCCGGAAGCATCTGCATTCGTTAACACCCTCCAATCTGCATCGGGCCACCGTGGAAGGTCAAGGCCCATCCTCCTTATTACCATCTAACGAAGGCCTGAGCCCTTGAGTATGGAGGTAAAAGGGCTGATGATGAAATAATATTTCTATTTGTAATGCAAATTTTTTTTTCAATAAACGTCTTACTATTTATCATATATATGTAGTGGCCATATCGTAGAATTGATGATTTTATGATCCGGCAGGCCATTTGATCAAATCATTTAAGCGTCAACGTTAAATGATATGTCAATCCACGCTTGGTCATATCATTAATTCAAAAAACTCAGATACCAATTTTCATCGCTATACAATAAAACATTTTGTAAATAATATTAGGTAAATTTATTACAATGATAAATCAGATTGTAAACAATGTTTCCTATGGCAACATTTTTATTCTCCATAAAATTTTTCACTCCCATTTTTAAGCCCCGACGCAAAAACGACGGGGCGTTATAAGTTTGACGTGTCTGTGTGTGTGTGTGTGTGTGTGTGTCATAGCTCCCGAACGGATGAACCGATTTTGATTTTGTTTGAAAGGTGTATTAGTCTTGAGGAACCGCTCTCCGTGTCTGCTCGCTCGGGTCGCCACACTCGATAACGCTCCGCCCACTAGGTGTGTTTCGTCCATCACAAAACGCGCGCAAGTTAGTAAAGCTGTGCTTCTAATATTGCATTGAAGACTTCGTAATAATATTATAGCACATATTTAGTTCGTGCTTTAGAAACGTTAGGCTAATAAATTAGAGTGGTCCTCCGACGCGACAACATTTAAGAAAAAAAATTCAATATATAACAAGTAACCAAATTTTTCTTCCTCTTTACAATCTATAATTGTAAAGAAGAAGAAAAATTTGGTTACTTGTTTGATTGCATTGGATAGGCTTTAAAATTATTCGACCTATTTAAAAAACACTTTCAACTACGGAAAGCTGCATAAAATGCGGACATAGGCTATAATTTACACGTGCGAAGTCACAAGGAAACAGCTAGTTTGATAGAAATTATTTCACAATTCAAGAAGAAATTGTTGAACATTTGAATCTATTTGAATAAAAAATTTACATACTTCTTGAACATAGAAAATCCTCTATACTCCATTGAAAATACGCAAACTTTTGTTTTTAGCTGAAATAAACATATCAACTAAATATTTAGGTAATATTTGGTGTACAGCGTATTTTGTTTTGTTATAAAAAGAAAACTACTGTGACGGGTTCGATGCTTGGGTTAATTAAAGAAAGGCTGACTAGCTTGAGAATTTATTTATTTTATGGTAATAATGGGTAAAGAATATATATCAGCACTAGTGCGACGTATTATAGCCTCATGTCGCACTAGTGCTGATATACAGTGTGCTATTACTAGGTTGCAGTTCTTTCATAACGCTATTTGAATAAACATGTTTATATAAATACTTTTAAGAATTTAGTAATTGAAACTTTTAAGGCAGAAAAATCATATAGAATTCTGATCAACAACCATGATCGGCATGGATGAGCACTGTATTTTACCATCCTTCAGGTGTATTATTCATTATTACCATTATGATTTTTTACCATTTATACGTAATGGTAAAATTTAATGATATTTATACGTAATAGTAAAATTCATGGTTCTGCACCACCATCATGATGGTTCAGTAAATAAATGAAATTATTAACGTATAAACTGCATTATCCCATGACTGTGTGGCAGGTAGGTATTAACACCCGAAAATAAACTTCCCTAGTTTACTGGCCAGCTATTTTTATTTTTATATGCTCTCCAATGACATCATGCTGTCGACAATCACCCCCAGGTATTTTACAAAGGATGCTAGGACAATCGCTTCTCAGTTACATGGCTTACCAGGAAAATACTATATGTATCTAGTTTATATTATAGTTTCATGGTATGTTGGAAATTGAAAACTAGTTTCCGGTCCAAGAAATGGAAATAAAGTAATCGGTAAAAAAATAATAATAACATGAGTGTATATATAGAAAACTTGTATTTAGTAAAGTTTGACGTCGTGTAAATGGGGGTTTGACACAAACATTATCGTGTCTGGCAATGGACGACGTGCTTGACGATTATGTGTGTAGAACTTATTGACGCCTTTACAACCATACCGTAACCAACCAAAGCCTCGATCGCGATGATCCAAGCTCATAGTCGTCAATCGTTTCTCTCTGATTGGCGTAATGCAATTTTGATCATTCATATTTTCGCAAATTTTAACGATCGCGGGCTCTTGCTCTTATACTCTTTGACAAAATATACCTTTGTATATATTGTCTGAAATAGATTTTGATTGATGTTTTAAATCCCTTGTGCCACCAAGCGTAAATCAAAGGATTCAGAAAACTGTTGATAAAAGCAAAAATGCCAATAGGACCAGTTATTAACGATGCTAAATATGCCTTTCTATGTTTATCTTCACTAAATATAGAAAGTAACACAACTACATAGAACGGAGTCCAAGTAACGATGAAACTCCCCGAAGTCAGTAAGACTACAGTCACTGCTCGCCATTTCTTAGGTCCATTCACTTTACAAACTTTCTTTTCAGCGTTTTGTTCAGCGTTTCCTGATATCGATTCCACAGTCCAAATACTAGAATTAGAAGCGCGTCCACTTTTTCCTTGTGTATGTAATTTATCAACGTAGACTTCGAATCCATTTAATGTAACCTTAAGATCATCTGCACTTTTGGATCTTAATTCTACTGTCTTTTCTTGAGGACTGACTATTTGGTTATCACAAAAATGAAACGACGCACTTCTTTTAATTTTACTGCCGCTTTGTTGATTCAATGGTTTGCTTAATGGTTTTCTAGAAGTATCGCGATGTATTCTTAGTTTAGGTTTTTGTTTCGTCTCTATATTTCCGTGATTTAGGGAAACAGTAGAAGCTTTAATATTTCTTAGGTTTCTTAAAACTTCCAGCAAAATTATGGAATTCAATGAAGTTACGATTGCTATAAGAATAATACTAAGAATCGCATTAACTATTGTAACAGAATTGGGAAAAACTGATCCATATACGCAATATAAAGTAAAAGGATCACTGTTACTCCATCCAGTAATGGGCATAAATCCCAGGGCTATACCTGAAAATGTAAAAGTGTGTATACATTATTTCTGCTTTGTCATCAGACATTAATAAAAATATTACTGATAGTATATATATGTCAAAATTTACCGATAATCCATATGCAGATAATGCCAATTCTCACTCTGGTGGTGTTGAACCACTTCTGGTAGTACAAACCGTGTAGAATATAAATGTATCTATCTATTGCAAGCAGACAAACACTGAATATGGACACCTTCGCAGAGCAGATAATCATACCTGTTTTAGGGAATTGAAAAACAAATTAATACCACAGAAACATAAATTGCAATTTTCAAATTCAGTTTTACTTACCCAGCCTGAATATACACAGTTGATCAGATCGCATAGAAGTACCTAGTATTCCAACGAATATCATGAATATTCCGATCATAGTATCAGCCAGGGAGACATTACCTAGCAGCAGGTAGGTACTTTTCGGTTGTTGCCCTGTAATGAAGCAGTTATTTTATAATATTTTCTTGTACCTCAACATAGTTTTGAAATCAGTATAATATAATATTTGAAAAAACAATGTTTTTTATATAGTTTTTTCTTATAGCTATACTACTCTCTAAATTACATAAACTGAGAACCTCAACTTTTTGAAGTCGGTTAATAATTTTAACGTTATCCTGTAGTCACTTATACGAGTATTATCTCGTAAAAGGAATATAAACTTTTTAACATTCGATAAATATGAAAATTTGTTTAAATGATTATATTTGATCAATGTTGCATTAACAGTGCTATACTAAAAACATTATTATTGAAGAATGCTTAAAAAAAGGCACTCTGAGATGGGACTCGAACCAATGACCTTTCGCAATCCGGGCGACTGCTCTAACCACTGAGCTATCCAGGACCTAAGAAGACTAACGAATTTTCTAGAATCAGATTTAATGAGTTCAAATGTGGTGACATTAATCTCACCGATAAATCTGCGAAAGGGACGACCTTCTACGACGAGGACTGAAGAAAACATCGATAGAGACTGACAAAAGAGTGAGCTATCAGCAGATTTGTACAAGCTTAAGCATTGATCGGTATGAACCAAGCGCACAAAATGCCTTATGAACATTTAGCAGTTAAGTAGCTTTGTCATAGCTTGACAAAAATCCAAAAAGTTCACCATGTTGACCTATCAACGGCCGAGAAATGATTCAAAGATAACGGAGGTGAATAAAATGCTGTATTCAACATACTTATGGGTGATGAAAGCTGGATATTTACTGTTATCCGGAAATCAAACGGCAATCTACTCAGTGGGTGTTTCCAAGAGTTGTCAACGAAAGTAAGGAGAAGTCCAAATGTGAGGAAAAATATGGTGGCCTCGTTCTTTGGAAGGAATGTCACTAGTAGGTAAATGTTTTATCAGAAAGAGTTTTAGTTGTTTTATCGAGGCGTTGTCGTAGAGAACGAGAATCCTACTGCCAGAAACAATCTGGCAGTAGGATTCTCGTTCTCTACGACAACGCCTCGTCGCTCACCGTCACGCAAGGACCGAATAATTAATTGGCTACGTCAGACGTGACGTGGTTATTGAGTCACCAGACATATATCTCCAACCTCGCACCTTACGATTTTTATTTGTTCCCGAAAATAAAAAAGAGAATTCGAAGAAAACTCTTTGGCGATTCAAAAGGTTGTTTGGCGATTCAAAAGGTTATTTATAGATTTAAATAGATTACATTTGATAGATAGATAAGGACTTGTTAACTTTCCTTTTTCTTTAAAGATCAAATACCCATATTCTGATCTAATTGCATATGACTTGCTATAAATTAAAGAGTGCTTAAAAATTATTATCCACTTCCATACTAATGCTTTAATAGCTCTCTAGAGCATGGCGATGCTATAATATTTCTTGTCGACTCCCTATGACTCTAAAAGGCTTTGTTTAAGAATTAACAATAAATTAACAAGCGATGAATATGACCTTTTAAATATACAACTTTATTGTTTCACAGATTAAATACATAGCCGGTAGGTCGGTAAATAAAACTTAAAACAATCGTAATTATGTTAAAGGTCAGCTAAAAATGACTACCCGGAAAGACATACAAAATGCTCTATTATAGGTATCAAAAATTATCTCCGTGAAATACCAGCCCTAAACCAGAAATTTGGGATAATTGGAATATCAGATATAAAAATATGGAATTTCAATGAATAAACGAACGACAATAACAGTCTCTGAAAAGTCATGGCGAGAATTGTTTAAAAAAATTATCAAGACCAGATTATTTAGACATATTTTTTCACATTATTGTGACAAACATTTTTCATCAAATTTAATACCAAATACCCTAGTTATATAATTATAGTTACGGTATTTTTGTCTCTAAGTCACGATTTAGATTTTCTAGTTAGTATGTACTTAATATAAGAATTAACATAATTTAAGAAATCTATATAATAAAGTAAATGAATATTATTAAGTGCCAAAATTTACATATTTAAAAAACAACTAGAACTTTTTCCTTATCTAACTTAACCGGTAAAATGACGGGTAACTAAGTAAAGGAAACATTGTGTGTTAACTTGATGATGACATAATTCACACGTCCGTGTAGGTTATGGAGCTACCACAAATAATATTGTCTATTGCGATAAAAACAATAACATACCTTTTTTTATAATCAGGCCACTAGAAATTACCACAGTCAAGTTACACACTATGATGAGAGTTCCGATGAGGCATTTGAACATTAACCAGCGCTCATTGCTATTAAGAGCGTAAGGATACAATGGATCATATCGAATCTCAGACACTACACTTTCGTTTGTGCAATTCACACCACTTAACATAAAGAATTCAGCTGATTGGTTAATATCTGATGTTTTTATGCCCATTTTTTCCACGGATCACTTGTTACGACCACTAGTTACGAAACTGGTTACGCGGAGAAGAGACATGTTTACACTGGCGGTTTTTTTAAATGAATGACTATTTTATTACCAAACAAAGCGCACAAGGATAAATGTATCTTAACTTTTCTTTGCTATAAAAATATATTCAGGTTCTTCTTGCTAAGCTTTCGGAAAGTACTCGTATTATAGTATCGGCTTTTTTTTAGATAGTCCATATTAAGAGTGCTTTAGTATTTTTTTGCGAGTGTTTTAGAACAATGTTTATGATGTTATTTCTTACTTATCAATATTTATAATAATAACTTTAATAAGAGAGAGATCAATCTATACCTTTATTACAGCTACTGGTACTAAAGATACCAGAATTATTCATTTTAACATAAGGTAAACTATTTTTACCTATTTTCGTACCGATGTAGTTATGAGTTGTAATGAAATAATTTTAGTCAATAAATATCAAAAATTGTCTAAATTGTTAATCACTAAATTTATTAAATTGTTACAATTTAATATAATTAGTAATAAATATTAAAATAAACATCACAAACATTGCTCAGATTCCAAGATGATAGCTGAAGCCCCCGTGTAATGGAGTATCTGAGACAACGAAAATACCACAACACCTAGACCAGAGACAATATAAAAAAAAAATCTACTGATAGCTAGTGGGAATGAGGACTGTAAATAAGAACTATGGATATATGATAAAATATAATAATGTTAATAATAAATCACAAATAACAGTAAGCAACGAAATGACAATTATATCCAACAAACGCAAAAACAAAGAGTAGTAGTAAAAGAACAATATAAAAATATGACAAACTAATATAAAAGGTGACCGCTTTCCAGCCAGTCTTCTACATCTACATTGATCCGATCGGGAATCGAACCCGGAATCTCAGAGATGGCGACGCCTTGAAACCGGCGTGCGAACCACTCGGCTACGGAGGTCGTCACACAATGTTATACTTTAATGTAAACCTTTAACGAACAATGCTTAAAAAATCCACCATCTCAAGGTACCCCGAGATGGGATTCAAACCCACAACTTTTAAATTAAGGTGTACGTTACTTTTTAATTTATTTTTTAGTAATAAATTCGGTGGCGGCGCAATTCTTTTATCGTAATATACCTATGCATTTGTCAAGTACTCCTCAATCTATGATAAGCTGCTCCCACAGAAATACAGGTTCTGATTTAATAAGCTTGGTTAACGTTGATTTCATAACTTTTTACTGCAGAAGAATTGCGTTGTGAGACTTGTGCATTTTTTTACATTTTATGTTTTTGATGGGATCAATTATTATATGAGAACAAACCGGATAAATTGCAGGAAGAAATCTTATTGTAGCCAAACACTTCACAGAGTAATTCCGATGACGTCAATAGACGGTGCAGACGATACCGCATTTTCAGTCACCACGTCTGAGATGAATACGACCTTTTTATTTTTTTTTTACTTTAGAAAGTAAACTCACGGTAAGACCTTTCAATATCTTTGAAAGGTCTTACACACAATTATATTGTAAATGGCAAAGAATTAAAAAAAAATGGTAACACGGGAATCTTAATTATGACTGTGAAACTAGGAGGGCCGATAGCCATCAGTATCTGCATTGTAAGAACTTTAGGGATCCGTACCCAAAGACTTATTACTAATACTAAGACTTCGCTATCTGTCTGTCTGTCACAGACTGTATTCTTATTAACCGTGAAAGTTAGATAGTTGAAATTTTCACAGGTGGTGTATTTCTGTTGCCGCATCAGCGTCAAATATCAAAAACCAGAATAAAATAAATATATAAGGGGTCTCCCATACATCAAACTTGTATTATTTTGCTTCCTTATGCCTTGAAGTACGACTCTCCAACCACTAACGGTCCGGGTCCACCTGGGACTTAATTATAAGATACCAGGTGCCGGACCACGCGAGAGGGTAGTACGGGGGGTTTTGCACGGTAGGCCCACTGCACTGGACCGCCATCCCTTGCAGTGGGAGAGCCCGGGTTCAGTCGGCCTCTTGCCCAGGTCGATGGCATGTTAAGGTCAGTTCCCCTCGGTATAAAAAAAAGGGACTCTCCAACCACTAAGACCTGCCCCGAGGGACGAGGCCAAGTGTGTCTGACTGATAAAACCCGCTGTGGTGTAGCTCACGTGAATGAATGGATCCGGTATCCAGCAAGGAGGGCCCTTATGTATCTTAAGGAACGGCTTTGCACCACCCGTTCACTCGCAAACAAATGCACATGCACAAGCTACCAACAAATCTCGGCACCATCACTATATACACGTGTTTCGCCCCTCCACGGAGGATCCTCAAGAGTTACAGATGTTACGGAAATTGTTAAACAGTCGTAAACGCGTTGCAACTATCTAGGATGCGCCTAGGCTGATGTGAAACGATCTTATCAGCACATTTGTTTACCTGAATAAAAAGTTTTGCAACGGATTTTTTATTAGTACATAAGTAAGTTTATTTATCAATATTTGGTGGTTATAGCTTCTAACGTCCGAACCTATGTTATGACCTATTAAACAATCCATCTTATTATATCAATAAAACGAGGATTAACTTTTGTACCAGGTTTAAACTAATATCCGACCAAAATAGGTCAACACTTCTCAATTTGACGTTTTTTTTCTATCAGTAACAATTTGCTTTAGGCGGCCAATAGTTAAAAAGTACTAACTAGAGTCATCATTTAATAAGATGTAATTAGTTTATTAATATTTAGTTATTTATAGAATAGAAAACGCAATTTGATAGGATTAAAATTGAATTAAGATTGTGCAACAGAATTGGCACTACCTGTCAACCGGCTTATGGAACAGTTAGTTGGAAGGCAGAGCAACAAACATACATACATATGTACACTTAAGAAATATGACCGCCTTTTGTGTGACAAGTAATTGTCTAACAATTTATGCTTGTTCATTTATTTTTCCTGTTGTGATATAAAGAGTACTTGCCTACCTACTTACCTTTATAAGTAACTTATATTGTTGCTAGTGACAAATCGTTTAAATTTCTCTTGATGACTCATTGAATTTCGACATCTCTCACACGTGAGCTTGGGCATCGTCTTGATACTCAAAGTGATGCTCGGCATAGCATATCTGAATTAGACCATAATTTTCATTCCAACACCGTGCATTCATGTCGTACTATACCATTCATATCCTACGAACTACAAGAATTTAGCAGTGTTCACAATGACCTTATAGGTAGTTTTTAAGAATGCTTAATATCATAGCATATTTTTATTTGCTTATTGTGTAATATTGATGTGATATTAAAAGAATAAAGAAAAAAGTACACTCGGCTCTATGGTATTTAATTTATGAGAACTATTCGCACAAGTTTCTCTAGAGTTCAAAAATTTCTCTAGGGGTAGAGAAATTTTTGGACACCTTTTTCTATGACAATTATAAATGGGTATGTTATTACGCACAATTACAGTTTCAATGGAAAAAAAATGTTTAAAAATATATAATAAAGACAACATTAACAGAGATACGTTTGATAATTTTGTTAAATTAATGTCAATCACTCATAAGAATTACAGAAGTATGGTACAACATATTTCAATAAAAAAAACTTAATGTCGTTCAATTATGATCGAATTTCAACCGCAAGCGACCACTGGGGAATTTGATTTATATCTACATACTACATACAGGCTCTGAATCAACCACTGTCAATTTTGAAACTCAACAAATGTCTAAAAATAACTTATCAAAAAAACAAAGAATTGGGTAAGCTTGCTACTACCGAAGCTTGTTAGGAACTTAATAGATTTCTAAAACGTTGCAATAACAACGCGCACGCAAGTAGAATATTAATTCAACAATACAAAAAAGACCAAACAAAGGTCATAAAGGGGAATTACCGCAAGTGAAGGTTGTTAAAAGATAAAACCAAACCACATAATAAAGACCAATTGAGTGAATTATGAGAGTTGAAAAATTTGTATTCACTGTACGACATTGTGTAGTCATAAGCCTTAATTAGCGAACAGATCTTCCTCGATATATATATTATTTATAACAAGTAAATAAATAAAATAAATTTTTGTAGCACCAGAATGGAGTAGTATGACGGGTTCGATGCTTGGGCAAATAATAAAAGGCTGACTAACTTGAGAATGGATTTATTTTGTGGTAAAAAAAAGAAACTGTAACAAACAAAAAATGAATATAAAAACAGTTCGTATTTTAAACTAAATATTAAAATTACCAAATAAAACGAATACATACCCCTTTTTGGGTTTCTTGATAAAAACTTGAATCGTTCAAATTTCAGAATATACTTTTATTTTATTTTATTTTTATAACATATCTTCAGTAATAAAATTTTTATATTTAAATTTATACGATTAACATATTCACAACAGAAGAAATTTTTACTTATGTATATTTGATTAGTCAAAATTTCAAATTACGAAAGGTGAATAATAAAAAAAATAATGTTGAATATCAAAGACAAAAAGTTTGCATGCGGAAACCTAGGACAAAATAAACGGTGGCACGGCACACCGTTACAGTAGCATTTTCAAATCGGATCAAATAATTTATTCAGTCTAGGCTGTTATAAGCCACGACTTTCATGAGTCGCAACTATGTCATCGGTTAGTAAATCTGCGGCGAATGATCTTTTTCATTTTTATGTAAGATGTTTAACCGCTTTTCTATCATCCCTAATAGATTTTCATTCGTATTCATTTAATTCAATGAAAAAACTGCCAATTAGCAAAAAGTAACTTGATGCCGCCTAAAGAAGAATCAAAATAATGACCATTTACCGGATCCACACCTGGCAGTACCTCGGAGACACATATTAGGCAATCCGTCAACACTCCGCCAAGCCTATAAACACACTAAAAAGTTACGTTTCCGAGCGAAGTTGGGTTGACTAGAGTAAGACAGTTATCTTTCCATGTACAATGGATCGATTAAATCGCCTAAATGCGGAAAATTGGAGCCGAGTAGAGCATTAGGTAGATATTCAATGCGCCTAGGATATAGCAATAGGCAATAAGTATTCTCGGTGGTATTAAAGCGACTGCAAAATCATAATTTAATAGATAAGATTCTCACGACAAGTTAGACCTATATCGATAAAAAAATGGTATTTGGGTAGTTTTAGACGTTCTGAAGGTCAGAAGATATATTTTATCCCGAAATCTAGCACTTAAAGGGATGTTAATGGGAGTGAAAGTTTTAAAGGGTATGAAAATATTACCATAGCAACCATTGTTTACAATTTGATTTGTCATTGTAATAAATCTATATAATATTATTTCTAAAGATTTTCTAATATTGTGATAAAAATTGATATTTAAATACATCATCATCATCATCATCACCAGCCCTTTTACGTCCCCACTGCAAGGGCTCAGGCCTTCCTTACGGATGGTTAAGGAGGATGGGCCATGACCCTCCACGCTGGCCCAATGCGGATTGGAGTCTGATTATGGTGATACTAGATGGCGTTTATTCTTAAAAGTTTATGATTAAGGTTTGTGTGGACATTAGATTTGTGATTTTCTTTCTATCTGTATTTCAAATCGGTTAAATAGTTTTAAAGTGTTTCGTATAATAGTGATCTTTGACAGTTAACCAGTTCCATAGGCACATACGCACTGTAGAAGAACGTTGTTTTAACCGACTTCAAACAAAGGAGGAGGTTCTCAATTCGACTGTATTTATTTGTGACCTCATAACTCGTTACTGGGTGGACCGATTTTGATGATTATTTTTTATTTAAAAGCTAGTGATTGCCGTGTGGTCCCATTTCAATTTTCAGCATAGTATTTGTCAGACTTAGGAGTGCCTAACCCACTATAAATTTAACTTGTGATAGGACATAAGTTGCTATTATTCTGATAAATAGATTGTACGGAAGTTCGTCAATGTCAAAAATAAAATCATGCAACTTTATTTCAGGTATTTTATACGATATAATGAAGAAATATTCGTTTTAGAAATGCTGCTCAAAATAAATATATCTTGCGGACTAAGTCGCGGGCATAAGCTAGTACATTATATATAGAGGAAAAAAAACTACGATCATGTATAATAATAATTTAATAATTTAATAATGGCAACGAGATAATTTTCAGATATAATGAATTAAGAAGAAATCACCTATCCAGTAGCTGGAACATCTTAAGGCCAAGTATTCTTAGGGGCCGTCCATTAATCACGTGACGCTCGAAAGGGTGGAGGGGGGGCGTAGTAATATATCACGTGTATTTATTTTTTCCTCAAACGCGCGATTACTAAACCGAAAAGCGGTGTCAAAAATTAAGATTTTTTGTAGGTACTAAAAATGGGGGGGGGGGTTAGTCTTAAACCTCACCATGTATCACCAAGGAGGAGGGGGGGTTTAAAAAGGCTGAATAAAACATCACGTGTTTAATGGACGGCCCCTTATCTGTTATATAATCAGATATCTTATAATAAGCTTTTTTAATAAGTATGTATTTGAATAATAGTAGGTGATATGTTAATATTTTGTGTTTTCACCGAAAATTCCGCCAATTTTTACCGATTTTAAAAAATCTTTTTTATTTATTCCAAAGCTGATAGTCCGCAGTTTCATTTAAATTTTATTGAAAGCAAATCAGTAGTTTAAGTTTTATAATAAAACAAAATACGTTTTTTACCACATATCACCTAAATATTTAGATGACATGCACTGTATTTATGTATTGTATCTCGGCTAAAAAACAAAAGATTGTAAGAATTCAATCAAAATCCGAAAGGAAGTTTTCTATGTTCAAGGAGTATGTATATTTTGTATGCGAATCAATTTCTTCTTGGATTGTGTACCAATTTCTATCAAACTAGCTGTTTCCCCGCGACTTCGCCTGCGTAAATTATATGTCCAACGCGTATTATGTAGCTTCTCGTAGATTAAAGAATTTTATAGTCAAAGTCAAAGTCAAAATAATCTTTATTCAAATAGACTTCTTAAAAGTACTTTTGAATCGTCCAAAATTGTTTTCCCTACCGCTCGTTCAGGACGTCTTTTGACTGATAAGAAGAACGAGCAAGAAACTCACCAGCACACCTATAAATCGGTCCAATAGTTTCTTAGCCTTTCCAATGTAAACAAACAAGCAAAAAAATCATTCCTCTTTATAATATGAGTATAGAATTATTGGAAAAAAAATTGTCGAACAAATAAACAAAATCTTCTTTAACCTATGTTGAATATTTTTATTTATAAAGAGGAAAGATTTGATTGTTTGTTTGTTTGCAACGAATAGGCTCCCTGGACCGAACTACTGAACCAATTTTAAAAATTCTTTCACCTTCGTAAAGTTACACCATGTGCAGTGAACATAGGCTACATTTTATCCCGAAAAACAGCAAAATAGCGATGTAAATAAGAGTGGAAGTTTGTATAGAGAATGAAAACGTCACAATTGTTTACTATTCAACTGAAAAAATATGAATCAAGGTCTTATGTAGGTTTATTAATTAAATGATAGGCGCCCGATTTCAATAGCATTTTCTTGAATAAGTCGCTTTTGAGATAAATATGATTTATCACTTTCTTAAAGTTTGAAGTCGATTCTATTTTTTTTAGTTTTTTGCAGTCTAGTGATAGGCAACGTTAATTTATTTTTATTTCTAGTATTTAAAAAAATGTCATCTCATAAATAAACAGGCTTAAAAATCGTAAAATAATCATTATTATGACCAAAATCAAGCATTATTGAGGAGGAGATAGAATAAATATGAATAATAGTATACTGCATCCTCAATATTATTTACTTTATCGATGAAAATGCAATATAATCATTACAACAGCAATGAGATTCGTTTTAAATTTCCGTACCCAAGGGGTAAAAACGGGACCCTATTACTAAGACTCCGTTGTCCGTCCCTCGGTCTGTTTGTCTGTCAGTCTATCAGTCTGTCACTAGGCTAAATATCAAGAACCGTGACAATTATGCAGTTTAAATTTTCACTGTAGGCGCTATAAAATAATAAATACACAAAAAATAGATAAAAATAATTATTTTAGGGGTTGTCATACAAACTTACTTTATGCAAATAATTTTTTTAAATTTGAATTTCCGGTTAGGAACCCTCTTTGCGCAAGTTCAACTTAACCCGTTGTTTTTTGGCAATATCGTTATAGTGGAATACCAAAGTATATGCACACAGCTCTTTTTTATTTCTATTACTTGCGCCAGAATAAACTGCTGTAAGTAATCTTCCGAGTTTCTGAGATTATGGGAATTAACATTTAAAAAACTAATATTTTTACAAACGTACCAGCCATTATGACTATTTCTTTAATTTTTTCCTTTAAAGAAATGTCAATCATTGGATTGAATCGGATTTATAGCAAATTTAAATGAAATGGCGTTCTTTAAAGCATTACCTATTCCTTAGGGATGATGACAAATTTTTTTTCGCTTGTCCGTCACATAGTTTGTTGAAAAATATAAAACACGTATATTATTATTTCTTGCGCATTCATAAAATTACGGCAATAAATTGAGTTTAAATGTCACATGACGGCACGCTTTCGTACATTTTCTATAATACTGTGACGTATATGAAAAAACCGACCAAGTTCAAGACGGCCACGCGCACCAGGATTTCCGAAGGGATGATATAAATAATGCAAAAAATCACGTGTGTTAAATGTTAATTTTATTCATTTTTTTCTGATTGATCTTCACTTAATTCAAGTTGTCTCTAATGTAAACTTCATATGATACCGCATCAGCAATATTGCCCTTCTATACGAATCCAATGTAATTTTAACAGACTTCAAAAAATGAAGGTTCTCAATCAGAATTAATATTTTTTTATGTCTATGTCTAATGATTTTTAGGCCATACTTTAAATTTAGAATGTTTATCAATAAAAGATCTGTAGTTTTCTGTTCATATAAAAAAACTAGAATACTGGAAAACTGAACTACTTCATACAAATTATCTTGAAGATATGTTATCTCTGAAAAATTCAAAATTAAAAAAGACTAAAACCGACTTTAAACATCGAAAAATAAATCTAAAAAAAATAAAATTGGTTAACAAATTTAATAAACTTCATTTGAAATCGACCGTTTAAAAGCATTATGGCCTTTAGTTATAATTAAATAATAAAAATAAGAACTTCATTAAAAAATTAATTAATCAATCGGCCAATCAAAAAATATTACGTAATAAAATGATTTTAATGCTTTGTATGCGATTTTAGATTTTCTCTCGTAAGGATGATATTAAAACAAAATATATTGTCAGTATATACAAACACACTGCTATTAAAGGCATACACAATACACATTTTTCATATGAAACTCGCATGTCATTTAAAAACAAACATCTCTAGCGAAACATTCGACCATCGAGTACTAACTACTACCTTCATTATAACTCACTTATTAGCACTCACTAAATATTTTTTTACAAACAATACAACAAAAAATCGGCAGTAAGTACTTTATCACGTAGCATCGACAACGTCTACCAGAAGAACGCAAGTAAATAGTCTGATTATAGCTAACATAAATGATGATGGCTTGTTTGCCATGTGAATTCGTCATTCATTTTAAGAAATCGACGGTGTAAACATGTGTCTGTCCCATAACAATATTCTAAATACTAGTGCTTATTATAAATAAACAGTGAATGAAAATGGACTTTAACATATCAGATTTCGGTGCCAACGAAACTATAGATAAATTGACTGAATTCTTTAATATAAGTGTTGCGAATTTCACAAACGAAAGTGAAGTGTCTCAGATACATTTATTCGATTTGTATGAAGCTTACAAGACTAAAGAAAGGGAGCAGCTGTTGTTGTACAAATGGATAGCGTATATCCTGGGATCGCTCATCGTCTTGAGCAACTTGACTGTTGTAATATCTAGTGGACTGATTATAAAAAAAGGTATGACTAGTAATTCTAGATACTTCTTTTTTTCAGAGTATAATATTGTAATGATTTATACCTATGTTGTATCACTTTAATTAAACTTGTAGTAGGTATTTAAATTAGTACTCTTTAACTTGTATCATTATTATCCAGGAAGTGTTTGTGTTGATATATAAACATACCCCTTAGTCTGATCTAAAATATATATAACCTTTGTAAACAATTAGCTTTATATTATTTGTGAAATTTTAATTATTTTAGTATTTATGTTCCGCAATTTCGCTCGTCTAAATAATAGCCTATGACACCCTCGTACAATCTAACTTCCCATAGGTGGAAAAACCGACAGGACGGTCACTACCCGGAAGTCTCCTGCAGCATCTTCCAGGCCGAAATGCTGTCCATTAATTAGCATGATCGTCAATTAGCGTACCAGAGTAGATACACTGATAATTCATCCTATCAATCTCGCGATCCTACTAGACTATAATAATAACGTAATAAGTTAATAATGGCAACAAGGTAATTTTCAAAAATCCCCTATCCAGTCGCTGTACCATCTTACTGCGCGATAGTTTACATCCTCTGGTGTCCCCATCCACCAGGCCATTGACCATTGACCATTGACCATTTCTAAAATTGATCCAGTAATTTCAAAGTCTGTTAAAAGCAAACAAATAAATCTTAAGTACCTCTTTATAAGTATTGATATTTTGTTACGATCATTACAATTAATGAATTATTTCCGGGTAACTGATAAAATAGAGTTTTTTAATAGATACAGGTTATTATTATGGTACTCTTATGTTTAATTATTTAAGTAAAAAGTAACAAAAAGTTGTCTTAAGTCATCTACTAGTTAATATCATAGCTACCCAGCTATGTGTAAATAACTACGCGTTAATAGAATAGGGATGGCGACAGGGTAAAAAATTAATTCTTATATACAATATTTAGTCCGTCAGTCAAATAATAGAAAAATATTAGATACTTTTTTTTTTACTTCAATTTAACAAGAAGTAGATTAGATTACAGGCATTAAAGTTGAGGAACGGGGGCTCGCTACGTCACAGTTTTGTAGAAAATGTACAAAAGCGTGATGCCTGTGACATTTTAACTTAACGTATCGACGTAATTTAATGATTATGCAAAAAATAAACTACCTGACGGACAAACAAAAAAAATTTGTCGTCATCCCTATTGACCAATGGATTGTACTATTAGTTAACCATAATTAATATGCAAATCTCCATCAGCCATTTATCACCATGAATATTATTGTGTATGACTCAATATTTTTTTTTACGAATAAAGTGACAGTTAACTCCAGCTTTACCTTTGCTTGTTAATTATTGACCAAATACCTAACTCTCAAAGATTATTTACATACCTATTAACTTGACAACATGTTGACAACCTTTTAGTTACAGCTTAAAAGTATATTTTTGTAATTTAGTACGATACGTGAATAATTAAAATTCTTTTATACATAAACTAGCTTTTGCCCGCGACTTCGTCCGCGTTGTATAGTTAATAGCGAATCTAAAACGAATATTTATTCAAAATGTCGTGTATAATATCTGAAATAAAATTTCATGATTTTATCTTTGACAATGATGAAATCCGTACAAACTTTAATTCCTCATTTTAATCCTTTTATCACCATAAATAGCAACGTCCTTTCTAATAAACAATATAAATAACGACTTCTTGGTCAACTTTTAAACTCAGCTGTTAAAATTGAAAGTCAAAGTTCAAATTGTTAATAAATAATGAATATGTCGTAGCCTACTGAGTACAACATCCGTCAGCCAACGATCAGCTGAGTAACCATCACAAGGAGCTGTCCATAAATTACGTCACACTAAATACAATATTTTAACACATAATAAGACGAATGTATCTACGTAATATGACGAATATATCTACGTAATAAGACGAATGTTACATGGATTATTTAAAATAAAATAAAAAACAGAATATAATATACACTGTATCAATAATCTAGAAAAACAATAAGTTTAATGTAATATTAGCTTATGGAATCCGCTAGTCATGATATACACACTTAAGAGGGCACTTTAAACGGTGTTTACACCTAATATCACAAACTTTCATAAAGTTTCCTTACGGCCAAATCGCAAATTTATACATTTTTTCGATACATAGATAAAATCATAAAGTTACCCCTAAAACTTTTTCACATCTTGATGTAGATAATTGTGAACTTTTTGTTGGAAACGTTGATAAATGTACTCTCACAAGTAGCTCACAAGTAGCTTTGTCCTATTACAAATATACAAACAAACTTGAACTCAGGTGGCAGGTGCATCACATTTGGTGGTAATATTGCAGTTATATTTATCGTTTTTATTGAGATAGGATAAAAAATGTATGCTTGAAAATTATGATATCTTTATTCTTCGTGAAGTCATAATTATTCCGGTACTTTACCATAAAATTTTGTTCAAGAATAGTATAGTAGATAAGAAAAATTTACTGTTAAATTAACTTAAATCTTTTTTTCAATTTTCTTTTAATTTATAATTTTAGTTTACACAGGTTTTGTATTGATTTATAAAGATTTTGTTTCTCTTTTAATCCATGATAGATCAAATTTACGAGGCCGCTACGATAATATAACGAATAACATTCTATTTTTATTTCATTAAAAGTTGCTCAAAAAATTAAACACAATTTGCAAAAAGCTAAGCCTCTACGAACTATGCCAATTCTAGTTGCTGTACACCGTTCAATAAGTAAAAATTGTAAATATATTTTTGATTCCGAGAATAAGAGTTCCAAAAATTACAATTTTCTACAATACAAAAATCTTGGAAATGTAATAAATAAGGCCCGTTTAAAACGTAGTAGCTAGGTAATAAATGTTGGACGCTTCAAAAATACATTTAAGTGTATTTGAATAAAGATTATTTTGACTTTGACTGTAAGCACTGCAGATAGATAAATAATGTCAGTCATTATGTAACCTAATTATGTTGAAACATTTATAATAATGAGGAAGTATTAAAAAAATAACATTAGTTCCCGAAATCAAACTAGATGTCGCTACGGTACTTTCTTGATTTCTCCATGACAACCCTTCCGTTTTCATGTATAAAAGTAAATTAGTTTTCAAAACTCAATAAAAATCTTATTCTATTTGTATTTTTTCGTATTTATATTGATACCAAAGTTTCGAAATTTGCAAATTTCAGTTTTTAATATAATATATTAGTTCTTCGTCTTCTCCCTCGACCTCTCACTCGTACTGTTTATGCTTCGCAGGCACCCACAGTACGCGCAATGCGTCTGATCGGTGACATGCTCGCTCATCACGAGGAATCTGATTTATTTGTGGATGGTGTAAGACAACTAGTAGCTATGACTAGACAATTTCTAATTTTATAGAATTCAGCAGCAGGATATAGTTGACATTGTGTATTCATACTGACATTAATTATTTGAATTGGCATGTATTGTAGTGTTCCAAATTGTAATTTATTTCTCTATATTTTATTTTATCATTTTAATTTTGACTTTTAAGCTAAGCTAATGGATTTATCAAATTTTAATTTGACATTTCTTATTATTCTTGACATTTTGTATAACTTACATGTGTGTTGGACATAAAATCTGTGAACTTGCAAGTGTATGTATAATAATAAATAAATAATAAATAAAAGCTATCTTTGGTACATTCGTTTCCTGCAAAAATTCGTTTTTGCTAGAGTCGCCATCTAGTGGAAGTGCTTTTTAATGTTTATTTAAGATAATTCCTCATTGTAAAAGTTTGTAAGTGATCTCTTAATATCACTGTCTCAGCTCGCGCTTTTTATCGCTATGTCTGGTCAATTTAATTTTGATATAATAACTACTTACTATGATTAAACTTACGCAATAATAACCGTTGATACTTGAATCAGGAAACGTTTTTATTGCATGCTTGATACACGTGAGTTTTTACACATCACATGTCTGCACATCGAATCGTGGTCTATCACATTAATTTTTAGGGTTCCGTAGCAAACAAGGGACCCTTGTAGTTTCGCCGTGTCCATCTGTCCATCCGACCTACAGGTCCAGCCGTCCACAGTTTAGTTTAAACACTATTGGTACTCAAAAGTTGTAATTTAGCATGAGTATACTAGATTAACTGTAATGACTGTAACTGGCATGACTAAGCGATTTAAATGAGGTAAAGATAAATTTAAAAAAAATACGGTACCTCTCCTACATGTTAAACGGTGATGATATTTTTTCGACTTCCCCATAGTGACAAGACAGTTTCTTTGATTTAGTAAACCGTTTGTGAATTATAAAGCTTTAAAGAACCAATTTTCGTTAGAAAACTATCACACTTAAGATAGCTTTACAAATTTAATAGGATGTGTGTTCATAAGTTTTGAGACAAACTTTTTTTTACCGGTTTTGAATTTGGAATGTTAACTTTTAGATTATCTGTATCGCTTAATTTGTTTATATTTTCTGGATGATATTCTTTCGTGATGAAGGGAACGAAACAATTACGTGCAACTGTCATTTCGCTATTTAAAGCGGCAAAAAAACCGATGGAGATTTTCCGCGAGCTGAAAAGTTTTCCTGTAAGCCGTAACTTTATCTATAACACAATTAAGCGGTACAAAGAGACAAGTTCTCTGCAAGATCGCCAAAGGTGTTGTATAGTCTATACGCCAACAGACCAATCGCGGTCTTGTTGATCTTTGCTAAGATCTTTGAGGCAACACGGCCAGGCGAAGCTTGAATATGGAACAGTTGTCTGGGATCCAAATAAATTCTTATATTAGAAAAAATACAATGCAAATTTGCGCGATGGCTTTACTATAAAAGCTATAATCTATAAGCTACCCCCATCTCTACCCGAGCTTCGTATTGGGTATGATCGAAATGGACACGTTGAAGCTGAAGGGCTATGTTTCTGATAGTCCTATATCTTTCAATTCTGCACCGAAGAATTTACAACTCAAATGTTTTGTTTGTTAAGTCCAAACGTGGCCAACCACCTTTATTGGCGCTGCACACGAAGTGCGGTAGACATGCGCCCACTAAGCGTGCTATACGTGTATCGGGAACATACTTGATCAGCACTATGAACTGGATCTATTTGCCGATAATTTTAATTATTTATATAATCAATATCGGTAATTCCTAAATGACAATTTTTACTTAATCGTGATAAATCTATTTTTTGTACTATTAAAAATGACATAATATATATATTTTTGGTAATATTGATTATTTGTACTTGTAGAAATTCATTTATTAATTTATAGATTGACAATGACATTTAATTTTTCCTATTTTTGTATTGCTGACATTTAATTTTATTATTAGATTTTTATTATAATTTGATTTGACCTATATTTTTTGTCATTGTTAATAATATTTGATCAATATAATTTATGTGTTATTCTGTTATATATTTGTTCTTTATTTAATTTTTTTTTATACTCTAATCTTGCAAGCATTTTGGACGGAAACATCTGTTAGCTTTAAATATATAGATATATATAATATAAAAAATACCGTACATCCTTAAAGATAATGAATAAATTTTTTTTTAATAATACAACCAATGTAAGTGTAGTGTCAAGTTCCAATAAAAAAATATTATTATTATAATGTTAAACTTTAAAGAAGTGAGAAATAAACTTGTTTAAACATTCAAGAAAATGATATCCCATCAAAAACATAACATGTACAAAAATTCACAAGTCTCACAACGCAATTTTTCTGCCGTAAAAAGTTATGAAATAAACGTAAACCAAGTCAATTAATTCGTTATCTATCTTTCTGTGAGAGCAGATATCCAATCTGTGTTATGTGGACGCCACTATATTTTCATATTGTTAAAATAGATAGATTTCAATAAAATCAAACGACGCGAAAACAAAACCAGCGCTGCATTCAAAACGATAAAAAGTAAACAAGCTTAAGTTTAAATTTGGAAGCTCAAGTATACACCATCCACACTTTACTAGAAAAATGATAAAAAAATAACCGGTCGACCATATAACCATATAATTTTTACGCGAGACCAACTTAGAGGTTTAAGACTGGAGAAACAGTCGAGTTTATTGAGTATTTTTCTATAATTTAAATATAGCATTGTTAATGCAAACTTTTTCAAATATAATAACCATCCAAAAAAATTCTATAATGAGAATTTAGAAGAGAACTTATGCAAAACCTCATGTTTCATCATACAGATTAAAAATAAAGCAAAGTTTACTACAAAGAAATTTAAGTTTTTTAATTATTGAATAACAATAATATATTCTAAGATATTGCACTAATGTCAAAATTATTGGAGGTTGCATACTGGCTGCTTTAAAATATAATCTGCCACATTGACGGCTTTTCGTATTACTGATTTTCGTATAAAAGAATAACCGATGTAAACGTTGGTATTGAAATCTTATGAATTTATTCGTAAAATAGAGCATATTTTTTTAATACTTTATATCTAGCTGTTTTCTTTGGAATGACCTGCTTAATAGCTTTTCATAGGTCAAAGAATTTAAAATCGACCCAGAAGTTTCGGAGTCCATTCCGTGCAAACAAACAATCAAATCTTTCCTCTTCATAATAGATATTTAAAAATGTCAAATGCGTATTTTTTTTTTCCATTAATTTAAAGTACTTTTAAGTTTTTAAGTATAAAAAAAACATTCACCACTTTTTCTCCATATAAACTTTAACTGTGTTTTTAAATATGAATCTGTCATCAATGCAATTTTTATATAAACAGGCCCAAAATTCTTAATTATTGTGTAAGAAAGATTCTTGAAATTATATGGTATTATATTTGATCAAATTTGCATTCACAATGCTATACTTAAAAATATTCTTAATGAGTAATGCTTAAAAATCCACTTAGTCTCTTTCACTCTGAGATGGGACTCGAACCCATGAAAAACATAGTTTAAATATTTGTGAAAATATTTCTTACGGCTGTTTGGGTGGATTGGCTGAACATTGACAAAAATACGCTCTGTGGTAGCGAGAAAGTTACAAGTGCTTGAAAAATTCGTCAGTCCTGTTAGGACCTGGGTAGCCTGCGGCGGTTTTGATGTTTCCCCGCTACCAGGCGCGTCCCCCGGGTGGCGGACGGGGGTAGTGGCTTCGGCCACCATGGACCGTGCGGCTTCGGCCGTGCTTAATGAAACAACACTGAGGAGCCCGTCAGGCGTCCCGGACTTATTCCGGGTAGCGGCTGATGGGCAGGCAGGTGGTGGGTTTGGCCTCCTCTTCGGAGGGGGGCCCTTCTTAGGGTCGTATAGGGGGGTGGCAAGACCTTCCTGGTCATTGACGGGGGGTTTCCTCCTTTAAGGAGTTTCGCTTTGGAGAGAGCTCCAGGCCGGCGTCCCGTCGGTAGGACGGGTAGCCGCGGCGCGGTTCGGGTTGGGCGGGCGTCCTGAGATTATCTCGGGTAGCGGCCGTGCCAACGAGAGCGGTGGGCCTGTCGTATTGTGGTGACACATGCGATGGGTGCCCTTTTCAGGACAACCACCGGCCGACCCGTTTTCTGCGCTGAACAGAAATGAGAGAAAACTGGAGAAATGAAACTGGAGAAAGTTCGGCTATTGAGGAAAGTAGTACGGAGGATTGCGATATGGATATGGAGTTTCGATCTAGACTGAGTGGGGATCTTGAGACACTGGATGCTGTTTGGCAAGGCTGAAGGAAGAGATAGCACTTTGCAAGGAATGTGCTGTGGATGGGATCTCTATCCCCCTCAAAAGGCTAAAAAGTGGGTGACGTACAAAGAGATCATGAGCAAGGCAAAGAGATCAATTAGTTTCCAGGATCTGGACATCCCTGGGGTCAGGATGGGGAGGGCTGTCTCGGGAGCCTTGTTGTTGAAGGTCTCAGGGGCAAATAGTGACGATCTAGCGAATAAGTTGGCGTCAGAGCTCAGGAGGGTGCTCGACGTAGCTATAGAGGTAACAAGGCCAATCAAGCGCACGGATTTGCGAATAACTGACCTTGACGAGACAGTCGAGATGGAAGAGCTCAGGTCTGCGATCGCAAAAAGGGGAGATTGTCCCCCGGAGCAAATTGTGGTGGGCCCGTTTTCGGAAGGAGTGAGAGGAGGCAAGATGGTTCACACCCGCTGCTCAGCGGGCGTGGACCAGGTTTATCGGTTGGCTGGATGAGGGCTAGAATCCAGCATCTTGAGCCTCTGCCCATACGCTGTTACAAGTGCATGGGCAAGGGACACGTCCGCAGAACGTGTCCCGCAAAAGAGGACAGGTCCAACGCCTATGCGGCTGCATCTCTTCCCGCGAACCACGTGATGGGGAGCAAGGTGTGCTCCCCACCACCCGTGAGGGTGTGGGCTCGGTCGATTCCCGTACCCCATGGTACTCGTGCGGTACCAGCTGATAACCTTCCTGAGGTGATGGATACGCACTAGCGTGTTCTGTCTCTTGAGGGGGGGGGGGTTTAATAGAGAATATTCTATGGTATATTCGGATGTAGTTCCAACACTTGTTTTAAAGTTTCGCGAACAGGAAAATACGTATACGAAATGGAGATGTGCCCGCAAGAAATTTTAGAAAAAAATGACCTTAACATACAATATATCGCTTGTTAGTTGGTTCTTCTCTCAATTTAGTGTTTATTAAAAAACATAATTATTTCAGAAAAGAATTATTATTTTTAAAAAAAAGTAAATTATGTAGATAAGTCGACAACACAATGAATGAAGTTAATAGATCAGAGTTCTACAATTAATTTTGAATTTAATTATATACATATTAAATATCAATTGATTAAGACTTACAATTAATAAAAAAATATTCCCCTTTGTATTAACTTGACATGCCGTCGATAGTAGTGTAAAAACACACTACAGCTTTTTTCCCAAACCGACTTGCTAAATTTTCAAATAAAATTTTCCAACATTGCTAAATTTATTAGATCTGAAACCGGCCATTTCAATTTTTGAGCTAAAATATATTTTTTTTTAATTATAAAGTAAATTGATTTTTATTTTACTGTTTAAACTAACTTTAGCATATAATTTTTAAACACTAAACATATGTATACTATTACGCTCTTAACAAAAAAACATAAAATCATTTTATTTTATTAATCGCATGCAGCATGCTATACTGGTAAATATTCCTAATCTTAATAAAAATACTTCAAATCCACCAGCCCCAGGCACCCCGATATAAAAGCGAATGTTGAGCAATTTTGGCCCCTCTCTTAGGTCTGAAGATTTTCATCAGATTTCAAAATAATCGATCAAATCGCTTATAATTGTCGTGGTTCCGGCGTACAAAAAAAAAACAAACTGAATTAGATCAAAAAGAATGGATAATATAAAATAACACTTTTTTCCAGGACAGCAACCAAAGAGTACTTACCTGCTACTAGGAAACGTCTCTCTGGCTGATACTATAATCGGGATCTCCATCATATTCGGTGCTACAGTTGAAAATTCTATGAGATCCAATCAACTATGTATTTTCCAACTTGGTAAGAAAAACTTTAACGGCAGATTAAGTATTTACCTACCGAAATATGTAGTTTTTCTATCTGTAATGTTCATTATTTTTCCAAACTAGGTTTGCTGGTCTGCCCTGCAATCGTCTCCATATTCAGCGTTGCACTGATCGCAATAGACAGATACATTTATATTCTACACGGTTTGTACTACCAGAGATGGTTCAACACCACTAGAGTGAGAATTGGCATCGTCTGCATTTGGATTATTGGTAAATTTAAGCTAATATGCTATCAGTCCAATTATTAATTGTGTCTAACAAAGTGGGAACGATATGTATGTTTTAAAATTTTCAGGAATCATCCTGGGATTCATGCCTGTGACGGGATGGACTAACAATGACCCTTTGACTTCAAACTGTTTATATGTTGCGGTTTATCCCGGTGAACTAATTGTATTTAACTCCATTCTCAGTATTATTCCTATAGTAATTGTAGCTATATTGTATTGTATAATTTTACTTCAAGCTTTAAAGAACTTAAGAAATATTAAAGCTTCAAATGCTTCAGTAAGTCAAATAGATATAGAGATTGAACAGACGTCTAGACTGAGAATATATCGCGGTACTAATAAAATGACAAATAAGAAGCCGCTAAATAAACAAGATAATAATAAGATTAAAAGGAGTGCTTCGTTTCATTCCTGTAATAGCAAAATGGCCTGTCCTCAAGAGAGATTTAGATCCAAAAGTACGGATGACCTCAACCTTACATTAAATAGGTCTCGAGAATACGTTAATAAAATACAAACACGAGAAAGAAGTGGACGCGTATCTAACTCTAGTATTTGTACCGTGGAAACAATTTGCACAATAGAAAACTCATTTCGAAGAGCTACTGAAAGCTCAATTGCAACATCGATGGAATTACCTTGTAAGAAAATTTGTAAAGTGAATGGACCTAAGAAATGGCGAGCAGTGACCATAGTAATGTTGACTTCGGGGAGCATCATCATTACTTGGATGCCATTCTTTATAATTGTAATACTTTTTGTATACTGCGAAGAGAAACGCACAAATTCGCGGTGCTTACATTACTCAACATTATTGAGTGGTCCCATAGCATTACTGGCTTTTATTAACAGTGTTTTAAATCCTTTGATTTACGCATGGTGGCACAAAGGTTTCAAAAAATCTATTAAAAACCATTTTAGACGATATGTTCAAAGACATGTATTGTTAAAAAGTATGAAAACTAAAAATTGTTCTGTCATTCGATAACCGTTATCTGATAAATATTATTCTATTTTCAGTTGATCAATAAAACGATCGTATCAATAATGATAACTAAATAGAAATGACGTATGTGTGTGTAATTTGTTAATAAATTAAGCTTTTATTTGTTTAGTGTTATTTGTGTGTGATATTCTATGTTGCTTATTATTTAACGTCTGTATGTAACAACAAAAAATATTAAAGCATTTATTTAAGATGGAGAGCAGCGGTTTAAAGTTAAATATTGATATACCTTTTACTGATTGGAAGTAGAGTATACCTCGCCTTAGTTTAATAAGATATATTAGAATAAGTTATTTACAGTGGTAAGTTATTTAAACATCAGAACATTATGCTAGGAAACAACAGCAATACGTTAATACTTTAAATGCCACTTTATCTCAGCACAGATTATAATTTTTCATTCAAAGTCGTGCCAGTATATTAATTTATAAATTGAATCGGTATTTGTATTGTTTACAGGAATATTTATAGCGTGCTTACCAGCTATGGGGTGGACTGGGAAAACATTTAGAGATTTCCGATGCTGGTACATCGCCGTATTCCCACCTTCCTTACTCATTGTATTGTCAACAGTCGTTCTCTCTGTCATAATAATGGTATGCCTCCTGTACATACTTATATTACATAGCGCAGTGAAAGCAGTTAACAAAATTCGAGAATGCAACGAAACTAACGTGGCTTACATTAATAAAGGCTTTGACGAATCCAATAACATCGATGAGAGATCTAAAACGTCTGTTAAAATAATAGTATCAACTGAAACTGTTAACGAAAATATGACATCTTTAGAAATGCACGAAATGAAAACCAACTTTGAGCATAAACAATCGAATGACTGTTTCAAAGAAAAGATGACTAAGGTATCGCAATATTACCATAAATCTAAGTCTGTAAAGTCCACCCCTAGTAAATTGAAAGCTGTGAAGACTGTGCTTTTGGTTACATTCTGTTTTTTAGGCACTTGGGCACCGTACTATGTAGCTGTAATAATGTACGTGAAATGTAACATATTGATACACGGCTACGATTGTGTGCCTCTGGAAATTTTGACTCTTGGACCTTTATATCTATTAGGAGTTAGCAACAGCTTATGTGACCCGTTAATATACGCGTGGAGACATTCTGGTTTCAAAAGAACACTTAAAAAGATGTATCTCAAGTACATTTTGAAATCGAATATTTAATATATTTTTTATGATTACATATCTTGAAAAATCGCACTTTTGTTTGTCTTAATTAGTACATAATATTTATTTGATAAACTATTAAACAGTTAAAAGATTGTGTGCCTTTTTTTTCGTTGCGTTGTGTGCCTATAGTTTATATCCTCCATAAAGATAAATTATTGCTTACTGAAATCGATAACATACCAGATAGGCAGAAACTAAAAGCTCAGAAGCTAGACGTGGGTTAAAATCTAAAACCTCAGTCCTCCATTTTTGTCACCTTAATCATAGATTACTAAAAATAAGTTACTATATCTTTAATGTCTTAATCCATATCCTCTTCAAAACATTAAACGAGATGAAAAATCTAGTGTTTTATCATCGGGCAAAGTTTTAGGTACTTCTCCAGGCTTTCATAATACCTATAGGTACAATGAAGATTGAAATTTCAACTGTAGCTAATATGAGAAGTAATTTGGTAAATCGCTCTTTAATAATTCGTAATGATATTTATTACATTGACTTACATTATCTGATTTTATCATTAAATAGTAAATATATCCTATCATTTGATTACTTCATGTGAGCAGTAGCTATACACCACACTAAACTAATAAATTGTTTATGTTATCAAACGGCTCAGAGCTTAAAAGGCAATAAAGATATGTTACGGATAATTCCCTATCGATTTGGGTAAATATGTTTTTCGACACAACTGTTTAGTCACTGACATAATGGCTCGGCTGGTGATCTGTATTCTTCTGGTTGCTGCTGCGGCAGTACAAGGGCGGCACGAGAAATATGAAGGGTAAGTAGTATTAATTTTTTTGCGTCACGCGCTCACTGATGACTTTTTGTAACCGTGACTTTTTATCTTGTGTCCGTGCTCAAGTATACAATTGGTTATGCGCACACATGAATACGTAATAATTGGGTGACTTCCACAGAAACGCCAGGAGCACAGATGACAGAAAGAATAAGTTACAATGACAAAAATACAGCAGTGTGCTCGTAGCCTATGATAGTCTTCTATTATTTAAATAACCCTCAATGTGAGGGTTAATAAATTAAACCCTCAATGTCTATCCTCTAAACCTCTGAAATTTAGGTTGACCACCATTAAACAACATTGAAAAAGTATTATTTTAAATTTATTTTAGCGTGTAAAGTAAGACATCATCAGCTGACGTGTCGTCGCTAAACCAAATTCCAGTTTTTACCTAATATTAAATCACTTTTCATCTAATGCTATGTTAAAAGTTTAAACAACTTTCTAACCAACTGAAAACTTTGTTTCTAATAAATATTTACTTGGATTCAATTTCACAGGTAACTATAATATTGATAATAATGTCGATAAACATTCCGATTAAGTACCATAGCTTATTTGTTTGGTCTTTATTATTTCCTATACTACTCATCATCATCAACAGCTGTACGATAACCGCTACTGAGCTTAGGCCTACCCCATTGATCTCCATGACGATCGATCCTTCGCTGGCCGCATCCAGCGGCTATACTACTACTAAGTAACAAATAACATCACTGTGTGTTTTAATACCAAGAAGCTATTAACAGTTGGAAAATTCCAGACACCAACTGTACCGTGTGGCCGGTTCATCAGCAGACATAAGTGCGCTAGAGGCTTCTTTAGATATCATCTCTGCAACGCCTGGAGCCCGAACGAACTCGGGCAAGATAGAAGCTCTAATCAGACTTTCGCCTGAGGTGAAACAGAAATGGTTGGAATACTTCGACCAAAACGACATGTCCTACACGAAGATAGCCGATAATCTGGCTAAGTAAGTATTATAATAAAGCTATATATAGCATAAAAGCATTTTGCAAACTTTTGATGAACTGCTATACATATATCGCACACCTAGATCTAAACTGAGACAACTCAAAAATTTAAGTGAGTTTTGACTAAGTACAATATTCAAGTACTCTGTGATCATACGCATCTATCCAACATAACAGGTTCAATAAAGGTTTGGGGATGAGTCGCTAGATAACTTTAGCTTTCTTTTGTGGATTCAACAGTGGTCGCGTTCCTGCCACGTAAACAAATGTACTATCAGACCTCCACATTAGTTTTTTGAGTTGTCTTAGTTAGATCTAGGTGTGCGATATTTGTAAAATTATATAAAATCAGCGGTTTAATCTCGATTTTGCTGACGTAATTTATAGCCTGTCATTTGCATATGATGCAACTTTCCTTAGGTGAAAGTATTTTTATGATCTGATTAATATTTCCGAATATTACCCCCTAAAAAAAGGATATCAATTCATATCATGATACGGACATAAATACAATGACGAATTGAATAGTAAACAATAGTTACTATAGTCACGTTTTGATTCCCTATACAAACTTCCACTCCTATTTTCATCCGAAAACTTCCACTCCTATTTTTTTATCTGTTAATATTCAGGAAAAAATAAGAAGGGAAAATAGGGAAAAATAAAGGTATGTAAGTATACGATGAAGCTTCCCGTAGATGAAAGAAATTTTAATATCAGTTCAGTGATTTCGCAACCTACTCGTTGCAAACACAACAAAAAATCAAATCTTTCCTCTTTAAAATATTAGTATAAAAGTATAGATTACAGACAATCAACTACTTATTAGTAAGAACTGTATCAATATTTGTAACAATCCCACACACATTGGTAGCAAGTAATAAAATATCTGTATGAAGCACACTTGCTGCAAACCTGCAGAGCATCCAAAGCTTTGAAAAATGTAACCACATCAAATTTACTAAGCTGACGATGGTGATATACATAAACCATTGTATTTTTCATACTAACTATTCAATGTCATTTAGCATTCTTCGTCAGGAGGAACAGGAGATAGCCACAGCAAGAGCATCTGCAAATCGTAATGGAGGAGACATGAGTTGGGACACTTATTATAGACATTCTGAGGTGCGTAAATAACTCTAATAACATCGCTGTGAATACGAAATTCTAAGGATGATCTTTTTATTATTAATTACTTTCCCAGATCAACGATTATATAGACAAGTTAGGAGAACAATATCCTGAATTAGTCACAGTCATAAACGCTGGCCTCAGCTACGAAGGTAGACAAATCAAATACGTCAGGATCTCAACTACTCGCTTCGAGAACTTAAGAAAACCGGTGATTGTCATCGACGCCGCCGTCCACGCCAGAGAATGGGTCACGCCCCCAGTCGCCTTATACATTATTCACCAGTTGGTAGTAGACATCGTGGATAGACAACTGACTGATGAAATTGACTGGGTCATCATTCCCGTAGTCAACGCTGACGGCTATGAATATTCAATTGACACGGTAACAATTTTTTTGTTGACCTCTCAGTTTGTTGGAAAACTGCTTATTCATAGATACGCGACAGTTACCAAAATCGTGACTTGAATTAATGGCCACAAAAGACGTACATATTTTTCTTTACGTTGAACAGGAAAATAAAATAAGCACCATAAAGTACGAAAATCATATTACCGAAAATCATTGTAGATTATGTCACGTCGAAGTAGTTGGCCTCGTATGGTACTGTACGAGAAATATAATGAAATGAGGAAGACGGATTCATTATCTGTTAAAATGTATACGATCAAAACTACTGATTTCTTAAGATAACTTGTGCTATTAATTAACGTGTAATTACCCTATGGAAACTTTCACTTTATGCTCTTTAAGCATTTAATCTCTTTGCATAGGAAGTAGTGTTATTATGACCAATCAATAGCACTTCACTAACAAGTGTTTTTGATACGGTTCTTGTTACTAGATAAAATTGTAAAGTAATAATATTGGACTTCAGATTGTTAGTAAAATGTAAAAATGCAATTTTGAAAACTTTTGCAAAACTGGACGTAGTTAATCAAAAAGGACCCATCCCACACAATGTCCCTTTTGAGATATAAACGATTGAAGCTTAAGATGTATTTGCATGTTGATGTCCCATTTTTTGATATTATATTTTTATGTAATAGCATAGAAAACCACTTACAAATGAAGAAATAATAGAATAATTAACTGAAACGCCAAAATTTAATCGTAAAAACTACTTATTAAAGGTTCTTTATATTTATTGTTTGAATTTAAATGTCAAATGTATTCTCAATATCTAAAATAACCTTTCTACACCTTTTAATAAAAATTACCTTTTAACAAAAATGATTCAAGCGTTTTGAACCTTTATTGTGATTTTTAACCGAGATTAGTGCCTTTAATTTGCTATTTTACTATATGTATCAAAGAAGATTGAGTCGTTTCATGGAAGTAAAATATGAACCTACCAAAGATGTGGGATGTTAACTAGCATTAAAAAAAACTTCATATATTTAATACAGTTCAGAGCTTTTTTCTTATATGAAAGTATAGATCCTGATGGACATTTTCGTATGGTGTGGGCTGGATTCATTTTTAGTAACTACGTCCAATTGAGGCTGAATAAATGAACAACGAAAACTGATAAATATTTTAATGTACATCTAAATATGTCCAAGATACAATTGACTCTGAATTTAAGCCTTTAATTTAAAATGGTCTCTTATATTGAAATAATGTTGAACTAAAATATTCACACTTATAATACCAACGATGACATAAACTTTGCTCATAATGTAACCAATCAGTTTCTCCAGTAAATTTTATCTATAATAGAATAACAATAATGTGATTTTAGGACCGAATGTGGCGTAAGACCCGCTCCAGGGCCCACGCAAACTCCGACGCATGCCCAGGAGTGGACGGCAACAGAAATTTCGATCATCATTGGGGAACCAGTGCGGCCAGTGCTAATCCTTGCAGCATTATATATGAAGGCCCTTCACCTTTCTCTGAACCAGAGATCAGAGTTCTGCGTGATGCTGTATTGAGACAACTCTCTCGGACAGCGCTTTATATTTCATTGCACAGTTTCGGGAACATGTTCCTCTATGCTTGGGGCAACAATGGTATAATAATAAGAATTTAACTAAGTTATAATATTTAAATTTTGCGTACAGTAATAATAGGCGTATAAAAGAAAGACACGTGTGGTAAAATATCTCAGAATATATATTTGTACCACATACTCTATGCTACGTTTCTACACAAAGAAACAACTGCCAATACTAATAAAAAAACTAAATCAATTAAAAAGGTCAATAACCAACTTCGAGTGACATTAAAGCGTTAAGTTGCTAAGCCCATAGTTGTAATTCATAATACGCGTATTGTATATTATATACCGAAAATACCGAAACAACAAAAATACCACCACAAATTATGAAATAATAGTAATATTAGTAGAAATACTACATTGTTCCAAACCTTTTTAACGCTTCATTTGATCATTCACAGGTACTTTACCATCAAACGGCCTCTTCCTCCACATGGCCGGTATAACAATGGCAGAAGCTATCGACGAGCTAGCTCTAGAGGATGCCAGTCGTTACATAGTTGGTAACGCCGCAAACGTTCTATATTTCACCACGGGCACTTCTCGCGACTGGACTCGAGCTATCGGTATCCCTTTGACGTACACCCTCGAGCTTCCAGGTTACGATTACGGATTCCTTGTGCCTCCGTCGTACGTGAAACAAATCGTAACTGAAACATGGGCGGGTATCGCAGCTGGCGCACACCTTGTCCTCAACAATTTATAAATATTTTTAACAATTCTATATCATTATGAGAATTAAAAATATATATATATATTATACATTTATAAAACAAATTGTTCTGATACATGTTTTTTTTAACCCCTTTTCTAGATTTAATGAAAAAAAATAGTGGAGCTTATAGTAGCTAAAAATAACTCCTAAAAATAACTCCTACGAATAACGACGAACCTCCTGATTTTCATGTCATTTTAAAATTAATAGTTTTGTTACTTTTAAAATGACATGAAAATCAGGAGGTTCGTCGTATTTATAGAATAGAATAGAATAGAATAGGTTTTTATTTCAAAGTGATATTTGTTGTATTCTGAATCTATATAAATCAGTTATGGTTAAACCGGGGCTGTCAAGATTGCTTCACTTGTAGAAACCAAAATCAAATTAAAACATGAACAAATCTTTGTAAAAAAATTTATTTCCATTACATTATACATAGAACAAAAAAAAGTTACGTTAAAAGATCTTTTAAACTACACAACATATTTGAATACGGTTCTCAGTAGTTCAGTGTTTCATTAAGAAGGTTTAGTATGTACTATCCTTCCGCCAGCGGCTTCGGTCGAGTGATCTAGTTTTAAGTACAGAAATGAGAAAATTCCATAAAAACTTTCTTCCCCTAATTTACTACCTTAGGGGTTGAATTTCGTGTAGTTAAATGTCTTAGTGAGCACTTGTGTCCTAAAAAGCCGCATGCAAAATTTGTAACTCCGATTCTGAGATTTAGTTTCTGAGATTTCGTGATGGGTAAGTCAATAAAATAATAATACAAAACACGTGGACGAAACCTCTGGCGCAAAGCTAGAAATATAACTAAATATTTTATTGCTTGCGACCCGTGACTCCGCAGTTGAAACGTGATCTATAACAAAAAGTTGAGTAGGGGAGAGCGGGGCTGAAAGTGCCGATTTTGACAAATCCTTTAATAAATCCGATAAAATAGTACTAATGTCTGAACGCAATGGTTTATCTTAAGCCATATTTAGTCCAATTAATGAACATACTTCCATATATTGTACATTTTTAATGGTGTTTGAGAAAAAGCGAGGTTTTCATGCTACGTCGGCACGGCACAACCAACCCCCGTTTGGGGCAAGTTGTGCCGTAGCTGAGGTTGGTTGTGCCGTTGATAACGTTAGATGTTTTACGAGAATAAAATTTTATTTAGAATTTAAAATGCATCAATTTTACAATCAAATATTTATTCGTCATACTTGTTAAGATTTAGTTGATAATAATACTAAGGTATTATAATAATAATTAAATAGATATCTTGACTTACGTAATTATTTCAAACACAAAGCATATTTCTATCAATAGTTTGTACTTATTTGTAATGCGAATGAGATCAACTAGTAAAAATATCAGCCTTTTAAGACTATTTTACGAAAAATAATAAAGTTTTCTCTAAAATTAAGTAACACAGATCTTTCCTTATAATAATCATTTTAAATATTAATCAGTCTCTTGAAAGTCTTTTTAAGAAATCACAAAATATAGGTATCAAAACTAGTTATTTTTCAGATGACTGATCAAAAAACCAATAAGGACATATAAAGGCTACGCTTTCTTCAACTTCAATACATTGCAAATGGGCCCAATTCTTACATTCTCCACATTCTATCCATTTTTCTCCAGGGGTGGAGTTAGAGTAGGCATCACAACATATTATACAATAATATTCTTCTTCGTCATCTTCATCATCGGAACTGTCATCTTGCAAAAACTCTTCTCTTAGCAGGGTTTTTCGTCTGGTTTTTCAATTGTTTAGCCCTTGCCCTTTGCCCTTGCCCTTTCCCTTGCCCTTTCCCTTGCCCTTTCCCTTGCCCTTTCCCTTACCCTTTCCCTTATTTTTTTCTTTAATTTACTTTGTACCTTCGCTTTCTTTCTTCTTTTTATTAGTCTGTTTTTCGGCCAAAGCATTTTTTTCTGGAGTATCCGTGAGAACAGTTGTCTTTCTTTTACGTCATTTATTGTGTCCAATCAACCGGGGAGGTGCTTTAGGCAGTGGTCTTATTAGTTCGGGTGAGAAAATTGCTGTACTTTTATCCTCTCTGTTATTATCAGCTAATTGAAGATCCGAAGGACCTGGTTCACTTATTTAGTCAACGTTGCAGTCGCTTTGCCGAGGAAGAGGCTGTAGTATCGATGGACTAGTCTCAATCTCAACGTTGCTGGCCACATAACTGGACTCATCCAGATATTGAGGATTATTTGCAGGGACAGGCAAGTTGTCTGCTACAGGTTCTGGCATCGAACGATCAGTACCAAAAGAAGGTGCATAATCTTCGTCTGGAAAGATGTTCGAATCATACGGCCAAATGCCAGCCTTTTTAAATGCGTTGCATATATTGGAGGAGTGGTTTCTCTTTAAAAAGTTTGTCAACCAGTCTTTGCCAGCCTCACCATTTCTATGCCATGATTGTGGTATGTTTTACACTTCAAATTTCACGGCACATTGGTACACAAGTTGTCGTACCCCTTGCGGTAAAAGACCGAAGTAAATAGATGCGCTTTTTAATATGTTAATCGTCAGCTGTGCCTCCTGTTCTTGATTAAATACTAGTCTTGGTTTATATCCAACCGCAGGAGTATGTTTTTGACGTAGCGTTGTAGTGTTGTATGACAAATATCCATTCTGTGAAAAACAATAAATGCAAAATAAAGTATCACGTCAACAAGGAGTTTCTCTTCTTCATAAGTGCTCGCGTAAAAGCAAACAATACTGGAACCATCAACGTTACTGAGGGGTTGGTTGTGCCGCGGCACAACCCGCCCCACACGAACGGCACTTTTTGCCCCGTTTATGAAAGTGTGGTATTTTGTCTCACATATAAAAATCTGTCAACTTCAACCAATAAAATTACACTGTAAGGCTAACTAGGATAAATAACGAGCATTTTAGTAAAACTCCCATATTAAAATCACAAAAGATTCTAGCTTGCGACCAAAAAGCATCGACACGAAAATATTTACTTACATGATGCTGGTAACCTCTCACATGCACAGGCACTCGGTCCATTTCGTTGACGCAACTAAAATGGCACACGCGTGTGCCGAACTGTCGGGCATTAGGCGACGCAATACGATCGTATATCTAACTCTTTCCATTTTCGAGATATTGGCATCGGCACAATTTACCCCCGGCACTTTCAGCCCCGCTCTCCCCTACATCTAATTTAACCTAATCAAAACTTATTCTCCGTTCCACTAATCGGTACTGACCACAAAGTACGAGTATATTGTAACCATATCAACGAATCATCAAAAATATTGGCTTTGATCTGTGATCATGACAAACGGTAAGTATGTACACACAGCAGTACGTCAAAATACCAAAAAAAATAAAAAAGTAATTAGTATTTATTTTTAATATTACGTTCTGGCATAAAAATCATAATAAAAACTAATTTCACAGACCCGAAATAAAAAAATATGTTTGGTATATTTTTTGATCTTTGGCTTGCACTATATTTTGATTAATTACGTTATACATTTTAGGATTTTAGGATTAAGGAATACATTTTAGGATCCCTTCAGACATAATGCTGTTCGAATATTTTTTCTTGTACATACATTTTATCATGCATCCTCTATCGCTTGCTATGTATATTTCTTCATCTATCCTGATCCCCATCTGCTGAGTATAAGCACATATATTATGTGGTATACCACTAATAAATTATAGACTTATGTCTCCGCCATTCTGCTCTATTCATTACCTACGTATTTTTTAATATACATTAATGGAAAGTCATAAATAATGTAATAAAGGAACAATTAGCATTAAAAAATAGTCAACATTAATGACGAATATAATGCTTTAGGCTTTCATGGCGCTTGCAACAGCGCCGAAATATCGAGAACTCAATAAAAGCAAGGCACATGGCGTTTTTATTATATTTTGTTAAAAAAAATCCAAACGCCCTATTATAATAGTCATAGGTTATGGATTCGATCCTAGCTTGGTTCCTAAGACGGGTGAATTTTTAAGAGATTTTTAACATCGCAGTCTTATAATGAGGTAGAATAAAAAAACACATTAGTTCCCGAAATTAAACTAGATGTCGCTACGGTACTTTCTTGATTTCTCCATGACAAGTATAAAACTATTCGTTTCCTGCAAAAATCAACTTTTTCTAGAGTCGCCATCTAGTGTAGTTGCTTTTTGGTGATTTCTTTTTTTTAAATACTTCATCATTATAATAGTAGTTATAATTAAACGTAATAAAAATTATTTTACAACTTTGAAAACATTGTCTAAATAGCTTTATTACGGAAGTAAAAGCTACAAAGACCAGACAAAACATCGCTCTTTAGTTCGATTCGGTAATACAGTATAAAATCTGTAACATGGAAGTGATTAGGTGCGTAATGATGAAAATTACAAGACCAATTACTAGAATGATTAAAACAAATTCACCAACAATTAGTACCAGACAGACAAATATAATGTAAATAGAATGAAGCATTTACAAACACAAAGCACACCATCAAAAGAATAAACAGAATCATTAGAAACTTTAGTATTTTATAAAATTACTTTTTAAACTGCCGTAAAGATTAAAACCAAAGTTAAAATACCAAAAAATTAGGCAATCGTTTTTTTTTCGTATTCAATACTTGTTTTGTATTATTCCTTACTTACTTTTGTGTATTAATTCTCAGCTTTCAGTCGTTTCTCTTTATTACGATATATTTGTTACTTAATTATGTTCTGCAAATCAAATAAAAAGTCACTTTTCTACTCGGGCGAAAGGCATTGCTAGTAAATATATAAATAATATTTTATTTAGTTACACCAAATTATTCCACATAAGCTAGGCATTCTCTAAAATAAACGAAATTTTGTGTTATTACCCTTGCCCTTTTGACTTTGCCCGTAAGCCTCTGGTCACCTTGATGCACTCCGTGACTTCAACACTGATGTTGTTTTTTCGTTTGATGAATTCGGGAAATATCAAATGGCATTCAAAGATAAAAAAAAGAATCATTGACATAGTGAGAATGAAAGGGACTAATGAAGTAACTGGTAACTCCGATAGCAAAAATAGCAAATAATGTACCTTATATGTAATTCTTATAAAAAGTCACGAAAAAATAATTAATGGGATTTTAATTTCTGTTAACCATCTATACTCCATTCATTATAACATTAGAAAAAAGAGGATCTCAGAAGCAGCAGTTCAGAACATTTTATTTACAAGATAAATTTAAAAATATATAATAGTTTTGTTGAAATTTTGAACTTTAGGTAGTCTGAAAGAGTTGGGCAATTTTACATTTTCTCGGGGTTGAGATGAGACTAGTATTTTCTAAATTCATCTTTTACTGAGAGCGAACATGGAAATAAAACTATCTATCTGTTGTTTTGATTGATTCTAATTGTAAGTGAATATAATTTATTTATATCCATGTCCAGAACATAAAGGTAAACAAAATGATTTTTTTATTATTACTGTTATAACATTTATTCAGATATTATTAGACTATTGATTAAGACATTGGAAAAACTTGCTGAAATGTCGAAGGTAATTGTTGTAGGCAACTCGGGACTGCACCGGAATAACAATTTAGCAAAACTTAACAACAAAAAGATAACAACTAAAACAAAACTATAAGAAAACAACAAAAAAACAGTGATTACTCAATCACCGAAAATGGCAAGACAACAAGAAAGGCAGTTGCATTTACAATGAATGACAATTCCAGATTACGTATTTTGACTATTATGAATAAATCATTATCTGACAAAATTAAAAAGCTGTACTGCCGAAACGTTTGAAGGGATTGGGCAACGTTTTATATTTGGTAGAGTTATAATGACATGAGAATCGTGCCGAAACTATCTAACCCTGCTTCTTTAGGTTCTTTAAGATGAACACTTTTTATTGTAATAATTATTAAATGTTTTAAGTCGGTCAAATACTCATAAATTAAAAAGACAACGGTTAAGTATAGCTGCTGGTATTTAAGTGGATATGGAGCAAATTAGCCGTTAGTCTTAAGAGTAACATGATTGTTGACAGTTTGTCACAAAGTATACCATAAAAAGAACCTTATTTTCATTCTGTCTAATGCTATAATGAATGAAGTATACAAAGTATTACATGAAAAATCTCACATAGTGAAAATGTTATTGTCGCCCTATTAGACAGGGACAAGTAGCCTCTGTACTTGATATCTCGCTCGGCTCGCTTTTCAGCTGGGAGAAATCAATACTGTTATAAATACAAAAGCCATGATATAGCCAACTTTTCTGAGAGATGATGCACAGCTGAAGACATGACTAGCCCTAAGATTCAACGATACTTTTACTCGATACCTACTTGTATCGAATAGTTTTAAAATGCCTCACCATCGTCGTATTGATACTATTCATATTTGATAAAATTGACTACGGAGAGGAGTTGACGAAACCTCAGCTGTTAGAAATAATTAAGAGAAATAAACCCGAGCCAGTGTATGAAATTGAAAAAATATTAGAAGAAAATGGACACAAATGCTTGTACTTACCTTCCTATCATTGTGATCTCAATCCCATCGAATAAATATGGAGCTCGATGAAAAGAAAATTTTCTGATGTAAATATTGACCACAAAAATTCTGAGATTAGTTCAAGAAGCTTTTGAAAGTATAACGGTTAGTAAGTGGGCTCAGCATTGCAATCATGTTCGCAAGTTACAAGCAGAATATTTGAAGCATGATGTGTATTTGGATAAACCGTTCATTATAGAAGTGATTCGGAAACTGAAAGCGACAATGATAATGATGATATGGATATAAGCGGCGTATGGCCTCACAGCCAGGATGGAGTTGGGCGTCCAAGTTCATCAAAAGGATCATAATTATTGTAAGCCGGGATTCTAATAAAATATTGTTAAGCAACATTTTTTTTTACCCCTCACATCGTTAAGGGAGCCGTGCCCCAGCAGTGGGGACGTATATGGGTTGATGATGATGATGAAACTTTTGTTTTATTCTATTTATTAACAAAGTCATGTCCTACAGGACACTTTTTAAGTGTCTAGATATTTGAGTTTTGTTTAAATAACGAAACTAGTACTAAACTATGGGTTTTTTGTATCAAGCTTGTAACTGCTGAATCCATCTAAGTAGGTGATTATGCAAAATTAGTTTTTTTTAAATATAACGTTTATTTGCAAGTTATTTAATTTTATTTGCCTACATGGTTTAGCATTTAGTTTCTAAGTGGGTACCTAAATTATATCAATGAGGAAGTATTTAAAAAATATAAAGAAACTACAAAAATTTATGTCACTAGATGGCAGCACAAATTGTTGGATCTTAATGTCAATTCATTACGTTAAACCAAAGAGAATAGAATTGTCAGTGTTGTTATGGATCTGATAACTCGAATTAATATCGAGTTGAAATTTAATTAGTTCGAGATATGCAAACGCAACTCGATTAATACAAAGTAATCTTTGAATAATTTTCTTTTTTATTGGTATAGAGGAAAATGGAAACTAACATAATGGAAGTGAGTTTTTTTATTTATTTATGGAAATCAATTGAATTAATGTTGTTATATAATTAAAAGTGGCATTTAGCTACGGTATACAAAAATATTACCGCCAAATAGTTTTTATAAATAAAATAGTTATGCCATAGTAAGTCTAGGAATTATTCATTATAATATTTAACAAATATTCTAAAAACAATAACAACTCTTTTCGATACAAACAAGACTAGGTACATAGTAAGATAAATCAGATTGACTTCATCAAGATTAATAGTCGATTTAGAAACTGCAATGCCCTAATCAATACCAATGACGGGTGTATGAAACTGGAAGTTCAAGTTACAAGAATCACCCACTTAAACATTTTTTTAACTTAGTTTAATATTTGTATTTTATCAAAAACAGTATGAGCTAAAGATTACTCAAACAGAGTGTAATAATATTACAGTTGTAATAATATTAAGGAAACCATATTTGACCATTATTACCATATATTATGAACATTATTTTTATTATTAATATTATTTTTATTTTTGATCAATTTATGTTCAAAACTGCTTAAAAATTCAGTCACTGAATACAGTAAAATTATTTATTTTATTAAATAAACTTATTAGAAAGGAACACGACTATTAACCTCTCTCGCTCGAATCGTTTTTAGGTCAAAAAGTCTTTGGAGTTTGCTATAGAGCACGTCATAGACTCACTAAAACAATATTTCTATGATTTTTGTATTTATGAAGTTAAAATTTAATTTTAAGTTAACATCTACCTAAAACTGAGGAATATTTTTATCATTTTCAGACAATTATATTTCATTTGTTCATTTCATATGAAACAGCTGTTCCATAATAAAAGTAGAGTGAAACGAAACGCAGTGTTTATTTACGTTCGTAAGTCAGTCACACGCAAATCACAATAGTCATTACGCACAAAAGTAAAAATTCTCAGTGTGATGATCTTAATAAAGTGATTTAAGATGTGGTATCTACCATGGTCTGAAAGCATTAAAAAAAGAGCCTGCAGATATCTCCTACAGCGTTATCTGGGAAATTTCCTTGAAGAAAAATTAACTTTAGATCAGCTGAGTGTCGATCTGTACAATGGCACGGGAACTGTTACCAACGTTAGCCTTGACTGCGAAGTAAGTTTTTTTCCATTTTTAAGTCAAAGACCACTGCCCAAAATGTATTACTTTAAATAAGCTTTATTTTCAGTTCGGCTCTCGTGTAAATTATAATACCCCCATGCCAAATTCGAAGTGCGCATTATCTTAAAAATTAACACGTGCGATGATTCGAAACAAAGAAATATTGAAATAAACACTTCAGAGCAAATAGAAGCATAAAATTTACAGAAAGTCTTTTTAGAATTGCTTTGAATAATTAGCTTTGTTTTTCTTAATTACCCTCCTAATATTAGCAAACACATCATTTTTGCAATTTTGATAAAAAGTATTGTATAATTTTGGTGCTTTTCTTATAAATTAATATAGGTTACAGTTTTAAAACAATGAAAAAAAGTCTTGATCAAACAGGAACATTAAATTTTCATAAAATTGTTTTCAAATCACTTTGAATTTAACAGATTATTTTATTACTTAATTACCCTCTTCTCAGTAATTTTTTTTTTGCATCAAACACGTTTTACTAATTTATTATTTCTCATCAAGCACATTACTTATAATAACAAGTTTTGTATCCAACACTATTATCACAGAATAATCATCACCAGCCCTTCCACGTCCCCACTGCAGGGCCTCAGGCCTTCCTTATGGATGGTTAAGGAGGATGGGCCATGACCCTCCACGCTGGCCCAATGTGGATTGGAGGGTATTAACAACTGGTATTCCGAAGCTCGGAGTAGCTTGAGATAATAATTTTTGGTCACCCATCCCGTGACCGAACCTTGCGAAAGTTGCTTAACGATTACGATCGCGGGCCGCGGCGCTTATCCACTACGCCACTGAGCTACACATTTGATAAGTATCACAGAATAATACAGTAGCACAACTAAGAACAAACAGTTGCATTTATGTGCACACAGAGACATGCATTTACATGGATTTTCAGGGGGTCTCAAGGTGCGCTCTGTTGATGGCAAGATTACTAGATGTATTATGTAACTACAATATATAAGTCGGAATGTTTATTTTGTTATGATACTTATCAAACATAAATTACATAGTTGCCTATTTCTACTTCATTTAAAAATATTAAATTCTAATCAAATTATTTATTTAACTTTCTGATTTAGGAAATTTTCACTTTCGGTCAGCCATTTTGAAATTCTTAGTTATTGAACCGAATTGATTAAGTATGTATCTGTACAGCCAAATTCAATTGTTTCATTGTGCAACTTAAAATACAATATACAGCTAATTACAATAGATAAAAAATCATTTAAAATATCAATGTTGTTTTATTACTAACTACTTTTAATAAGAAGGCAACCCTAACAGTCCAATTAATTTCCAAAAATGACTTAACTTTCGCTACTGTATTATTCTGTGCTATTATGTACTTAAATCTACCTGTATGAAGTATCTACATTACTTATCTATAAGTACAGTCATCAGCCAGTCAGATTATAAGAAACTTAAATTTCTCCACTCCATTTTAAAGTTTTTTACATTGAGGGTAGAGATCAAAATTGCCTACTACAGAAATTTGAAATATCTTAGTACCTGTACATTGTTAAAACAACAAAAGAAATCAAAGTTCTCTTTATTAAAATTGGCAGGTAGATTCTTTAGAACAAGTAATTTACAGAGCTGTAAATTATGTCATGGTATGTTACTGAAGCGAGTGAGTGGGAACTATGTACTTCAACATTGGCGGATCATTGTCTGCATACTCACATGCTGGTATTTTTTCTTATAAAGTTATACATGATGTGATTGCTACTTGTAAAGTACCTATAAAATCAATCCTTAAAGTGCATGCATGTTCAAATGGAGATAATGCAATTTGACCAATTTATTTATAGTTAAATATATGCAATGACCTCCACTAATCAAATAAATCAAATGATATCTTGTTTTTATGAAATAAAATATGTCATAATAAGGGGTAATGATAACATAAAGTTGTGCAAAAAAAACTGTTTGAATCTAATTTAATTATATTTTAAACAAAATATAAAAGATTTAATATGCAAATTATTAATCGACTAGCTTTTGCCCGCGACTTCGTCTGTGTGTATTAAAGTAACTTTGAGCAGCATTTCTAACAAATATTTATTCATTATATCGTGTGAAATACCTGAAATAAAGTTTCCTTTATCAAAATCCTTTCTTAGGGGATGCCTATGTCATAGTAGCTTTATGCATGCAAAGTTTCAGCCCGATCGGTTTAAAATTGACGAAGTTTCATACAAACATTCATCCAATATTTTATCCCCTTGGGGATAGAATTGATCAAAATCCTTTCTTAGCGGATGCCTACGTCATAACATCTTCCTGTTAGATATAAAACAATTGTTTGTCTTCTTTTTTCATAATTTCAAACCCACGATTTTCAAGATTTCTGGTCAATTTTCAACAAAACTATTTCTTTCAAAAATATATTTGAGATCCTCATAATAATCTCTCTTATTTGATATGTTACATAATATAGTTTTTGGGTCACCAGCTAACAGTAGTTTCGATAGCTAAGGACAGAGGATGACACATTGTGTGGCCGAAATAGTTTTTAATTGATTACTCACATTATGATTACTATAAAAGCTTTATACAATTTTCACAATAAAGAAGAGAATAGTTAATTTTAGGGGTAACTACTTCATTTCTTTCTACCAAATGAATTCTAGAAATTCATATTTTGGCTGTGACAGAACCCTGCTGATGTTGATGTTACTTCTTTATACAAAATCACTTAGAAGTTAGGCATTTTGGTTATACACTCTAAAAACCTAACAAAAACCACACAAGAAGTTTAAAAAGCCAAACTATCCTAACTAAAATGAAGACTTTGTTCCTTTGAATTTGGAAAACCTAAAAGGTTTGTGTTTATGTCACTCACAGCCAGTTGCACAAACGTGAATTATCATTACTTTAATATCGCATTTCCCGTACAAATTTTCAAATTTAGAACTTTATTTAGAGCTTAAAGACGTCATCAAATTCAACTGACCATCAATGTGTCAGATGATTTTTGCCAGCTTGACCCCCTCTTCTTCTATCTAAGGAAAATACAAATTGACATAGACACCTCCCCAACGCATAAGAATGAATATCGCATCCGCCGCATGGCATACAGAAGCACTACACTGATAAGTGTCGGAATGCATATATGTAAATGCATTCCGACTCACGACATCAACGTGCCTTCCTTCCCGCTGTCCTTTTCTATCCTTTCAAACATTTGTACATTTTACCTATCGTCCATTTTGTCTTTTCCGTCTTGTCTATCTTCTCTTGCAAGAAAGTCCTAATTCGTATTTGTTTATTTGTTACGGGAGTAGGAGAGAATAGTTCCTCAGCTTTCACCCTTATAAGAGACAATAGATCAAACTGAGTGAGGCAATATCATCTCATTTGAAGTAGAAGTTGCTTGGTGAACTACTCAGCATTAACAATGCTAACTGCACGTTGCAACCTGTATAGGCCATCCTAGACGTACTTTGCGGAATCATCCTAAAACAAAACTGCCCCCTAATTGTCTAATTTTAAATCTATTGCAATCGCTTTCAGTTTAAAAAGGTGTTGCACAACCATTGCTGCATAATACAAATACTTTTTTTTCAACTGTCTTCAGAAACAAGCAATGGTTGTGCAACACCTTTCAAACTGAAAGCGATTGCAATAGATTTAAAATTAGACAATTAGGGGGCTGTTTTGACTTGGATATTTAGAGCAAGTACCATCCGTATGGGTATTAAAACTAACTCTCTTTATCCAAAATGCTGAGCCCTTGGAGTGCAGAAACTACAATGCCCGCAATAAGATATCTTAGACTGAATAAGATATCAGAAGAATTCGACACAAAATTTCCTTGCCTTTATACAATAATATTAAGGTTGTCTTGTTTAGTATAGTCCCTAAAAAGTGGAAATATCTTAGACGGCAGCGGACATTAGCTATTTCCTTGGCACTGAACTTTTGCTACATGGCGGAATGCGGCCCATATTGAAAATCGAGATGAATGCAACGCGCTCGTCGATGATATATAAAAAGACAAAGAAGCGTCAAAAACTATTATAAATTAATTAACTTCAAACCGTTATGATAATTGTAAAAGTTCTCAATCTTAACCGCAAAACACAGAAAGTCGTTTTTCCTTGTTTTCTGTTCCCAACCTTAGTCTTCGTCGTCTTGACATTCCTTGTCGAATTTTAAATTTTTTTCTAAGTGTACTAATACGTTAAGTGGTTATTTTTTTAATGTGTTACAGACGAAATAAAGCGAAAGGCACTTTTATTAAAATAATACCATAGAAAGGGCTTTTTAAAAGAAGATCGCACACATTTACCAATAGTAAACACTAATCTTCGGAAAGCTTTTTACTGCAAATCTTGATTTAACCACATTGATGTAACCACTTCTTTCAATTGTTGGTCGAAGCATAAATACTGTCTTCTTACAGTTGTAAGAATAGTTATTTGAATATGATAAAAAGTGCATAAAAATGTAAGAAACCAACAGCAACACGATTAATTACAAAACAGAGCAATATGATATCCAGCATTTACTTCCAATTCGCGCGAAATTTGTAAATGTTAAGATGTAATTTAATGATACTCTTAGCCAGTTGCATAAACATCCATTAAAATTGTAATTACTTTAAGCCACATTACCCATACAAATTTGACATTCATTAGAGCCTAAAGGCGCCATTAAAACTTGATGGACGTTTGTACAACTGACCGTCTGTCTAAAAACATTGTATATTTTTTTCTATGGTTCATTAGAACGTTAGGATTGCATTTGATTACTTTTCAAAAATAGGTGTAATACCCTGTAAGAAGAAAAAATAAAAAAAGATGAATTTGGAAGTAAACTTGTATTTTTTTTTCTATTGTAATCATTACCGTTTGATGAGATCCTTTATTCATTCTCAATTATAACTCAATAACACTTTCTTTATTAATTTGATTAATTTTGCATTCACAATGCTTTAATGATAAATGTTTATAATGAAGAATGCTTAAAATTTCCACAAGGCCCAGGCACCCCGAGATGGGACCCGAACCCATAACCTTTCGTAATCGTGCGACTGCTCTAACCATTGAGCTATCCGAGACCCTCTAGACTTATTATTATTAAGCTACTCCATAATTCTGTATATTACAGGCACTTAATGAACTGGGTGATAGCCAAAACTGGCCCTTGGAGATAGTTGATGGGTACATGCAAGAGATAACTGTCACAATCCCATGGTCGACGTTACTCAAAGATGACTCAGTTGTGGAAGTTAATGGGCTTTCCCTTACTGTACAGCCAAAAGTACGACAAGAACCAGGTAAGTGTGTGGTAAACTAAAATAATAAATAATAATGTAAAATCGAGTATTTATGTTACGTATATTACTTAGATATATACTTCATGGACTCCTATTAAATTATTGTCAAAAGGTTGGGTGATGTAAAATAATGAAAATGAATATCTTTTAAAGTTCTTAACTTACTTGTATAAATAGTTATTTACAAAAATTACACACCAAAACTACCCGGTGTTGATGTGCAATTATATCTCATCTGTTTTGACTTTGTAAGTTCAATGTAAATTGTATCACCGTTTGTTTACCCGTGAAAAAAAAAAAAAAAAAAAAAATGTGCGCTTCCAATGAGACTGAGGGAGGACTGCGGCGCCCCATAGGGACGGCGGCAACGTATGTATGTGCTGCATCAACATTTAAATTACTTGGAATTAACCATACATATGTGACGCTACAATAGGACACTAATATGTTGTTCTATACCTTCAAGATCACTAACATTAAAGTATGTAATAGTTATCTACGAGATTGCCACCTCGTTTTTATCGAGTCCCTGTTGCAAACGCCATGATCGCGGAGTTACTAAAGCCTTGCTAGTGGATGTTATTGGCAGATAAAAAAGTTTATGCAAGCAATTCCGTAGATAAGTAACTTAATTATTCTAATAATAGGACATTCAGTTTCGAACAAAATTTTATTTGTAATAGAATAATTTATAGAGCTTTTTCGCATTTGCATCAGAAATAGAAATTTATTTGCTTTTTCTTACATAGTACCGTCGATGCTGGAGTCAATGTGGTCCTCCATGTCTTCATCGATGCAATTGGCAGCAGATTGTCTAAGGGAAGAGGATGGGCCACAGGAATCAAATCCCGTCGAAGGGATTGAATTGTTTGCTCATACTATAGATTCAAGTAAGTTATTATCATAATATTTAATAAAATACTATAATTGTGTTTCTTCTACAATAATATTTAAATATTTTATTATGATTTTCTTTCAGTATTAAGTCGAGTGAAAGTGAAATTTGTAAATACAAAAATAAGATTAGAACACGTTCCTAAGAATGGCGATAGAGGCATCGCCTTAGAAATTTTCATAAAAAAGTAAGTTATCATGTCCATTTTCCAATCCATTTCATTTAATACTGCTATAGAATAATGCGAGTACTTCTTTATTAATATGTTTGACCTTTATTGAATTACTGATTAGAATTAAATGGGCAGGCATGTGACCTTCACATAATATCTTGTTCAGTCGTATAATTCGATATTCATTGTGAATATAGTTTTCGATATTACAATCTATTGAAGTTGTCGTGTTAAATAACTACTTTATTACAAAGTCATTATTATATTACCCATATAACGGCGAGAACGTATATGAATAATTTACTTAACGACGTTTTAAGAACAGAATTTCAAAGAGTCCAATTAATTACACAACCTGATTGCCACAATTTTTTAACTTAACCTTCCACATATTCATATTTAAAAACAATGAGGAAGTATTTAAAAAAAACATTAGTTCCCGAAATCAAATTAGATGTCACTACAGTACTTTCTTGATTTCTCTATGACATCCCTTCCGATTTTCTTTCGGATTAAATTTTCAAAACTCATTAAACAACTCATATTCTATTTATACTTTTTCGTAATTGTATTGATATCTAAGTTTCGAATTTTACAAATTTCAGTTTTTTTAATATGTTAGTTAAAAGGAACGGAAATGGCTATCTTTGTCCATTCGTTTCTTGCAAAAATCAACTTTTGGTAGATTCGCCATCTAGTAAGGTGCTTTTTTAGTTTTGTTCTTTTTTTTTTCTTAAAATTATTCTTGAAATAGAATGTTGAGGTTTGAATTCATCAGAAAGCCTACTCTATTTGTTCACGAACGAAAACTCAAAAAAAAAAATCTTATAATTTGGTCAAAATTATATCTGTTAAGATTGTACTGCACATCAGAGGTTTATCAGGGTCCTACCTCCATTTCATCATAAATTATCGAAAAACGGTTTTCTTTGTAGTCATTAGCGATTCTAATTCTATATAGACGAAATTCCGTTTTCAGAATCCCTACTTCTTCTCAGTAGGCATTCTGATGTGTAACTGTACAAATTCATATATTACGAAACACCTTTCAGAATCGATTACTTCGATGAAGCTGGTGTTGAACCATCTCCAGATGTGACAGATCCCGACAAATCTAAAACATATTTAGTGGCCACATACACAAATAAGAAAATCCGCTTCGAAGGTGTAACATTATATACCGACGAATTCCCTTCTAAAATGCGTACCATGGCAAGAAGTCTTATCATGGAGAAATCAATGTCATCACAAGCCGACAAATCGGAAACGTCTCCCGTTGACGATGTGAACTATGAAAGCACAACATCAGACATCTTTTATGAGACTCGTAGTGTTATATCTACAATAGACGCTGAACCGATCAAGGAAGAAGTGCCGGAGATAAAAAGCCATATAGAAATAAGGGAAATCACACCCGAAGAAAGAGCTAGTCTACCTGATCCTATACTATTTGCAAAATTGACAGGGCAACAAGAATTGACCCTTAAGATCAAACATTCTGAAGAAGTGGAAGGACCAAAGGTGGAAGTAAAAATGTTGCTAGGTTCTCTAATCGTATTTATTTCTCCACGACAATTGCATACTTTAATTGAGCTTGTTGATGCACTTAATCAACCTCAATTAGAGGATACGAGGTAATTTTTTTAAATTCAATAATCACTTGTTTTATTCAAGCGTATAATATAGTGGAATATTATTGAGCTACTCAATATAAATTCTTTCATATACTTTGTAATATTTTTGAGAATGTTGTAGATGCTTTATAATCTATCCACACACAATATCGTTAAAATTCTGGCATAGCGTTAATCTGCTCTTATATATTTCTAAATTCTATAATATTTTTTCAGTAATATACCTTTGCGCCCAAGTAACGTAAACATTCAATGTAAGCCAATGAGGCAAGCTGATTTCCAACTAATAGAGGCTCAATTACTTGGTAATTTAGAAAGACACAATAGCAAACCGAGCAACGCCAGATACGGCTGGTCCGGGCCAAGTTATGGTGAGTTATAAGTTTCTACTTTCTCTTATTCTTCTAATTTCATCGATATAGTACTAGATACATCAAGTTCCGTCGCACTAATTGTAGCTTTAGAAAGTTAATAAAAGTACTGTCAAAACAGCACGTCAGGCTATACAAAACTGACAAATTTCTCCACTTGTTTTTGACTCCACTTGACTTAATGCAATGTAGGAAGAGTTCAAAATCAATTGAACCCGTAAACCCAATTGAACCATTAATATTATTTTTCACTTTTTATACTTAATAGAAGACGATGACAGCGAAAGCGATAAATTCCATCCTATGACGTCACCGGATGGCAATATGGCGGAGAGTTTCTCTTCATCCGTGAGTTCCATGAGCACCAGCATGACTTCTAGCGTCAACATACCTTCTGCCCCCCCACGCATCAAGAGGAATAGAAAAGGTAACAAATATAAAACATCAAATGACTAAAGGAATGCCTAAGCCAATTTCACTAATTTCATTAATTAAATAAAGATTAAAATCCTAATAAACTTATAGAAAACAGTGATCAATTTGGGATAAAAAAAAAACGATTATTTATCTAAAGAAATCACAAAGCGACCTCTTAAAATACACTTTAAATTCATTTCATCTCATAAAAATATATATAATATCTCAGCCCTGTATAAGAAAAATCTTTGGTATCCTTACGCGTTCATTTGTTTTAGTTCCTCATATTGACGGTGATCCCACGGCCGAAGTGTCCCACGTCAGCTTTAGGCTTACTTCATTGTCCTGCGTTTTATTACATAAGGTAAAAAACTATGATGTGATGCTTTTCAAATAAAGCCTCGATATGTACAACATCTTTTATAGATTACTGTTTTCAATTTAAATATAAATTGAATTAAATGTACGTATATATATAAAAAAGTACAAATCTATTATTGATTATGAATAATTTCCAGGATATCCTTGTGACTAATTCATCATGCACAGAGTGCATATCTCCATCTTCCGCGAATCAGTTACACGAAATCTCCAAAGAGTTCTTTGACAATCTAGCTTCCTTCTCTGTAGTTGAAGGCGATAACAAAGAGTTCTCTATGACCAATACTGCTATAGACATCGCAATGAATCTGAACCATTTGAGGTAAAGGTAGACCATTAACTAATAAGTTTTTTTAAGACAAGAAAGATTGACTGCTTTTACCAAATTATTACAAAATATATATTTTATATTGTATTCTCAGTCCCAGATATGTTACATTAACGTTTTCGTTTTTAACTATTTTAATTGTTAATATTACTTCGTAGGCTTTTAACGTCAGAAGTGACAATAGATGGTAGTGATAAAACCACATGTCACGGAAACCAAACCGTGTGCGAAGCTTCAATAGGAAGGTTTCTCGTTAGAGAGTGCCTTTATTCTAAAGATAACGATAGCAAGCCGCAGGCGTTTGACTTGATACGTTTCGAACATATTGGTGAGTTTCACATAATATCCATATAAATTTTCTCTTGGTTATTTCTTACATTATTCAACCTTTGTAATCAAGCAGCGTTTGGCTATAAGATTATTATTAAACCAAGTAATTTTCCAGAGGAAGAGGAGAAAAAAACAACTCGGGCAAACATCAAAGTAAACTTCAAACAGACTTCGAAGTACATGCGCATCGCTGGGGAAAAGAAACTAGTCTACCCTACTACGGATGTTGTGTAAGGCCCACATATTTTGTAATAGAAAAGTTACAGTAGTCAGAATAAGTCAATAAGTTCTACAAAAACTAAAATTACATTGTAATAAATATGGATTTTGAATTTGTGTCATAAAGGCGAGTTTTAGTCCGTGTATCACGTGACCTAAAGCAAGCCACGGTGTGACGTCATATAGGCAGAAACATTTTGTGTCTGTCAGATTCTTAATCAGTTGCCTATTTTCTTTATTTTGTTCTTGTCTGATTGACAAATATTAACTTAATCTGAGTCTTTAATGTATATAACAATATATTTTATGCGTCTATTTTGCATATCGTTAGGACGTCATGAATGCATTTGTTCTGATATAAACAATATAACATAACACATAGCAAATAATTTAATAAATCCATTTCATCATTTTCTTTCTTGTGTAAAGTATATTTTGTATTTTAGTATGAAATGTACACCATTCCACGTGGACGTAGAGTTGACGTTGATAGAACGTATGGCGGCAACGTTTCACCGAAAATCCACCACATCGAAGAATACACACCCCGCCAGTTCGCCACCACCAAACAACCAATTCAACTTCTCAATGCAGTGCTCAAACTTAGACGCAACTCTAAGGTATAGAGATAAAAATTGCTATTTTAACATTTAAAATTGATAACAATTTTGCATGAAAGTTAATAACATACCTACAATCTTAAAACCGGTACCCAATTGTTAGCTGAGTTTTTTTTTTCAAATATTTTTAATATAAATATCAAGATTGTAAAATTCAATAATTAATTCTTTACGTTTTGGTAATATACAAAAATAAATTTTAATTTTAATATTCAAAAATCTATGCGAATCTAGTATCTAATATGGAAGTACTTCGCAAAACCCGCGATCATAGCGTCGTCCTTTCGTTTATAATATAGACTTATAAATGTCACAGTACACTAAACATTTGAAAAATCATTTTAGTTCATAGTATTGATATATGGTTTAATGCATACACCAATTTTGTTGTTTATGACGTTAGATATTTAGTCCTTCAAAGTTGCTGGTGTCTACAAAATGACCCTGTATATAAATAGCTTTTTTTTTAATAAAATCTGTACCATTTTTATAAAAATATTACATTTGTATATATTAATAGACCAATTTTGTTGTTTATGACTTTAGATATTTAGTCCTTCAAAGTTGCTGGTGTCTACAAAATAACCCTGTATATAAATAACCTTTTTTTTAAATAAAATCTGTACCTTCTCCGAGGGGGATAAAAAAGAGGCTATTGTACTAGCCTGGTATATATAACATTAATATGCTATCCTCCTCACATAGGTTCCCAATAGCCGATCTCCGACCAAACGTGAACCGTGAGATTAGACGCATACGGCCGGACTACCTCGGGTTCGACTTCCAAAATATAACAGTCGGATCACAACAGACACCGAGCGTACGACCGCTGCCCACTACGGTCACATTGAAGGCGACAAGTGTGGACATATATTACCATGTAAGTCATCGTCAACTTATTATAGTCCACTACAGTTACCCGCCTTAGTGGCCCAATGCTAACGACTGCCAGTTAAGAGCTTGAGATAATAAATTTCAATATATTTAATTAAGAAATCAACATTATCTACATTAGCCGCCCCTGTTCTCAATTTCTTTTACGGTCGTTCTTATATTTTTTTTCTTGTCAACTAATACAAATACGTATGTAAATATTTTTCACTCTCTTTGATGCCATCTTCTGAGTTCATGCTATTTATTTTTATTAGTTAAGGCTTGATGCAAATCTAACATATCAACGGAAATATGCATTAGTACGGTCTTACCAAGACAGTCTATTCCAGTTGTAAAAAAAAAACTATGACCGCTAAATTTTACGTTTCTTAAGAAGTTCAGATTCTTGATTATGAGTTATGACCAGAGGTCGGAATTAGGTAGAGTTATTTATGTACTTGCATCGAAATGTTGATATTAATGTGGACCTTCCCGGGATTTCTTTGTTTCTTTCTTTCATTGATGTAAGTTTGGCAACGTCGTGCGTGCAGTAGTTTAAATTGTGTAAAAGTAAATAACTTTTTATTAAAAAAATCACGGGATTTTTTCTGCTCTTTAAAATTAATCTCGGGATTTGAGGCATATCCACTTTATTCTTTCGCTGTATGAAATCGGTGTAAATACATGAATAACTCTACCTAATTCCGACCACTGGTTATGACATATTTTCTGTTATCTGAGATATTGAACATTTGAAGTAAAGCTCACTGTCATAACATTATTGCAAGGATTCGACGTAATGAAACTCACGCTTCAGGTTCACGTAGAACCATTGAATATTAGACCATATTTTCCGGTTGCACATTTGATAGACTGAAGAATCTGTCGATAATGATAATTTGCATGTCAAATTACATATATCTGAACATTGTATAAAACAAAAGTCGCTTCCCGCTATCTGTACGTTAAGATCTTATACAACGGAATTTAATGTGGTTTTCGACAACATATAAAGCGTCTAGCGTAAAGCTAGTATTATATATTAGTCAGTTCTAATCAGTCAGATATTCACCGACCTCAGTTACGTAAACTTATGAAACTACACCAATAATAACTTCACATAGTTATGTTTGTAATGAATCTATTCTCGGATATCTAAGGTAAATCACAAAAACGAAATATCCTTTTAAAATCGGAAATTTTTACATAGGAAAATGACACCTTGCCATCAACACATATAGCTCGAACGACGATGAGTGACCCAATGGAGGCCAACGTACTAGCTGGCAACGCAAACGCTTCCCTTCTACCGACGTGAGTATATCTGAAAGTTAGTACTCTTTGACAATACATGATCCAGATTGCAAGGGCTCTGGGTCATTTCATCACAGAGTACATGTTTCTCACAATATCTTCTTGTATGTTTATTTTTAACAGTTATATTTTAAGCTGTGTTTATATGTAGTAAAGCTTATTTTCATAAAATAATATTTATGTGGAAATAAGCATGCATATTGGTTAAATTAAATAAATTTTTTGAAAGTAGTTCGATCCCCTAATGTACTGAATGACACCCACGGTCGAAACAATATGTTATTGGCTTGTTTTAAATTGTAATTATGTTGTTTTATTTATTTATATATACATAATTTTCTCTTTATTGTCCTGGGATTATTAATTTATCTATGCAATTCTAGTTAGGCTGAAAGAAATGCTGCGTAATTTCTAAGATGAGCTTCTTACTCATTAATACTTTAAAATTTACATAACTTAGGATCTCGCTGACGTTCAAGCCGCGTCAAAACAAAGGGCCGTTCGACACGTTATCAGACGACGCAGCTTTCGAGCCGGCCGTTACTAATCCGATGACGACATCGATGTACGTAATGAAAAATCTCCAAAGCAACGAGCCCAGTCCATTTAGTGGCAAGAAAATGGCCCACCAGAGTGTTGTCAAGCACGAAAATGATACGCGAAGTAAGTACTATTAGTACCTCGACGACTCAGAACAGCATTCCGTTTCACTGCATTTTGCAACCCTACAAGATAACTCGGTTGACTTGGATTTGATTGGACAAAATGAATTTAACGTTTCAATGCTCATCAAATGGAAGTCAGTGAAGCGCTGTATTCATGTCTAATCTGCCGTCCTTAATCCCAGATGCTGCTGTAACTGTATATGTGTAAAAATCACCATTTTTTTTAGGTCAAGAAGAAGAACTGATAGTCCCTGGCACTGAAGAAGAGATGGCGGAGTTCACCACAAGCGCCATAGAGCATTCGTCGGTACACCTTGAATTCAACTTGCCGATTCTCAGTTTGCAACTTGAGTAAGTAACTTTTACACAAATACCTATTCTATGGTGTTCCGTAGTGTAGCAGTTTTCGCATATAATATATATTTAATTTTATTTCTATGGTATGATAAGCACAATTCCGTTTCAAAATTATTTAGGATTGATTACTTCATTATATCTGGCCACTCATAAGAATGAGTGGCTAATTAAGAAATTAGTTCCTAAGCCCGCCGCTCAATACCAGGGAGGCGCCACAAGCATAACCGCCTTTTTTCAAACAAACGAAGTTCAAGACATTGCGCTTTTCAACGTGTTACGTGCGGCCGCATATGAATTAAATTCAATTTAAATGCTATTCTTTATTTATTGCCAATACAAAACAGATAAATTTCTCTAATTAAAAATTGAATTATATAAAAATGTCTTTATGTATTGTCCATATAACGTCTCCTCAAAAAGATTGTTGTCCTACATGAGCTTAAGGAAATATTATAAGTATTTGATACAATCAGTGATACTATGGAAGTCCATTACTATAACCGTGAAATTATGATTTCTAGTAACTCTTACACCCAGTTAGTATTTGCAAGACTGCTTGTCCACCACCCATGGCCAAGTCACGTGTACAAACGGCATCCTCACCTCAGAAATGGTTAGACTTTACAGTGTATAAACACGTGTGGAGTGGTTCTTGTGGTATTTGTTGCCGTTTGTACATGTTTGTACAGACAGTGTACAGCAGGTCTAGCGGCAGTTATAAATATTATATTCTTCCTAATCCTATCACAGATTATGAGTTTACATGATATTATTGTTGTATTAGATCGAAACAACTTTACGAGATCATATACAACCGGATAAATTCGGATCTTCTGTTGTGGGAGCCGCAGTTCGTGGATCCGTTTGAAATCAATCCACTGATGACCCAGTCTATCTATCCCGCCTTTGGAGCTTGTAAAGGCAGTGGTTATGGTGAGTTATTTATTAATTTTCGTTAGTAAGTTTGACATAAAAAGAGTTACTTAAAAGCCTGTCTAAAATTTATCTGAGTTTTAAATGACAAGATATGCAAACTTTTTATAAATGTCTACCTGTATGAAGAACATATTGTAAAATTCATACAGATGTTTTTGTTCTTAACGTTAATGGTGTAGTTTTAGATAAAAAAAATTAAATAAAAATATAAGATCTTCTTTTAAATAAAACAATAAAAAGTATAAATACAGAGCGTTTTATCCATGCCCTACAGATTCTGAATCAGAGAGCTCTTCATCGGAAGAAGAGAACCTATACTATTCGACTTACGACAACAAAGTGAAGTTTGGCTTAACGGGCAACAAGTCAACTCACACCACAAAGGATACTCACGACTTCTGTCTCACGCTTAAAGTCAACAAAGGACTGCTTACCATTTACGCACCTGTCAGAGTAAGCTTTTAAATTTAATACATCCAAAAAAAATATCTATCATTATTTAATATAGCCAAACCTTATGTTATTGGTATTTTAAAAAATATATTATTTTATCTAATTACATAAAACACAATTGCCAATAATAAAATAATATATGAATATTTTTTCACATTATTAATAGCAATGATGATAGCTAAGGCACAGGCGTACGTTATTGATGGAATTGAATTGAATCAAATAGGTAGAGTGGGCCATGACCCACCACGCGGTCCAATTCAGATTGGCGGGTATTAACGACTGCACTTACAGCCAGGACCAAAGGCTTAACGTGACCTATGATCGGACCTTTGGAAAGACGCCAAACTTCCACTAAACACTGTTCTGTCGAGCTTCTTAAAATTGTGTTCACACAATGCATTAAGGTTGGTTATCTCCAAAACCGTAGATAATAATTCACTCAGTGTTATAAATAACAAAATAAAATCATGTCTTTCCAATGCGGATGATCTTTAAACTTTTTCATTATACAAATTTAATTTAATACACCTAAAAAATATTTTTCAATGTATAGTAATATCTATTGGTACTGACCATATTTGATAATGGTTGAAAATTTCTCTAAATCAGGATAGTAACAAGCTCGTGGTACCCGGGCAAATGGGTGAATTGGTGTTGGAAGCGCGCAAACTGTCAATGTGCCAAGTGAGCGGTCTAAATGGCCGCCCAAAGACCGCACAGCTTTGTCTACGAGCTGGCAAGGCGACATTATACCACGACCGTGAGTTTCTTGTTAATCTCTACACTATATATTTATAAAATATACATATTTTTATTATTATAGGATCTGATCAGATGGCACAAAAACTAAAGAAACAATCTCAATTTTTATATGGCAATGTTAATTGACAACTATTGACAGCTGTCATGTCAAAGTGTTAATTAAACAAACAAACAGCTAACTAAATATATGTAATTATAACATCATTACCAGTGATCGAATTAGGAAGATTTGGTGTTATTTTTCTGAAACGAATATATTATAATGGACAGTGGCTTAACTAATTCGTCGGATATTCTATTTTTTTAGTAATTGTGTAATAATAAATGGCAGGAGTAAGGAGTCTGCTCTGACCGGGGGCCCCTTCCAGCTGGGAGCCCCTGGCATTTTGCCGACTTGCCCCCTTTTAGTTATTACTGTTAATATGGACATTTCTTATGATATAGATTGTTTATTATATTTTTTAAGAGATGTCAGAAATGCATAAAAAAGAAGTAGAAGCTTCAAAATAATGATCTGATTTTAAGGGTTAATATAGCCCCTATTGCTTAATACTATTAATTTAAAAAAATGCTACTGAAATCAAATGAATAAAAATTGAATTTAGTAGCAATAATATAATAATAATTTTATATATGAAGTTTTAGTGTTTATAGCACAACCTAATTCCCAATCATATCTGTCTCTGATACAAAGCCTTTCGCTCTTTCTGATGCAATGAAAAAGGACGAAAACCCTACTTAATATTTTTTGCAGCAATCATGACAATACCAACTGAAAAACCAAACTTGAGATTGTACGGAACAAGTCTACCCTCACACCTCAAAAGCACTATCTACCCATCCAACAAAGGTGTCATTATAAAAGAACAATTGCGAAGTAAAGACATGTTCTCAATGGCACTTAAAGTGGCACCAGATTCAGAAACGCCTAATTTGAAAGTAAGAAATCAATTAATAAATCGTTAACATGTATTACGATTAAGTGTTTTAAATAAAAAAGCTGACGAAAACTACTCTGTACCGCTGTTGTTCGAATAAAAAAAAAAAGATAAAAAAAAATACTTAAGTTAAAAATATGTTAAAAAATGCCCGTTTTCACTAACCTAGAATAAGACATAACATAACTAGAATTCACTAAGAATAGCATAATTATGCAGATTTGCCGTTTCACCAAACCTAACGTTAGGTAATAGTATGTTACTACTCTTGCTTAGTATGTGACTAACCACTTGCTTAGTTGTGTAACGTTTGTCTATGATTTTGTCTTTACATGTAAAGAGACAATAAAAAACATATTTTGAGATAATAAAACAAGGAAAAATATTTGTGCTCTCGTATTTACATGAGCACCCAAGTCGTCATTGCCCATTTATAAAAAGTACGAAAATTAAAAAAAAGTGACATTGTTATATTTTAATTCTACTATATAAACTCCTTGATTCCAAATTACCAATTACTAAATTGATTTTATCAAAAAGTAAATTTATATGTCATATTACGCAAATGCCCAGCGCCGTACAATGAATGCATATCCTAACTTTAAGCGTTGCTTAAAGGTGACTTCTTGTCTTCAAAACGCATTTTCACCTCTATTTAGGTGTCACATTTGGGCGACTCCTAAGTTTAGTGAAAACGGGCAAAATTTATTATTCTTTATTAAATACTAATCTTAGGCTATGACTAAGGCCAAGTATTTATCAACTATATCCATAAGGGATAAGGTTGATTATTAATTTATTGATTGATGTTGAAATAAAGTTTAAACGCGCGTAAATTAAATCAAACTAACTGTCAAATTATTACCCACAGACTATTTGTATAGCACTTGGCATAGAGCAAGCAACTCTCCGCCATAGAGGCGATAAAGGTATCGCTTGGCTTACACAATTAATGGATGTAATAGACGTGCTGGATTATCCTGTGCCTGGTTATACACCTTCTATTGTACTATCTGAACTGCATGTCCATGTTTGGGATTGTGCTGTTGACTACAGGTAATTAGAAATTGTGTAATTAAACTATTATTTTTAGAATTTTATATCTGATACATATACAATGAGTAGCTATAGCGTAGTGGATAAGCACCGCGGCTCGCGACCATTGTCGTTAAGCAACTTTCGTAAGGGTCGGTCACGGGATGAATGACCAAATATTATTATCTTGAGCCACTGCGTGCTTCGGAAGACACGTTAAGCCGATGGTGCCGGCTGCATTTGCAGTTGTTAATACCCCCCAATCCATATTTGGCCAGAGTGGATAGTCATGGCCCATCCTCCTTAACCATCCATAAGAAAGTCCTGAGCCCCTGCAGTTGGGACGTACAATGGCTGATAAATATACATGTTTTAATATTGTAATTTCAAATAATGCAAATTAATCATTATTTAACACTTTGCATGTAAAGAGATGACGTTAGCGTTTAATTGTTGAATAAAATAATCCATGTTATTCAGCTATAGCTATATATTTGATTTTTTTTATTCATACCATTAAATTGTTCAAAAACCGCCATAGATCTAGGAATCTATAGGCAAAGAATCTAGGAATATATGATATATTACTTAATATTTATTATTTATTTAGTTAATAAGTTATAATAAGACACCGTGTCGCTCAACCTTTTTAAGAGAAAATACGTTTTATCCTTGAACTGCCATTTCTATGCTTTCCATTTTCCCCAGGCCCCTTTACCTTCCCGTGCGTGCCGTGGTCACGCTCGGCAACTTCAGTGTATCAAGTAATCTCATAGCTGAAACCAACACGTCTTGTCTGAGGTTCCTCGTACAGGAATGTACGCTGTTCCTCTATTACATACACAATACTAAACCCAATGTGGCTGTGCCCTTAGACGACGATAAACACCCAGATGTCAATAAAGACTATATTTGCGTGGTCGATTTGGGATTATTCGAATTATCGTTGAGGATGAACGATAAATCTAATGGGGTAAGTGTTAAAATTTAATTTTATCTTATTAATATTATAAATATGAAAGTTTCTTTGTTTGGATTTTTGTCCGTCAGTCATGCCGAAACTACTGATCGGATTTTGATGAAATTTGGTATACAAGTAGGGTATTAGCTGACATACGGTCAGTTACACAAATGTCCATTAAATGTTTACGGACGACTTAAAGCTCTAATAGATGTCAATTTTGTATGGGTAATGTCGCTTTAAACTAATGAAAAATTTTAATGGGTGTTTGTGCAACTGGCTGTTAGATAATAGATACTTTTTATCGCACGAAACATTTCCCTAGGGACCAAGCGGGCAAAGCCGCTGGCGAAAGCTACTAAATATATAATACTGTATATTATTAATTTCTTATAGAAATTATATATTCAAATTATGTACGCAATAAATCTTTTTTGTGACTGACGTTGATAAGTTGTGTGCCTATGTCGGCTTCCAGTATTACTTTAAATATTTTTTTTCCCCAAAGATCGAAAAAGTCCTGTCAAAGTCAGTTTATTAGAATAACAATAGAAATGCCATCCAACCCAACATTTGATAAAAAAAAATTAATTACGTTATCATTTTTAAATTATTGTTTCGCAAACAATATTCAGTAATATATGGTTACGGCTTATAAATAAACCACGATTAATTTTAAATGTCTCTCAGTCAAGTGACGGCCCTCAAGTGGATTTGAGCGCTTCGAACAACATGTTGAATCTGTACACGTGTTGGGACTCTGCGTCGGCTCTGTGCCGTCTACTGACGTACCTGGCGTCAGACGGCGATTCCCAACAGCCTTTCGATCCTTCATCACGACACACCAGCATATGTTCCGATCAACCATTAGAACAACTCGTTGGTAAGTACATGTGTCTTTGCTAATACTTTAGCTCTTCCAAGAATATATTAAATCGGTTCACTTAAATTTGTAGTAATCTGCGTAATTGTGTTTGAAAACCATTTTTAATTATAGCAATATGAATATTAAATTAAAGGTATCGATGAGGACATTCCCAAAATATATAATTTGTTAAATATCTATTTAATTGGTCAGTAAAAGGTACAAAATAAATAACTTAAACTCCTTGAAATTGAGAGTTGTTAGAAAAGTTTTCAACATATTTTTCCTCTTCCATAGGTCTGGACGATCGGCCGGTAGAAGAAATACGTGAACTGTCCCCGAGTGAAATACAACAAGTCAACGATTTGATGGCCGAAGCAATGAAAGAAAGCCCCAACACAACACGTACGTCTAAATACTGAAAGACTTATATATTGATACTTATTTAAGATTGACTACTTATGTATTGAATATTCAAATTGCATCATCATTATTTTTATTTCATTTGATGCCTTGTATTATCACAAATTTTCCTATAAATAGAATCATATGTCATGGGAGAACTGGCCAAACTAACGCACGCACAATGTCGATTGGTTATTTTAACTAATGCAGAATAACTTATTATCTTGGATCAACTTTCACCTATTATAAATAAATAATGATAATAAATATATATAATATATATATATATATATATATATATATATATATATAACAACATCACATACATTGCTCAGATTCCAAGACGAGTAGCTAAAGCCCCCGTATTATGGAGTATCTGAGACAATGAAGGTACCACAACACCCAGACCCGAGACAATATAGAAAAGTTCATTTTCTACGTTGACCCGACCGGGAATTGAACCCGGGACCTCAGAGGTGGCGACACCTTGAAACCGGCGTGCGAACCACTCGGCTACGGAAGCCGTCTATTAATTTCATATTTTAGTTGTATATATGAATGTGTGGAGCGTAACAAATATTATACATATCTCAAACCTAGTAATTAGTAACGTAATCGGAATTACATACCCATGGTTAATGAAAAAATTATTCGCAAAACGTAGACTGATCTAAACACGCTAACCACTGCTCTATCGAGCTCCTCGGACATAACTTTATTTTCTTTCTTTTACAGTTGAGGAAGACGATCTCAACAGTTCTACAGAAAAGGAGGGTGTAGAAATATTCTTCTTCCCCGATGAATCCAATATGAAGCAGAAACAGGCAGAGCCACCGATCCAAGAGCAATCAGAGCCGAAGTCTCTGGAATTTCACGAATTCCACGTTGGAATTGAGGATGCAGTGGAGACAAAACCTTACAATGCTCACGTTGTCAGAGAGCTCGGTGATCCGACTTCGACGCCCAAACCTTCGCCACAGAAGCCCAGACGGAAAAAGGTAGAATACATATACATATAAGTATAACTACTGTTATTTTATTACACGAAAAAATTAAGTATTATTTACCACTTTAAGTCCCGTAAATGTATTATATTAAATGTATTTTTATAATCTCATAATTTATTATGGATTTGTAATGTTTTTTTTTTTGCTTTTTTATTTTTTTGCTTTTTGTAACTGTTCGCTCCGGGTTATTTTTTCATGCTTAAATAATTTCTAGTAGTAATGACCAGCTTTATCCTCTACTAAAAGTCCACAAAGTTATTTTTAGTGTTTTTTGAAACGACTTATTTACGCTTTAAAATATCGCACACAGACCAGATCTAGCGAGGGTAGTAACACGGACGATGAGTATTGCATCATAGACACCCAATTCATCGAAGAGGACGATGATTTGGCCGAACCTAAAGTAGTTTGGTACGAGGACGGCCCGCCGCCCATGACCGACAATCATTTCAACGTGCCCGCGGCTCGAGCGGACGTGTTACAAGCGCCTAAGAGCTTCCCGCCACCAGTCACCAGGTCAGTTACAGGATATAGGTATATTTGAGAACCTCAAACGTTATACTTAAAGGAAAATGTTCCTAACAAATTCTCTTAAATTTTTGGATGTTTTGCGATTTGATAGAAAATGTACAGTCAGCAAATAATATCAATACTTTATTATGTTAACAAAATAGGCAGGGACGTCTTTACCTATGGTAGAGTGTGTGATCCACCCGGGCGCCGAGTATTATTATTATTATTTACTCTTTACTGTACACAAAAATGGGCTTATCTCTATTAGAGATCTCTTCCAGCCAACCAAGACGTCGTGGGACAGTAATGTGTCTGCGGGTGACACAAAGTGCAATTGATATGACTATAATTACTGTTAAGAAAAACAAATTAGAAAGTAATATATATATATTACCCTTCATATATACATAAATAAGAAGCGATTAATACAGTGTCATGAATACATACATTATGCTAGAAAGTAGTCTCCCGAATCTGAGAACCGTCCGCGAGACAGAGCCTCCACTGTATATGCTCTATGGGTATACGTTGTAAGTTTGCGGCTACACGGAGCGGGCGCACCACGCGCAGCGAATGCCTAACCATATAAAAATAGATTGAATGTATAGTGGGGTTCTAAGGAAATATAAAATAGACTCGTGTAGCCGTTTGCGTACAACGTATACTATGCTATAACGCAGAAACTTCACATGGCATCCTTCGTCATCTTCCCCCACCCATCCCAAGCTCCATGAGACCGCTGATGTAACCTACTACGAAAATATCAACAACCATGTTGATTCTCCTTATTTACTTAGAGAAATTTTATGAAAGTGTCCAATGAGTAACCTGCGTTCTAGGGATACCTTTTACGTTACTTGGAGACGGATTAATTATGTTAATAACCGTTTCGTAGCTACAACTATAAATGTTTACAATTATAAGTATGGTCATGTTGATATCTTCAATCTCAAACCACATCAATTAAAAAACGAATAAATCTGAAATTTTTTTTTTTTTTTTTTTCAGATACTTTAAACTGTGCCTATTATAGTTACAGATTTGCTGTGAATGTTTGTGACGTTAAAATAACATGACGAGAAAATACTTCTAATTGTATTTTCACGACATGTTATTTCTAGATTGTCGTTAAAAAAAACTTAAATTATTAAATGTTATTATTCATTGTTTGTTCGACATAGTATTGCACGTGTTTAGAAGTGGAAACTTTCTAGGCAACTGTACTACTTAATTGAATTATGTATATTCCATGTGTAACTCAATGCTGTTGTTTCCCAAATTAATAAATAAAATAAAATATTTTCGTAGTAGGTATTATATGATAATGATTTTGGCGCCCCCCTGACACTAGGCTCGGGGCAAGTGCCTTTACGTGCCCCGAGCCTAGATCAGTGCCTGAAGAGGGCGCCAGGGTATTGATTGCACACACATAGGCTAGAGATGCCCCTGAAAATAGGAACGACGCAAAAAGTTGTTTTTCAATATGTTTATACCTTTTGATGAAAGATAATCAATCGTCAACAGATATACTCTCTGTGAAATGTCCGTTGCGTGGACTATGTATGGAGGCACCGATTTCCGACAGACATCAGATCCGACACCACCCAAGAAATCAGTCACTATTGACGACCCGCGGAAGCAAGGATCGCCTTCAGTAAGCAAGTACGTACACAAAATTCATTTACTTAACCTATGGACGAAATTCGTTTGAATACATAACTGCATTATGGAATTTACCTATACACGATAATTATATGGTTGCCTTTTTATTAGAAATATAAAATGACTACAACAGATTTTTAAAATGTTATGATGAATGAATGCGTCATATTACTGTTACATTGTAATTTGTATTCAGCTCATCGACGTTTAACCTTAGTTGTTCAATCAATATGTTAATTTGCTACTTGATAGTTACACAATAAATCATGTAATATTTTGGAAATGGTAACTTATACGTAAGCAGTAACTCTGTAGTGTTGTTTGTTTTAAAATAAGTTGTAAGAATATTCTTTTGCAATTTGGACTTGCAAATTAAAACTGTGGATTACATGAATCGTCATAATGTCATCTCTCATTTTAATAAACTAAATGTCAACATTTATGTTGCGAGTACAATCAGAACTCGTTTGTTAAAATGTTACGTCACGGCTCGTAATGCAGTGCCCAGATTGCTTTAGGACAAATTAATGAATAAAATATGTTTTTAATGATTTAATATGATCATATGAAAGTTTTAAAATACTTTTTCCACAACATTAAATAGGCAATTAAACAACTGTTTTGAACATTTTCCGGGTGTCGTAGTACAATTGTTTTAATGTATCATCAGGCGAAGCAAAGATTATGAACCTTATGACACGTCGCGTACTCTCAGCGGCGGTGTCAGTTACTCAGCGGGCTCTGAACGAGCGCGTGCGCACACTAGGGCTCCGCCCCGTCGCGACCTGCGCGAGAGGGGCGGTGCCACCCGTGACCATAGCACCAGCGTTAAAATCTGTCTTAACAAGGTAACACACATTAATAAGAAATGTTTGTTCTGATCTCATTAAACGTCATATATTTGAAGTTTAATGAGATCACAACATCGTGGTAGATTGTTGTTGAAAATTAAATTTTTATTTAATTTTAAAGCAAGAAGACGTGTTTTTTTTTCGAATATTTGTGATACGGCGTTTTTAAATTATTATTTCAAACAGAGAACAAATACCCTTTTTTTGTATCCAGTGAAATATTTATAAACCTTGGATAAATTAGGGGGCAAAATTTCCAACAGATGCAAAACTCATAATTTACGTGACTCTGTGACTTTTGCATTGTAGTTTCTCGTCTGAACATTCCACGTAGTTGTTAAAAGATGTGTTCCGCAATACGTTGCTCTATTTGCACCGCGGTGTATCTCGGGATTAAAACAAGTATTAGCCCATAATTTTTGTCTATGTTATATTTAAGACACATTCAAAAAGGCCCCCTTGATGTCAAACTGGCAGGAACTGATAATAAATCTATACAATAATGAACAAAACTGATTTTCAATAATGACATTAATTTTTTCCTGTTTAATGGAACCCGATGCTAGGTTTTAAAGAATTATTGAATATATTTTGTGATATTTTAAAGCTATATGGTAAGCAAATAGAAATATAAACATATTTGTTATACGTAGCGTGCGTCCTAACTGCACTGGATCAAAATACCTTTTTCAGTTAATACTTTTTTGTAGGTGAAATATGTCCACGAAACGTATCCGTCGAGTGGTAAACATGCCTCCCGGCATACGCTCGCCATCCACAAGATCGAGGTGATCGACCAACTGGAGATCAGCGACATCAACAAGATGCTCAGCCAGTACCAACTGAAGGAGGAGCCTGAAAGAAAACATGCTCACATGGTAAGACATAGAGTGTTTACCTCTGCATCCAACAGAAGTTACATCACCTAACTAAAATAAATAAGTACAGTAGAGCGTCGATTATCCGAACGTCGATCAACCGAACGACCGCTTATCCGAACTCGCGACTCTCCCGCGCCCCGCGCTCGTGCGCGCACTTGTTTCGACTTCAACAATATTCAATTTCTACAATATTAAGTCTGATGACTATTAAAACTGACAACACTTCATCTACTGCAAGTTCAGATAATGAAGATGAAAACATAATTGGTGCTTCACAAGCGTTTACTTGCTTAGATATTGCCTTGCGTTGGTTTGAAACACAAGTCGAGAACGAGCAGTATTAGATATATGTCCTTATAAAATACAACCTAGCCGCTCGTAAACGGGTAGGCTTGCTTCGGCAGACGAAAATTTAAGAATTTTTAAGCGTTAGTAAATTACACTTAATACTCTTAGATTTTCGCCAATATTGTACTTAGAATGTTTTGTTGCAAATACTTCAGTTTATTTGTTTTCTAATTCCTATTTTCCAATAAATATATAATTATGAAAGTACATATGTAAATATGGCTTTAATTCACTCGTGGATAAATAAATATATCAATAGAGTTCAACTATCCGAAAAAACGGTTTTCCGAACCCCCCTGTCCCCCAATTAGTTCGGATAATCGACGACGCTCTACTGTAAATAAGAGTAAAGTAGCCATTCATGTTTTTAAAGTAAATTGAAATTAACAAATATGACTTGCACATTTAATTTTAATGTTTATATATTTAACCTAATTTGATTTTGAATACTTGATTAACAACTATCCATTTTTTTTAAAATATAATCGAAGTATTTCTTTTTAATATTACCAAATAGGTATAATGTTACTGTTACAATGACTTTTAATGAACAGTTAAATTGTGTAAAAAATGTTAAGATTGGTTAACCTTTTGTTATCCTGTCTATCATAAATTAATTTTTTCTTCCTAGTTGGTCGTGAAAGTGGTATTCTTACGACCGGACCCGTCGATGATAGCTCAAGAGTGCTGCATGAAAGTGTCACTACTGCCACTTCGATTCAACCTCGATCAGGATACGCTCGCCTTCGTCGTCGGATACTTCTCCAAGCTCGGCACCGACGAGACCTGTGGTAAGGGCACTTTTCACTTTAAGTCCCTCCTGATTTATCTAATTTGCCCTTTTTTTTCAACAAGTTTTATTGTAGCGGTACAATCATATAAAGGCTATGCATACAGATAAGAAGAAATTGTGACAAAATGAATGGGCCAGACAATAATAAAATGATTGCGTATTATGCGAGATAGATCGTATCTTTTTGTTCAGTTTACTTGTATTTTGATCTTTGTTCAAAATCAACTTAAAATTGGTGATATTGGCTTAGATATTCCCTTAATTATCCGATGCTAGTCATAAAATTAATCAAATTAAAACAATTGTGATCTAATATTTTCATTTCTTTCAAACGTATAATTTAATGAACAATATGTTAATTGACCTTCCCCTCTTAATTGAATATGTTTGAATGTTCATTACTATATAGTCTGCTTTTTTTACTGTGGACTTTCTAAATGGAGCTAAAAAAGGTGTCACACACTCAAATTCGAGCGAGTTACTTAGCGTCACTGCCTATACATTCACCCTTCGGAAGAACTTACTGATCTTAATAACTCATACTAATTATATCATTTTAATATTCACCAATAAAAAAGCAAATTGTGTTTTAATGTTACATATACTTTATTGGAGTTGTTCTAACCGCTTCTCAAGTACAATGGTCCTTCGAGCCGGACATGCCAGTCCATAGTAATATTAACAACAAGTCAATTCCAACAGATGACGATTCTAAGAGCTTGGGAGGACTGTCGACAGATTCTAGCGGTTCCCGTCAAACGACTCCCACACATCGACCGCCCGTCATGAGCATCGCCAGCCATCTCCGCGACCCCCCACCTACCCCCACTTCATTGGGCGACGTCGACGCCTTATCGCTAAATGAAGCTGGTAAGAGTACCGACACAAACTTATAATCCTATTAATATTATAAATGTGAAAAATTCCTTGTTTGGATGTTTAGATGTTCGGATGTTTGTCGGTCATTCACGCCGAAACTACTGAATGGATTTTGATGAAATTTGGTATAAAGATAGGGTGTTAGCTGACTTAGATAATAGGATACTTTTTATTCCACTAAACATTTCCCTAGGGTCCAAGCAGGCGAAGCCGCTGGCGAAAGCTAGTAATTACTAAAGCTTATACATTACTAATTATTACTGGCCCAGAACAATGTCCTACACGAAGATAGCCGATAATGTGGCTGAGTAGGTATTAAAGTAAAGCTATACTATAATATAAAAGCATACTGCCAACTGTTGTTGAACTACAGCTGACGAAGCTATTCGCCCGTGTAAATTATAGACTACGTTACCCGCGTAAGATTTGACTTCACATAGGTGAAAGAATTTTTTAAATCTTTTCAGAAGTTTCGGAACCTATTTGATGCAAACAAACAATCAAACATTTTCTCTTTATAATGCTCGATTAGATTACTAACTGATACTTTGTAATAAAATAAATTCTATTTATGTTTATTATTTATTTATGCACCACAAACAAGATTACAACACACTTATGCTAAAAGTTACATAAATTAGGACTAATTGTAAACTCAATGTTTGATGATTAATTAAGTAATTCGCAACGACGAGCCGCTTATGGAGACATACGAAGCTGAGCGCCTGGTCTCCGAAAACCTCATCCAGTTGGAGGAGGACTTTCAGCGGCTGGGGCTCACCCAAGATAAACCTGCAGTTAAACCTGTGGACAATGAGCCCATAGACGACTCGCCGATCTACTTCCGGTAGGTACTAATGTCATAATAATATCCTAAAATAATAATACTTCAGGCCCGGACCCGGACCTATTTTTTAACCGGGGCAGAAACTTCGTTTGGCGCCCTTCTTTCTTTGCCAAACAGCGTTAAATATATTTTCCAAGTTTTTGTACAGGATTTAAAAGATATACAGACTAAAGATGTTAATGGTTTTGTTTCAGGCGTGTGGTCTTCTCACCCGAGGTGCCCATACGTCTGGATTACGTTGGAAAACGCGTGGATCTATCCGCCGGCCCCGTCGCAGGATTACTTATGGGCCTTGGACATCTCAACTGCTCTGAGCTCACACTCAAACGACTCGACTATAGGTGACACACTACAATATTCTTAAAAATATCTATGTCATGGAAAAGTGCATAATCGGTCATTTTATAAATCTCAGGAAAACTACAGAAACAAATTAACCCGACAATATTAATAATGCTCGTCAACTAGGTGCAGTGTTATTTATTACATTGTTGTTATTTTTATCAAATTACCTGAAAACCGCATAGCAATATTAATAAAGTCAGAGCAATGTGATAGCAATTCAAATCATAATTATTAATATTGCCTTAAGTAACTTAATTGTGTCCATAATACGCAGTCATTATGAATAATGCCCTGATTTTAGTACATAAGATATACTTAATAAACAGCAATCATAATTTTGATACTTGGTCCTTGCTATATTATTCTTTAATAAAATCAGCATTCAACTCGACGTCGAGCACAGCGCTGTCCTTTATTGCCTTTTTGGAGTAGGTTTTATTAGTGCTATGCTCAATAATGTGATCGACGCTGTGATTTTTACTAAATAAAACTGCTGTTCTGTTGAGTTTAATAAAAATTTATTTCAATAACAACCGTTTTTTGACACAGTTTTTTCATCAACATTCCGTTATGCTAATAACTACTGGCATCATGTAAATAAAGTCATGGGGAAATGCTTATTTTATTTATGATATTTGAAACGCCAATGAAGTGCTATTATAGATTACCTGCGCAGAATCACGGCCGAGTTGGTTCAATCTAGCTTCAAGAGATTGCGAGCGCTAAATTTTCCGTAAAAAAAAAATTGTTAGGATTTGTAATAACTATTACAATATTCTTAACCTTGCCCTGAGTTCTGGACTACGCCATGACCAGCTCGGACAAAAAACTAGAAACGCTAATATTATATGTTTTGGTTTAGACTCGGTCTGCTAGGTCTCGAGAAATTGGTCCAGTGGGCGATGCACGAATGGCTGACTGATATCAAGCGGCATCAACTGCCTGGCCTTCTCAGCGGGATTGGACCAATGCACTCGCTTCTGCAGCTCAGTAAGTCAAATTAGATCACAAGACATTGGAAGCGACTTTGTTCTTGTTAATTTTAGAATCGATATCCTTGCAAACGTAAAAATTATTTAAGTACTCCCATACTGAATATAGAAAACCGATCCGCTTTCAGTTTAAGCCATGCTATGCTTGCTGGTGAACATTATTAGTGGTATAAAAATAATAATGATATTCAAGAATTATTTACATGTTTACAGATAGCTTATTTTGAAACTTGGTTTCTACTGGTAATCATGATTTTCAAATACCTATTGAACCTCTTTTTCTTTTGAATTTTCCATAATTTATTAGTGTGCCTGATTTCAGCTCTATCAGTCCAGTAGCCTTTATACAGGGTTATTTGTAAAACACCAGTAACGTTGCTACTAGTTGTACCAGTTTCGATAATGCGTTACGTTTAGTTTTGTATCAAATTTGAATTCAATTTATATCGCTCGAATATTAATAATTCTGGGCACAATACTAATATTTTACTTATTATTTTAAAGCACGCGATCATAGTGTTTATAAATAAATAAATATAACAACATCACATACATTGCTCAGATTCCAAGATGAGTAGCTAAAGCCCCCGTATTATGGAGTATCTGAGACAACGAAGGTACCACAACACCCAGACTCGAGTCAATATAGAAAAGTTCATTTTCTACATTGACCCGACCGGAAATCGAACCCGGGACCTCAGAGATGGCGACACCTTGAAACCGGCGTGCGAACCACTCGGCTACGGAGGTTGTCATGAAGACGTATAAAAGTCCAGGCAAAACAAATAAAAACGTCATTTGTTTCAAAGTTATATTAAATGAATGTATCTTTAATTTATTAAGTTAAATGCACTAGTTATACACGAATGGCGCTACTGTGTTAGTTTTAGTTAGGCACGTTCAGTTTTCTTTCCTTCGTTTCCAGATGGTATGTGTGCTTTTGTTCTCCGAATAAAAATTATTATTTGATTGCATAATTTGAATTTTTACTTATTTTAACTGTTTGAGATCTCCTTGCAAATTTGCAACAGCAAAATTTTTTTATTTTTATTTAAAACTGTTTTTTTCTGTTTGGGTCAAGATAATTTGGGTTTTATTATTATTTATCACAAACTGTTATCTCTCCAAAACTGTCAACAAAATTAGATTCTGACCACAATTTAATTTTTTTTCGACAAAAAAAATATAAATACAATTTATCACAAAATTGGCTCACTTTCAAATTGGATACATTATGTGAGATAAAAATCATTGTAAATGACCTCCCCTACCACCCTTAAAAGGATCCGGTCTAATTACCCATAACTCTGTATATAACTTTAAAAGTAAGCGGCTTCGAAACAATTAAGTTTATAAAAACTGAATAAATATTGCTCCTACAATGGCTTGATTTTTGTTTACTTTAGTAACAGGTATCCGCGACTTGGTATGGTTACCGGTGGAACAGTGGCGTCGCGACGGTCGCCTCGTGCACGGCCTGAGGAGGGGCGCCGCATCGTTTAGCGCTCGTACCGCTGTCGCAGCACTAGACATCACAACACGTATACTCCATCTGATACAGGCAAGTTTATTTATACGTCTATCTATCTATGCAATCCGTAATCTATATTAAAATAGTTAAAAAGATTTGCGTTGCAGTGAAGAATCCGACTCCACGTAAAAAAATCATACCAAGAAGTAACTCATTTATGTAATGATTGTATGATTTTTGTTTATTTTATCTGAATCTGACAATTTCCTGCAATCTGCAAAATTTAAGCAAAAAAAGCAAAAATTTACGTCATTAAGTTACCGCAGTTACAGAGGAATTTCACCACGTAGACATTGGTAGTCTCCAGCTTTTATGGACAATTGCATGGCAATCTAGATGTTCTACAATAAGGTCTAAAGTCAAAAGTAAAGACAAAAGTCTTTAGCAAAGATTATCTTTGCAAACAATCAGCTTAAATTTTAAACTAAAGATTTTCTGGCTGTTTAGCTATAAATACTCCTCACCCATACAACGGATTTCTATGCGGTTTTCTATAGGAAATGTAACAGGCGAAAAGCAGGCGTGGTCGTCAGTACTTTATTATTTTTCTTTTGCTACAGGCGACAGCGGAAACAGCTTTCGACATGTTGACTCCTGGTCCAACATTGCAACTGCAAGCGGCATACGAAAGCCGACGGCGAAGACGTCGACGCGACCCGTCCAGACATCCAACTGATATTAGGGAAGGAGTGGCCACCGCCTACCAGACGGTCCGAGAGGTGAGCGATTATTAATAAGTTCTAAAATCGGGTTGCAATGTCGGTCCCATTCTATTTGACAGTCTAAAAGATCTTTTTGTATGCATAGATCATTTTTTAGTCACGAGTATAAGAGTACAACTTAATGCTACTTTTTTAGGCATACATCATTGACACAGATATTCATATTTATATATATTTTTATAATGTTTCATTTATGGTAGGCTATATAATGTAAAAAGAAAGATATTGATGCTTGATAAAAATGCGTAAAATTTGGCGAGTATATATGAAAAGAGTGATGAAAGTGGATGAAGCGAAAGATGTATGCAAGGACCGTACATTGTGGCGCTCGGTCGTATGAGGAGTCTGTGAGTGTGCACATTTTAGTTTTATTTTGTAGAATAGAAATCAGTACTACTCGTACAAATTAACATGACGCCACATTTCATATCTTTAATCAGATATTATTCACGCACAATAAAACTGGGTAATTTCTCGATTTATTTGTACTACAGTGTAGAATTTCATATGTTTGACAGGATTTTTTTTATGATATAAAACCGTTTGTAACTCTCCATACTGTATTTTTACGCTTTCTACATACGATTTTCTACGTACGAAATAAAAAAAAGCTGACATTTGTTATGACATCTGTGATCTTTCATTAAGGATTAAGGCATTACGCACGTACAGCTTAGTCTTTTACCAAAAAGAAAAACAAAAGATACTGACGGTCAGTCGCACAAACGTCCATTAAGGTTTAAGGACGAATTTAAGCTCTAATGAATGTCAATTTGTATGGGTAATGTCGTTTTAAATTAATGACAATTTTAATGGACGTTTGTGCAACTGGCTGTGAGTCTCATAAATATTTAATTTATTTTATGTTTATGAAACAATTTTATATCAATTCTGTTTATTTTATTATAGTTATGGTATTATATACCTATTTATATTTATTTAGTTGCACGTTACACATCAACAGGCGCTGTCAGAGTATCAGCGTTGCGACTTATGTCGTAACAACACACAACTGTCATTGTTATTATTTTTTCTCCATTCATTTTTATATAACGTTTGTTTTATTTTTTGGTGTTTTCTTACTTTATTTGAAGGTCTATTTCTCCGCAAACGAAATTTCGTCTTTCGAAATCCTAATAATAAAACAACAAAGAAATAATAAAACGTTAGTCAGATAATAGAAAATATTAGATACGTATTTTTTTTTACTTCAATTTAACAAGAAATAGCTTAGATAACAGGCATTAAAGTTGAGGAGTGGGAGCTCGCTACGTCACAGTTGAGTAAAAAACGTACTCTAACGTGACGTCATGCGAAATTTCAACTCAATGTAACGCCGTAATTTTATGATAACAAAAAAAATACGTGTTTAATATTTTTTAACACTAACTGACGGACAAACAAACAAAAATTAGTCATCATCCTTGTTAGTACGAGTTATAAACCATCGCGTGGTAGGGTTTCGCGGAGACGGCGGCGACCATGGCGTTGGCGGCGCGCAGCTCCAGCGGGGTGGGTGTGCTGCGGCACTTGCCCGGCGCCGCGGTGACGCCGCTGGCGCTGGCGGCGGCCGGCGCGGCGGACGTACTGGGCGGCGTGCGGGCACACCTCGCGCCGCACCGCGCCCGCGACCACGCGGACAAGTACCGGAGACACCCGCCCGGTAAGTGGGGCGTACACATGATTAGTGTTGCCAGACGTCCCGCATTTAGCGGGATGTCCCGCTTTTCAGAACACGTCCCGCCAGACCCCTGAGCGGGACGCCCAAAATCCCGCTTTATCAGCCATACCGGTAATCACTATATGAGTGAACGACTGCCGACTATGCATGCGAGGCGCGCGATCTCATAGAAAAGAAGTTCCTTTTATGTTATGTTTTTGTTTTTAGAGTTAAATGTAGTAGCGATTACACTTCCCGATTTCCTAAATCCAATGCGGCATACATTGCGTTATACCAAGGTATGAGAATGGACAGTTGCAAACAAAAACGGCAATGTATGCCGAGCTAAATGCGTTTCAAATTAAAATTTGAATGAGTTTCGATATTGTAAATATTTTATTCTGTCCCGACTTTTTCACCCCAGTCCCGCTTTTTTTATGCTAATGTCCCGATATTTAGAAAAACTAATCTGGCAACGGTACACATGATGCTTTTAGCGTTGCATGTATAATCGACTGGAAAACCCTAGCATATACAAATCGTCGGTCCAGTGATAAACTATTAAATCTGCAATTTTGGCAGTTTTGAGTGAAATATGCTAAGACATTTTTTTTAATATATCCACAATGTGGGAAAAACCTGTAACTATAAGTTTACCGAGATAAATGTTGTTTAAAAGTGCTTATCTGCCAAATCTAAAATTAGTGCAAAAGTAAACTAATCAATGTGAAAAAATGTTCAGTTTAGCAAAACCAAAATCTGTTACTTATAAAAATATCACCATGGTCAACTTGTTAAAATGGCAGATTGATTAGTTTACCTTAGTGCAAAGAATCACTTAAGGTAGTTTTCAATCAAAATTGTGCGTCGTACAGAATACGCCAACGTAGTCAACTCACGTAGATATGTGATACTTTAGCTACTTGAAAACAGTGAAATTATTTTACTTGTCTCATTCTGACCACGGTAAACAAGTTAATCTGCTTCAATTACGTAAATAACGTAAAAAATATAATTTTATTTATATCTACCTAAAGTACAATTTTTTTACTCATAAATAAAAAAAACATGTAAAGATAGCTGTTAAATTTGATTTACAGTAACAATTATTGTCTTCTTTTTGCTCTCCTGGAAAGTTGGACTTTTGCAGATTGCATAGTTTACCACTGGACCGACGAAATATCGAAATTGATATTCTATGGCGCTTGGTTATGTTTGCGCGCAAACACAACCGAGCGCGTTCGGAGGCCATACACGTTAGGGTTTGCATGATGCTTTTGCGTGCATGCATAACTTACTGGAAAACCCAAGCACGTACATGTAACCAAGCAAATATCGAAATTGATATTTTATAGCATAACCGAGCGCGTGTGCCGTTCGCTGAGCTTGCCTGCACGATTCTGTTTTCAAATATCAATAATCATGAACAGGTTCAAATAAAGTTTTTTTCATTCGTAAATGTATTTTGTTATCTTTTAGTGTAAATCTCAACTAATTTGTAAAATGTTGCATGCGAAAACTGCTTTCTTTTTAGTAACCAACGTGTACAACGTGTTCATTAAGTGCAATCTCGTTTTCTTTTTCTGTTCTGCAGAATAAGTTTTAAGCCAAGTACAGCTATCACGTCGTCGTCGTTCATTGTAGTATTATAAACCGTCTTACACATAACGTCAAGTACCTCAACTGAGAGTTTATGGCAAAACTGTGCATACAAACCCTAACGTGTATGTGTCATATGAAACTCGATTATGTTAGTCGGTTATGAATGCACGGCTAAAACCACTATGCAAACCCGAACGTGCATGGCCACCATAACAGAGTGCAGATGCGCGGTCCGTCTACACATTACTAGATGGCGTTATGCGCTAATGAATCGCGCTAACACTGTCGAAATAACGCATGTAATTTCGATGTAAGATAAGTTCGATGTAATTGCGATATAGTTATGCATCGGGTCGGCGAGGTATGGACGATCATTGAGAAAAAAAGGGTTGGATAGCGTTCTAGAACTTTTTGGTAGTGCCGAGGCTAATCTAGACTAGGCATGTCGATTCACTTGAAAAAAAAATCGATCTCCGATTCGATTCGAATATACTAGAATCAGTTCTCGATTAAAGCGAGCATTAAAAGATCGATTTTCGATCGCGAATTTTCAAATTAAACATGCCTTATATAGACTCAAAGCATTATTGATGATAATTTACCATTATTACAAGTAATGTAGGATATATGGATGGATGTACCAAACCGGCAGTCTATTATAATAGACGTGCGATATATGGGTGATTCCACGGGCTGGAGTAACAGTGACAGTAGTGACAACTATACTATACTTGACTGAAAATGCGTTCATAAATATTTATTGTATGGGTTTAAATTATCAATGCGTCTGACAACAGTTAATTATTAAAAACTATAAATATCGTAGCATATTTAGGAATTTTATATTGCTAGTTCTTGAATTGAATTAAATCGGTCCGATTCGAGGGGTTCATGCATCGATTCAAGAATCGATGTAACATTCCAAATTGATCTGAAAAACCGATTAATTTACTCTAAATAATCGATTTTTGATTAATTGATTTCAGATCGACATGCCTACCTAGAATATACTGTTCTAAACTGTACTCCATTCATTATAGCATTAGACAGAAGTTAAATAAGGTTCTTTTTATGGTATACTTTGTGACAAAACATCAATAATCATGTTACTTTTAAGACTGACGGCTAATTTGCTACATATCCACTTAAATACCAGCTGCTATACTTAACTGTTGTCATTTAAGCTATCAATTAAACAAATTTATGAGTATATGACTAACTTAAATGATTTAATAACTATTACAATAAAAACTGTTCATCGTAAAGAAGCAGGGTTGAATAGTTTCGGCACGATTCTCATAACCCCCTCAAACGTTTCGGTAGTACAGCTTTTTAATTTTGTCAGACTATTATTTATTCATAATTGTTAAAATCGTAATCTAGGATTGTCATCCATTGTGAATGCTACTGCCTTTCTTGTTGTTTTGCCGTTTTCCGTGATTAAGTTGTTATTGTTTTATTTTTGTTTTGTTTTTGTTGTTAAGTTTTGTTAAATATGGACGATACCGGTTCAGGCCCGAGTGGCCTACAAAAATTACGCTCTAATACGCTCATACCTACCCTCAACCTTTGACATTTCAGGAAGTTTGTCCGATGTCTTCATCAATAGTCTAACTAATTACACTTACAATTAGAATTTATCAAAAGAACAGACATATAGTATTAGTTTTAGTTCCATGTTGGCTTGGGAGTAAAAGATGAATTTATAAAATGCTGGCCTTATCTCAACCCCTAGGTATCGTAAAAAATGGAAAATTGCCCAGCTATTTCAGACTACCTAACGTTCAAAGTTTCAACAAAACTAATATACAGGAATAATTTACAACCACTGCGAAGATTTTGTGAAAATAAACTTTAAGTAATTTAAATAAACACGTATTTTTTATTTTGATATGTTCTAATACTAAAAAATAAAGTTATCGCTTATCAAAGATCGAGATTTTAAAACTTAATTTATGGACACCGCGCGCCGTGCGTCAGCTGAGCGCTCGATCGACGCCGCGCCGTAGGCATGTACTCGTAGGTACCTATCTACACGGGTCACTGAACGCTCATTTTGTTAGATTCGAACTAGATTTTATGCCATGATCTGAGGTGATTTCTAAGAGTAATTCCAATTTTCCCTTCATACTTTTATGGTTAAGGCCATCAAAATGCAAAAAAATAAAAGAGAAACAAATTCGTTGCCTAGAAAAAAATATTAACGTTATGCCGAAGTTACATAGGTACTTCTGCGTTAAGGCGTATTTAAAAAAATTAGAATCAACTACGTTTTTACAATAATGTTGAATCAAAACAAATACCTAACTAATTACTTACCATGTATTTTAATATTTGTTCAAAATGAAGTCCACGTCTGTCCAGACATAAACGTGCACATTTCATTAAATTGTCATTTAATTTGTTTAAAACACTAGTGTCACTTTTCACTTCACTGAAAGCGTTATTATTTTTTATTGTTAAGTCTTCTAGACTTTGTGCCTCCTCTACATCTCGGCGTTTGACTTCTTCCCATATGAAACAGTCCCTCACTTGTGAACAATGCCTCATCCGTCTACAAGATGTTTGCATCGCGGTGATGTAGAAGCCACTCACATAAGGCTCGACGTGGTACTGGGTCTAGGTCATGGAACTGCTGAACCGGCTGAAAGTGGTACGGATGGAGTCCGGCTGTTTTTAGCAGCTTCAATACCGCAGGCTGGCTCACGTCAAAGAGATATGCCGCATCGTGGGTACTGACTCTGGGACTTCGTCTGTTAAAATGGTTCGAAGCATTACGGATCCCAAAGGCCCGCATACGAGGTATGCTCTTCGTCGCATACTTTCTCCGAATTGTGCTTATGTAGGTTCTCACCACTCAGAAAATAAACTCGTACCATCTCATAAAACTCACGACGGCAGGCGGGTCGCGTGCGCAGGAACGCGAGGACACGTCACATCGGCGCGTGCGTATGAGTCTCACTGTCGCGCGCGTCGCTCGGTCCCGGCGGGGCGGTGGGGGCTGTGGCGGGGGGCTACCGGGCGCGGCGGGGTTGCACGGTGGTATACGCAAGAGAAGACGTTTTCATTGAAGTTTTATTTTAAAAAAATGTGTCCATATTCTACCGTTTCGATAGGGATAAAAATATTTTTTTAAAAAAATTAACTAATTATGGAAAAGTGTTCTATTACTGATACTGAACCATCAAAAAAAATTTTTGCACTGGAAAAAAAATATTCCTGTATATTTTTTTAAATTTATCTTGAAAATAAAATGTTCTGCACTGCTGCCTCTATGACACTCTTTTTTCTAATGTTATAATGAATGGAGTATAGAACATTTAAGATGTGGTATCGGCCCCTACAAATACGCGGTGCACTACCCGTCCCGGCATTCTTTCAGTGACTAGAGGACTGCATACGAGAGTGACTTCGATCAGAAATGCCACAGCCAGAACTCTGTGTAGATTTTTTTTAATTCTGTCAATGCGCCATCATTCACTTTTCTCTTTATCAGTAACAATATACATTGCTCAGATTCCAAGCTGAGTAGCTAAAGCATATGCGTAGTATGGGGTTTAAGAAATAACTCTCCTTGACTCCATGCTTCGGAAGGTACGTCCCAGCCAACACATAAGCCAGATAGTAGCGAAAATATATCATAATAAGCAGTGTCAAGCTTTATTACTTTTGCATTACAGATGACGTTATGGCTTTATTTTGAATAAGAGAATTTTAAAATTAAAATAATGTTGTTAGCTTACTTAATTCTGTATAAAGTTTGCGATATTTTTTCAAGCTGAATAGTAAGCAAGAGTAGAATCTGTTAAACAAGCGATATTCAAATAAAAGTAATTGAAACAGCTATTATCTGCACAGTAGCTGAAGTTTTTGCATTGTCTTGTATAACATATTTAAGCAAAGCAGTTAAACAGCAAAACGCTGAATATTAGACGAAATATTTTCTTTAAGCTGCATAGTGTACGAAATGGTACTAATTTATTCAGATGCTGAATATTTTAGATTTTTCTTCTTTACACAGCTGACTTCTGCATAATTGAAAATAAACTCCTTGTTTAACCTAACTTATAGCGCTATAAGCGTACAATTGTCTTTGTGTTAAGCTTTAAACAATATCAGTTACAAATGTGGGTATATTAAGCAGCAAATAACTGATTAGTTGAAGATATTGTATGTTTATATCCAGATATTTCACAATTTTGTGACCAAACTGATAAATACTGCATCACATATTGTTGATGCAGTATTTCCTCCTTCCTTCCTCCTCAGAAAAATAATAACAAAAGCGTAAATTATTCATGGAAAAAAGAAAAAGAACGGGAGGAATAAGAAGAAAGTGTTCACGAAAGTAGAAAAGATAAAAAATAGTATCTGTGCAGTAAAAGAAAAGGGTTTGACAACTAATACAAATAGGCCCGGGTCAAGTGCGACCAATACAGTTGAAGAGGGTTCTGTACACGATGATTGTGCAACACCATCAGGATTAGTGATTCAAACAAATAGACCGGGTCCAACTTTAGATGCAGATAACGAGAGTTATATGCGTGACAAGTTTGCATATCAATAACAATTTGATAGTGATTCAAGTTCTTCTGATTTGGAAGAAAACTCAGAATTTAATAAAAAATATTATTATTATTTTCAATAAATAAAAAATTATGTTGTTCTAATTCCGTATCATCCGTATCAGTTCTGTTCAACATTTGAGATAATTCTTCTTCAGCTTTCCTCGGGTTCTTGCAAAGAAGCTCGTCTTTTTTTGGCCAGTATAATACTCCTTTGTTTTCCCTAGATGCGGGCACTGTTGATAATTCAACTCGGCCTTTTTTACAAGTCGAAACGATTTTGAACATGTTTCTGAAAAAAATATACATTTTTTCTATAACACTTCAAAAATACTACAACAACACTATTATAAATACTAACATTATATAATAAATCTCGATGTTTACGTTTGTATATTACTTATTGACTACATGAGCGCAACAAGTCCGAGTGTATAAAAAGTACCCACATTAGTATAGGTCCTATCAACCTCAAATATTCATGGATTTATTTTCGATAAAAAATAACCCTAAAAAGCTGAATTAGAGTATACTCCATTGTGTAATTTAAGACCTTTCTCTGAGAAATGTATAATTATTGTACTTTAAACCAAATAATTTCTGGATATGTAGTCGAATGTGAACTATTATGCAGAAATAAGCAAAATAATCACTGAAATAGACACTTTTATTCAGATAGGCCGTCCGCCATTAACTAACGTTCGTCATAACCTCTTCTTATAAAAATCTTCAACATTTATCTTATGAAACACTTTGTTTAGTGAGCAGGAAACATTAGCACTTAAACAAAATTTGATTCTCAATATTTTCTGGGACTGAAATTTGATAAAAAGTAAAGATAATTTAATTTTAATATTATTTCACATTTGTTTACCTTTTAATTTGTAGCTTTATCTGAAGGCGCTCAAAAAATGTATAATAATCATATTGATAATTCACAGTAAAGTGCCATGCGTTTATATAATTCACCTTAAACTTACTTAAAATGTATGAAACAATTTGCTTACCAAATTTTTGAAAACGTGAATTGGCGACCATTACAATATTTTGAAGTAAGTAACACAAAATAATCTCGTCACAATGAAAAATACATTTATACTTTTACTTGCATAATTTCTTTGTAAAACTTCCCCTGAGATCGGAATTGTGAATATCATTTGAATATCTGAACTCACAAATTAACAACTGCATAAGAGATGTATAATTTCTGGACTAAAGAAAAAACAGAATTTATGCAGAAGATATTCAGTGTGTTGTACATTTATTCAGCTGCTATGTAGCTATTAATCAAATGTTATCCAAGTTGAAGCAAGATATTTTGTGCCCAAATTGCTTGAATATCATCTGTATAAGCGCTTACACAGAAGTTATACAAATACTTTATCCAGCTTAAAGTCAAAAGAATTGCTTTTAAGCAAAATTTATTCAGCTAATCTGTGTTGGCTGGGGTATACCCGTGGGTCGCGCGTGCATCTTCAAACACCCAACAATCCGCACTGAGTCCGCGTGGTTTCTCCTTTTTGGATTCGATCATATCCATTAAGAAGGCCTATGTCTTAACAATTAGGACATTAATATGCTGGTGATGATGACGATGACAACATCATAACACTATTTTTTTTTTGTTTCAGATACCGCAGAGTAGTATATTGACACCGTTATAAAAATCTCGCTATTGTTATATGGTGAAGGTTTATCAAAGTTATTTACGAGTTTTTTAATCGACATCTGTTTTTATACTGTTAATATTTGATTTCCTTATAACCAGGACAACTATCGAAACGGCGGCTATTCTACTTACGCATATTATTTTATTGAGAATTTTTATGAAACGTAAATAATATTATGTTTGAATTCCTCACTGTAAGGTTTTGTGATGTTATTATATAAGAAGAGTTACAAGCTGCATAAACTAATTTTAAAAGTGAAATTCATTACAAACAGATATGTGTTTATAAAGCGTTTATTAACGTAACAGTAACATCATGTAATAACTTTCATAATGAAGTAATATTAAAACAGATCCGCGCGTAATAAATGCATTGTAAGCACATATTGCTACCATTTAAAATACAATAATTCGATTTTATTTTAAAATATGCGGTATGTAACTCGCGTAGTGATAATAATGTTAATTAAATATGTGATTAATGCGTTCGGTGTTAATCTTTGAGCAGCAGCATTTACGCGACTCATTATTAACGCAAAGCAGAATGTGTGATGATATGTATATTATTTTGGTCTACTGGAGACTGCGGTGCTTGATTATGATGGCTATTTAGCATTTTAGAGCATTTAGTGGCATATTATTAGGCTGTTACCTTGGCGTAAATATAAATTACCTGTTTTTTTTAATAATGATCATTGGGTGCCATGACAGGAATGAAATTTTTTCATAAAACATTTATATTGAAATGCCAATTAAGTCACGATGTGAGATATCGTTTTTATTATTTTAATAAAAAAGATATTAAATAGTAGGAGTATGATAGCCTATTTAGAATCTTATGTTTGTTAATAATTTTTTTTTTTTCAGTACTTGTGATATAATGATATTTGTCCATGAAAATAATATTGTTTGGTAAGAAATATTAATGTATGTAAATATATATTTTTTTAATTTCCAATATCTTTACCTTGATTGGTTGACGAGTTACCAAACAATAATCTTATCATTATGACTCATGCTATTGACTGATGTGTTTTACTTGACTTCTTATACGATTCCCATTTTATTAGGCTTGTAAGAAAATGATTTTCATTGCAAATATTTGAGGACCTTATTTTTATATATTGAAATAATTTCCTAATTATTAATAAATCATAATAATTAAAATATCATCGTTTGATTTTTATACCAAATAAGAAAAAACAGAACTTTTGTAGCTGTCATGTCAAAGTACGGCCCGCAATCATAATAATATATCACAGAAAAAAAATCTTGTATTTTTGTGAGATTTTAGACTGCACTCAAAGATTATGGAAAGAATCAATATTTATACGTAATTCCAAGAGTACACGTATGTAAATTACTGGCCCAGAGAGCTGTAAAACATATATAAATAAATTTGTATTATGGTAGCCCCTTTAGAAAATAAATACATATCAAATGAAAGGGCTTATTGCAAGTCCTCTCAAATATATTTTCCAAAAATTGAAAAATTGACCAGTTCCTCGTTGATCTCTAAACATACAAAGCCTTAAATTTTGAAAAAGCACTAAAGTAGTTAAGTCATTTAGTTCCCAGTTAATATTTTTGCAGAACCATATAGAAGCAAAGTCTGACATACTCATAGGCCATTGTTTTCAATCATTGACATATAAACTCCATCGTTATCAAATCCTAAGTAAAATAAAATATCTATGTAATATTAAATAAGGATTTATTGACTATCGTACTATACTTTTACATACTAATCTATTTAAGCTTCACTTTCAACTTTCTCCTCAGGATATCGGTCATTGAGGAAACTCTTAACTTCTCCATACTCAGTTTTTAACATTAAACGAATTTTCTCATGATTCCTGTACTTCTCATACTTCTTCAAATAAATTTTATAATGAGGCATTTTTTCATAGAAGCGTGGGAATTTCTTTTTCCTCAAAATGACTCTATCATCCATTACATATTGAATGAAATCTAGAGTTTCGTCCTTGAGTATTTCTTCCTTAGTTCGAACTTTACTAGGGCTAGCAACAACTGTAGGGAAATATTCATTTTCTGCTCTGTATTCCACCAAATGGAGTTTCTTCTCTTCAGCGAGCTGCTGATGAGTCCTCTGGGGGTTAAAATAGTTTTGCAATTAGAAAAAGATTGTAAAATATTAATGCTAAATTTGAAATTATCACTATGATTTTATACCTGTTGCAATAGACCAATAAAGAATGCTTTCACAATATTCTGTAGATTGTTAGAACCTTCTAACTTTGCCCTTAAATCCTTGATCCCAATAGCCTGACATATTTCCTTGATAGCTCTATGACATCTTAATCCATAGCCTTCGTTTTTCTTTTGCACAAAGATTTTAGTTTTTCCAAAGGCAGTATAGAAATCATGAAATACTGAAAAAATAAAAGATCACCATTTAATTTAACTTACCTGAGAAGTTTTATAGTGTTGTGGTTAACGCGTTCGTACTGCAATGCGGTAGGTCACAAAGGCTGATCCTAGGGTGGATGACCAAAAATTTATTATCTCTAACTTCTCTTGTTTCTCAGAAAGCACAGTAAGCATTATTCGAGCTGCAACTTCAATGATTAACACTCTTTAATCCCACCTAGCCTGCGACTGAGTGAAGGCACTTTCATCCTATCCAATTCCATCCTTAAGGAAAGCCTGTGTTCCTCCAATGAGTTAATAGGCTGATGGTAATGATAATATCAACTCCAGATAATGAACATATTAAAACAGAAATCTATGTGCAATTTTTAAAAGATTTTTTATGAGCAGAAGTATTTTACCTGTATGACCGTTATAAATTTCAAAATGCATCAACTTTTGTCCGGCTTTATTCTTTGCCTTTCTCAATGCAGCAACTGCCTCTTTTCCTTTCCCAAGGCCAAATCCAGCAAGACCTTGACCATTCCCAGTGACAACCTATGGTATAAAATATAAATTTCCTAATCTGTATTCAGTCAATGCTATTAATAAGCAAGGTTTTGCGTTAAGCGATATTATTATTAGTAGCTCGGTGGCGTAGTGGATAAGCGCCGCAGCCCGCGATCGTAGTCGTTAAGCAACTTTCGCAAGGGTCGGTCACAGGATGGGTGACCAAAAAATTATTATCTCGAGCTACTCCGTGCTATGGAAGGCACTTTAAGCCGTTGGTCCCTTCTACATTTGCAGTTGTTAATACCCTCCAATCTGCATTGGGCCAGTGTGGAGGGTCATGGCCCATCCTCTTTAACCATCCATAAGGAAGGCTTGAGCCCCTACAGTGGGGACATAAAAGGGCTGATGATGATGAATTTTTATATTAATCCAAATTCATATTATACAGAGAATAAGCAAACCTATTTCCTTCTAGGAGTAAATATTACTCCCGTAGAACCTCGTAATAGGTTAACCTTTGCTTAGTCTCTGTTTAATAATATGAATTTTGACTAATACTAAGAATAAGTTTATTATATTATCAGTCATTTAAAACTTGTGTCATGTTGATAAGAGTTATGGAAGCCAGTAATTAATGTAAGCAGTATATTGAATCTTAATTCAGCCCAGTTAAGCTATTAGTTATTGTAATAAATGAATATAAAAAAAATTACCATAGCTTGATAATTCCTAGTACGACCAAGGTTTCCTTTCATTATGAGCAATGATCTCAATTGGAGGACTTTTGTATCAAAACCAACGAACTCATCTAAAAAATAAAAATGTAATCTTGTGAATAACACATCACAGTAGCAAAAAGGAATCATTTACTTTTTGGATTTTAATGTTATCATTACCTTCTCCTATAGGATCTGGGGGTCCTATGCTACGACCTGGCATGCGAGTACCAGACCAACCTCTCTCAATGGGACTTAACCGCAATCTTCGAAACTTTGTCATTGAGTCTCTTAATTTGGTTAGTTTTTCCATCCTACAATGATAATGTTTGACAATGAGCTATACTAATAATATAATGGCTTATAAAAAAGAAAAAATACCTACCTTTCGGGATCATCTGGCAAGCGTTGTTGTTTCAATAATTCTCTACCCCTTATAACAGGTGCTGATAAACCTGGCCACAGCATATTGATTCTTCCTATACCAATAACTTGCCCACGATTCAAGTCTCTAATTCTAATACGTCCAGCTCCTTTACCACGGCCTTTCTTGGCACCAGCATTACTTACTGATGTCACAGACTTCCATAACTTTTCAGCAGGCACTTAAAAAAATATGTTCTATCATTGATATGTTCATGTTACATAAAAAGGGGGACATAAAAAATATTAACTGCTAGTATTAAGAAGGAATTCTTAAAGTGACTCTGTCTATAGCCTTGATTATATTGTGCTCACATTTATTGAAGAAATTCACGCAGGCAACAGAAGTTGTACTAAAATTGGTAAGGTTAGGTACATTCCTCTGCAACTTCGTTTGTCTCGAGAAAATATTTACAATTGCAGCTACGCCACGAAGCGATAGTAAGTTTGAAAACATGACTTAAAAAAATAAAAACTTAGATGGTTATTAAAATTATCAATTAAAAACCCTCAATCCAGCCAAAACATTTTTGACATTTTCGGATACGTAAAAGGCGAAAGATTTATACGTTTTGAAGGGAAACCAGAGCCATTTTCGGATACGTTTGGGATTCGGATTAATCATGCTATGCAAACTTAGAACTCGATTTTTTTTTACTTTACAGTGCCATCTATGTACCAGCTTTTAAAATAGAAATCATGGTGTAGCCACAATAAATAAATGTGTTTATAATTGGGGATAATTTTTAAAGGCATCATTAATAAATCTTGTTTATTATTACTTGAAACTTAGTTAAAAAGCCTTATGATACCTAATATTATTGAAATAATATATCTTGTTACAGAATAATACAGTAATTATAGAATTGTCACTAGAAATGTTTCTAATTTAAGTGGTAATATTAAATATACTATGGCAATATCAATTGAAAATGGCGCGTATGTAATGGTTTGGTATTGTGGGTAAACTTTAAAACTAACTTCGCAAATGGAAAATGTATTGAGTGAATGTCCGTGTGCTTGTTAGTTTTTGCAAGTTCCTGTAACTTTTTCTGCTTTTCACGTTGAGTTGATTAAGTTCGTCCGTGCAATCGAAATATATTGTGTTAGCAATCGTATTGTGTCTTGAAATATCCCGTACCGAAATGTTACTTGCTTTTAATTTGAACTTTGCTCAAAAAATCATGGCTCAAAACCGTCGTTGTGTACTTTAATGTTCAGTGACTAAGGATAGCGGTAAGTGCTTTTTAGTTTGTACAATAAATACTTTATGAATTGTACTATAATGTCAAAGTTTTCAACCGATTTTTATACCTATACGTGGAGTTTCATAATTCAAATGTTTTTCAGGTATTTTTCTTTGAGCTATCGTAGAATACAATATTCATTAAAAACTTATTATGTGCCTACAATTTAAGAATTGTTATTTGTTCATCCATTATACAAATAATTAAGGACTAATAATTTGTTGTGTGAATAGCAGAGAATAATACATATTATTATGTTACTCAGGTATCCCTTTGCACCGGTTTCCTGACCCTAGAACTAAAACAGAGAAATTTAAAAAATGGCTAGACAATGTTGGTGGAGAAATAACTCATCTGGATCCAATCAAAATATATAATAACATGCATATTTGTGGAAAACATTTTCTAGATATTTATAAATATCCCAAGAATAGACTGCAACATAGCAATGCCTACACTTCATATGTCAGGTAATTTATTATTTATAAATAGTTCTGCATATTGAATGTCTACCTATCTATTTAAAGATGGAAGCAGCAGGCTATGCATTAAAATTCATTCATATGTGATTAACAATGACCAGTGAATAATTTTTTAAAATATAAAAAGTTTAAAGTAAAAATGAAATAGTAGAAAATGAATACGTTTTCTATAAGCTGAGTTCTTATAAAAAACATTATGTATTTTAATGTGGTTTTCATCAATATATAGAGTGGTACAAGAGGAAGGTTTATATGTACAATATAAGACCTTGTGGGCGAAAGCTAGTTTCTTATACCATTGTTCAAATAATGCTCCTAATTTCCATGTTAATTTTTAATGTTTATTATAAAATAAAATATTATAAAATGTTTTTTTCTTCATGTTCAGCGCAATCAACTGGAGTACCTCACATAGTTGCAAGTGCGGATTTGCCATGTAGCTCACATTTTGTACCTTCTCAACTACATGCCGGCACATCAGGTTGGTAAACGTTTTTCTGATGAAAATTAAAATAGTTAAATAATCATCTTAAATATAATATTATTTTTTATATAAAGGAAAATTCATGAGTCAACATATAGTTATACAAAAATTGAATGTCCCTTTGTTCAAAATTGCAAATCTATGTTGTGTAACATAGGCCAATCTTTAATATTTTGAGCCAGAGACTGATAAGCCAATGATATCCACGAAATAACTATATTTGTTATTATTTCCAGGTCAGCATACAAACCTTGGAAAGACACACCTGTTGCCAAACAACAGTTGCCAAGAAAATTAAAAGGTATGTTTTGCAAAAATATATCTCAATTATCCAATTTGAAAATTGCTGCATGAAATTGGAAACAATCTGCAAATCTGAAAAATATGCTAAAAAGAAACTATTTATTTTTGAGGCTTTAATTTACATTTCATTAAATTTGTTGCAGGTGTTTCTCTAAAAGACCATAAACAATATAAAATAATTGTGAATAAATTGAAAAAATGAGAAGCTCAAAAAAGGAGCTTTAAACAAAAATTGGCTCTTGCTAAATCTTTAATGAAAACCTCTGCTTTCCAAATAATTTCCAAAACTATGTCACCTACTGCAAAATTATTTTGCCGAATGCAAATGTCACATGGAAATAAGAAAAAGCAAGGGCATCGATTTACCATTGATGAAAAGATTTTAGCGCTATCATTATACAAACCTGCACCTAAGGCGTATCGTCTGTTAAGAAAATTTTGTATTTTACCTAGTAAACAAACATTGCAGACTTTGTTGTATAAAGTCCAGTTAAAGGCAGGCATAAATGAAATTTTATTTGACAACCTAAAATCCAGAGTTAGGAGAATGCCAGATAAATTTTAATACTGCACCTTGGTATTTGACGAAATGGCAATAGCACCAAGCATCAGCTTTAATAAAATAAAAAAAATCATTTGTTGATAATGGAGCAATGAAGCAAATAGTACAGTAACCATGTACTTGTTTTCTAAATTAGAGGCATTGTTAAAAAATATAAACAGCCACTGGCCTATAATTTTTGCAGTGGCAGTACAAGAACTTAAAGCTTTAATTAATAAATAAAAGAATATGATTATTAAAATTGCAGAAACTGGTCTTACGGTGGTAGCAGCAGTATGTGACCAAACTACATCAAATATTGCTGCTATAAACTTGTTGTTAAAAGAGACTAACTAAATGTATTTGAGAAGAGGGCAGCACTATACAGAAGGATTTTTCGAAGTTGGAGACAAAAAGTATTTTCACTCTATGACCCACCTCATTTAATAAAAGGGATCAGGTATAATTTGTTAACAAAAAATTTAAAATATAACATGAATGGAAAGGAATGTACTGCTAAGTGGAATCACATTCTACAATTATATGAAAGATGCCCAGGCTACAAAGGAGTGAAGATGGCACCTAAGTTGACAGCTCATCATGTAGTGCCATCATTATTACTAAAAATGAGAGTGAAACACTGCACTTAGGTGTTAAGTAAAACTGTTGGAGCTGCTATTGGAGTAATGACAGGTGATATTTTTTAATATTATTATGAGAGTAGCTTGGTGGCGTAGTAGATAAGCGCCGCGGTCCGCGATCGTTGTCGTTAAGCAACTTTCGCCAGGGTCGGTCATGGGATGGGTGACCAAAAAATCATTATCTCGAGCTACTCCATGCTTCGGAAGGCACGTTAAGCCGTTGGTCCCGGCTGCATTTACAGTCGTCAATTCACTCCAATCCGCATTGGGTCAGCGTGGAGGGTCATGGCCCATCCTCCTTAACCATCCACAAGGAAAGCCTGAGCCCCTGCAGTGGGGACGTAAAAGGGCTGATGATGATGATGATGATTATTATTATTATGAAAGTTTAGAGTCCATATGTTTTATTATATATTTGAGAGCAGATTTATTATAAAAAAAAATTCTGGTATACATAGTACATACATACTATAAACTAAAAACTTATATTTTCCATTACAAACCTAAACAAACATTATATTTTCATTGCAGAGTTTGGAGTTCTTGAAAAAGAATGCACTGAAACTGCAGACCTGTTGATGTTTTATGATGACTTATTCGACAGTGTCAGTGGCAGCTTTAGCAAACCAAAAGGGGGGAAAATGTATAGGACAGCAGTGACACCAACATCGCCTCATCATAAATTATGGAACAAAAGCCTTCCAGTTTTAAGGAGCATGAGGTTTCATAATGGAATTAATCATGGGATAGTTCCATCGTTGTCCAGCTGGATAAAAACAGTAGAAAACTTCAAAAGAATTTTAATTTATTTGAATTCAAAAGGCATAAATTCATTATTGCTATGAAATTTCAACCAAGACGCATTGGAGAAATTTTTGGGGCAATAAGGGCTCATGCCTGCAGCAATACGATGCCTACATCACAATCTTTTGAGGGGGCCTTTAAAACATTGCTTATTGACAATATTTCTTCTTCACATTCAGTGGGATCAAATTGCGAAAAGGATGATAGCGTTTGTCTGCAAACACTAAAAGAACTATTGACTAAAGACGTAGATGATATACCCACTGAATGTGAAGTTGAAATTAAAAATGCTCATTTATGCATTGATTTAATCAATACAGAAAGTTTAATAAGTAGAAAAATCCGCAGCAATTGGATACTGTAGTGGCTGGATAGCACAATTAGCAAAGAAAAATTTTTATATAAGCTGTTTATTATGTAAAATCAACATAGAAGCTAAAGAAAAGCAGATATTTCCTACTTATATAATTTTAAAAGAGTTTGAAAACAAAAGCTGGTTGTGCTATCCTACCCGAAACCTATTTGACTATGTTGCCAATGCTGAAAACAATAGAAGTTTTAAAAGAAAATTGCAATAAAAAAAAATATTTTGTCATATATAAAGTTAATCATAAAGATTAATTTAGATTTAAATTTTTTACAATGCACAGAACACCAAATTCAACTAAAAGAATTCATAACAGAGAAATGTGCAGTATTTTTTATTAATAATTGGTGCAAAAATATCAATCATTTAATCAATGGCAAAATTTCATTTTGGGATAGAAATGATGAAATGAAGGTAATGGCTCATAACCATTTTTCAAAAAATAAAGGTAGGAAGAGAAAAACTGTGTGTGGATCACTGATGAATGTCTGAAATAAGATGGTTAATAAAGCTACAAAAATAACAAGTCTTTCATTGAAATAAACTAATTGATTTATTTTACTCGCTCTAAACATTTATAATAATTAGCATTGAACATAAACCATATAAATATGACTCCTGATATACTGGTTTAATCATAGCAAATAAAACGAAAAATAATCTGCGGTCTTACATTATGTTTTATATTTAAGGTTTAATTAGCCAAGTGTTTTTTTTTTCGATAAGTTATAAAGGTACATTTGCTTTTTTTATATATGTATTGATTCTCAAAATGAATAATAACTATTAAACATTTTTAGAATCAATCTATATAAAAGAAAAAATATACCTATTTATCTTATCAAAAAAAAAAACATCAAATAAACCTGGCTGTAGCTGGTTACATACATATACACGCACACATACGCGTGACTTTTTTTAGCTGGCGGATAGATGGCGCTGTAATCGTGACCTATTTAAAGTTTGAGTTTGCTATCTATTACCAGTATAATATTGTAATCTTTGGGATTAATTTTTCCTTTGGGATTCGGTCAAATTTTTCTCTATGATTCGGACTAGTGATGGTGATTATTACTAAAAAGTATAATTCACTTATCAAAGCTAAAAAGCATCGAATTCGGTGATTGATTTGGTCGATTACAATTTTTGTTGTTTGATTGTGATTTTTTAAAAATTAAACCCAGTCTAAACAGAAGTTATTTATGCACAAAAATATAAAAAAAATAAATATAATCCATAAGAATTATACTAATTCGACCCGAATCCTAAATTTTCTCCTAGTTCATGTTAATGTACGACTTAGTTTCCTTTGCTATTAACAACTAAAACAATGAACGTCAATCAATTTTAGACTATGACATTAACATTTGACATGTTAGTTTAATTTACGTGGCTTCGTAAGTTTCGTTTTCATCTGGAATTATTGACTCGTCCACTGAAATAAATGGGATAATTTACATCATTTACACAATATCAGGCTATAAATATCATGGGTCTCTGCAAATGTCCTAAAAGGCGCGTCACCAATCAGTTTTGTTTCGAGCACAGAGTCAATGTTTGTGAATATTGTATGGTTACGAACCACCCAAAGGTTTGATATTATTCAAATATTGTGTTTTTTTAATACTTAAATAGGTAATACTTTTACAGTAATATTACATTTTCAGTGCATAATTCAATCGTATTTACAATGGTTGCAAGATAGTGATTACAACCCCATATGTGAAATTTGCACAAAAAGCTTGAATGAAGGAGAGTGCATTCGTCTAACGTGTTACCGTAAGATGAAACGAATATATAGATGTAGTTTCATTAATAGGCAAGATAACTTAAATCAACAAACATATTATTTTAGATGTTTTTCATTGGACGTGTGCTGAAGCGCGATATCGAGCACTACCGCGCACTACAGCACCTGCCGGGTACCAGTGTCCGTCTTGCGCCTCTCCTGTATTTCCACCACCTAACTTGGTGTCTCCAGTGGCTGATGTTTTGCGAGAAAAACTAGCAGGAGTAAACTGGGCTAGAGCAGGACTGGGTCTGCCATTGGTACTTAAAAATTTATATATATTTTTGGTTGTCACTTTCCTCATACACAAATTCATATTCATATTTTAAATAAATATGAATATGATTTCCAAATTTTTCCACTGGCCTCTAATATGAAATTTCATCCTATGTAAACCAGTTCTTTTTTTAAATACAAGGGGATGCAACCTTAAACCAGGGCTCTCTGACCCCACATCCTTCCTAAAAAGGATAGACTTAAACACGGCCAGCCTACCTGATAAAACCTGATGTGAGTTTCCACCATGAGGGGAAGGATCCAGCAAGATAGAAATAAACAATGTTGAATATTCTTGGGTTCATGCTTTAAATGAAATTGAATTCAATATATGTTTTTTATTTTCAGTTATCTGATGATCAAGATTTAAAAGGTGCAGCAGCTAGAAGGAGTCAATCTCCAATAGACCATTCCCAATTTTATTCCAGTACTGTCGATAGTCAAAGGGGCACACCGGTTGGAGCCAGTGATGATGAGTCTACTAGCAGATCTGCAACTAGCTCTCCACATTCAATCGTTCAAATACCTGATGACCCAGTGAATATTTATGACAATACTTCCATAAAACGAACTGACAGTTTACAAGGTTAATATTGGGATTTTTTATTTGTTAGCTATTACAATCAGAACCAGTTTATGTATTGGAATATGGTAGGTTTGATTGATTTGATTGAGCATATGGACTTTTTGCTTACTTTTTTGCCCAAAATTCCTTTCATTTTCAAGATGAACATAGTCTTACTAAATCAATGAACATTTTAGGTGGTCAAGCTCCAAGGAAACCTTTCAAGTCTACAGATAGTTCAAAAGCCACCTTGAATTTTGATCATGATGAAAATAAATATAAACAAAAATCAACATTTGCTTGGATCAGCAGATGGTGGAAGTAAGTATCAGTACTATTTCTATGAATAATGGAAATTTACTTATAAGAATTAATTCACTTCCATGTTGAATGTTTCGATAATATGACATTTATTGTGACAGGAACACACTTCCGTCTTCTAGAGTACGCAGAGCAGGGGGTATTTATAGAAGATACTGGATACTTCTGTTCATTGTTATTGCTGTTGTTGTTGTACTCATATTGCTTAGTGGTAGAGGTGTAGATGATGAAAGTCCATTCGCATTCATGAAAGATGAAGACAGAAGAATTCTTCAGAAAAATTGAAATATTATAATATACACAACTATTTATATAATTTATCAAATCAAACATTCGAAAATGTAAACATAATAGGTAATTATAAAAGCAATCTTTAACATTATTGTATTTTATTAGATAAATTCTGTAACAATGTGATAAATGCTGATAAGTAATTTGTAGAAGTACAACACAGAAATTGATTTGACTTTTTTCTTTACAACACTTTGGTACATGTACTAACATTCTTATTCAAAAACATCACAGAGAATATATCATTATAGAAGTCAGGATAATAATGGCAGGCACGTTGACAGTCAGGCATCCAATTGATTTCCAGTAGTTTTGGTTGAATTTTTGTTTCTTTATTATGTTTATACCAACTCAACATTATATCTGCAGCATACAAAGCCCTTGATTGAGGACTCTTTGCTATACCACATGGTGCCTCTTTCATAGTGGCTGCAATAAATAATTCTGAGATCATATTGAATATTGATTTTTCAACTATTGCCCAATCGTGACTTCTATATTGTTTTGCCCACTCCTGTTTAAATTGTTCACAAAGCAATCTATATAAAGGTGCATCTTCTGTGTAATTCATTACTGTAAAATGTTGCTCATAGTCTTCAAAATTATTCAAACCAAATTGTTTGTTAGAAAACCTTAGAAAGAAATTATTATAAACATAAACTTCTGTGGGTTTAACAGATTTTAAGACAATGACATAGCGTATGTCAAATTTCACTAAACCTATATCTGGTCTTTCAAATAAAACAGGATCTTCAATATATTTTTGTGCTATTTTTGGACCAGTCAGTGGCAATCGACAAAGAAAGTCTAAATTATCTGTAATATAAGTATCAAGTCCCCTTGCAAGATTATATGGTTTACAAATCCAATTATTATCTAAATCAGCCTTTTTTCTTTTCATGTAATATGAAACTAATTTAGGCAATTCAGTCTTCATATTAAATGTTTTTGGCAGCCATGCAGGTAGACTTTCATGGCTTGTGTTGAAATTTTTATCACTCTTATGGCACCTTCTTGCCACAATAGCCAATAAATCTTTGATAGTGATAACATATTCAAAAGGAAATTGATTGACAAATTTCTTTGGAAAATTTTCACTGAGCTCTTTGAATGTTTTAAAATGATTTAAATACCATAGGACATCAGCATCCTGTTCATTATTCACTATTTCAAATTCAGGTGCAGTTAAAAATTCATTAATGTAAGCATATTCTGAGTACACCTTGAGTGTGGTTGGAGTTTCCAGAACCTGGTTCAAAAAATCTAAATTAGGCAATGTTTCCATTATGTGGCCCTCTATAAAGTACTCTGAAGGTGGCTCTTGTTGTGTGAAATCCTCATCAAAATAGTCATAATGTTTCCAAGGAATAAGCATAGCTTCTCTTTGAAGGGAATCTGGATAGTTGCCTTCAACAAAATTTCTTGTTACTATATTGTTTTGTTCAACATACTCAATTGGAAAGAGTAATGTATATGTCATTTGATCAGGCACATTAATAAAAGGTACAGTTCTGAAATTGGGGTTATCAGAGTGTGTAATTCCTGAACCCAATTCGTCCATAACATACCAAACGGGCACTCTTTCTTCTATAGAAAATTCAGTTCCTCCTATAGCATAAGTATGGGCATACTTCCACACATTTTGATTCACTCTGTCTATTTTTTCATCATCAGTATCACCACTAATTCTCATCATATTACACATCCTTTGTAAAAGTTCTGGTTGGTTTCTTAAAGTATATGTTACACGGTTTGCTTTAAAAGTCCAAGCATGGTCTATTAAGTAGATATGAGTAGGATCGGCAGGATCAATATTTGTTATGGCTATAACACTCCAAAGTGGATCGTAAGAATTCTTTTCCGTGTCTTCATAATCAATTTCTACTATTTGAAAAGTTAAACCGGAATCGAATATTTCAGAGCTCAACTTTTTACATAAAGTGGCCCAAAATATTTCTGGCACACCTGACGATACAAGCTGAGATTTGTGAAGAGCCAGGAAACTATTATATTTAGATATTCCATCCATTTTTCAAATAATTTAGAAAATAAATTCGTAAGATTAGCAATGAAAGAGGTTATAAAAAATGACATTGACATTACTTTTCTTAATTTCCTTTCAGCCCTGTGATTCTGAAAAATCAAAATTCACTCATGTGTCCGAATTCACGTCATTTAGTGAATAATTGTATTGATTTCATTTTTTGTATAAAAATACAAAACAAATTTACTGATTAGACGTGTTTAGATATTCTATTCTGATGTCATTTCTAAACTTATGCCACGAAACGTTATTACCAATTCAAGACTGAATTGATGCCGTTTTTAAAGTGAATTCGAGTTTGGATTTTTACAAAATCGCGGCGCCGTCGCCTTTTAGTAGAGACAGCATAACAGCGTTTTAGCGCAATTAAATTTTATCAATATTAATTACTAACTTTCGCCCGCGTGGTTCCTATTAAAAAATAATTTTAATCATTCTGTAGGTATATCCCACAATATCCAGAGTAAAGTAAATTTGACCTCGGCGTGCTGTTCACGCTGGGACAGCGATTGCTCCGGCGTCGCAGCATATGCAGGCTAGCTTGTTGCTCAGCCTGTTCCACGCGCCGAGCTGCAGTTTCATTTGACGTCTCATTAGCTCGACGTGATGCTAAATAATCAGCATGTCGTCTACGACTAAGTAGCTTGAAGTGGAGCCTGTTCCAGCTTTCTCAATTCCGCTTGAAGAGAAGTTTCTTGACTCCTAGCTACTTTATTAGCTCGAACATCTTTCGATTTATTAGATAAATTAGATTTGCGCTTCCCGGGCATGTTTCAAAACGTCATCTATTGGGCTTTATATTACCGATTGCATTAAAAATGCTGTTTAAAAATCTTAATACTCATACATACATGTCGCCAAAATAATATTTAGAAAATCGGCATCTATGTTATTTTGTTTTCTCAAAAACATCGTAGTAAAATTTAAACTACTCATCCAATATATAGTGTAAAAGATATATTTTTATATATATTAAATTTCTTCAATGATAAACATTTATTTCGATACGGATTTAATATCACCTACTCAAATAAACGTTTGAAGACGGGCGAAAAATTTAAATACACTTATACGAAATCTTTTTATTTTTGTGGCAAAACTTTTGCACATAGATATATGACATCGCAATTTAAGGCTCTCCAACTTTTATTTAGAAATCATTCGTATATGAGATATAGCGTTTAGGCAGCATTGACAAAAATAGGCGCCGTGGAGGTACTTTTATCCCTAGGGAACCTTTTAGTGGGATAAAAGTCAGTAATCTTATTATCTAAATCAGGCAATGCCCTATCTGTATACCAAATTTCATCAAAATCCGTTCATTAGTTTCGGCGTGATTGACAGACAAACATCCAAACAAAGAAACTTTCACATTTATAATATTAATAGGATTACTATTAAGTAATTTTTAACTGACATAGATACTTCCAGATTAGTATACTTCAGTTACTTTCATAGTGTTATGTCGTACGGAATCCTATTGTGGGGAAATGCTGCCGACATACAAACAATTTTTGTGCTTCAGAAAAGAGCAATTCGATCAATTTATAATCTTAGGATTAGGGACTCTTTAAGGGAGAAATTGAAGGAAATAGACATTATGACTGTTGCTTCTCAATACACGAGAACTTAATGTACGTTCGTAAAAATATTAGTTTGTTTTCTATAAAAAGTGATGTACACAATTTTAATACAAGAAATAAAAATAAATTAACGGTACCTGTCACTAGACTGCAAAAATTAAGAACTCGTTTAAGGGTCTTTGTGCTTCTACAATAAGGTCCCAAGCAAAATACAACAACAAGATATCATGCAGTTTAAATCTACTATTAAAAAAAATACTTATTAAAAAAGCTTATTATAAGGTATCCGATTAATAACAGATAAGAACGCTTGGACTTGAGATGATCCAGTAACTGGATAGGTGATTACTTCTAAACTCATTATCTTGTTTCCATTATTATTAAATGATTATGTTATCATTATAAGACCATAGTTTTTTTTTCTATCCCTGTTTATAATGTATTGATCTGGTAATGACATGGTTTTTGTAAATGTCATTACTCTTATTAGAGCTGGTAAGTTACTTTCTCGTTCTTCTTATCAGCCAAAAGACGTCCTGAACGAGTGGTAGGGAAAAAAATGTTGGACGATTCAAAAGTACTTTTAAGAAGTCTATTTGAATAAAGATTATTTTGACTTTGACTTGACTTTATTAACTAATAAAAAATTTCTTGCTACTATTGTTATTGGATTTTTGTTAAGGAAAGACTACAATTAAAATGATATGTCTGAAATAGAGAAAAACCACGACTTTTCGCAATCCGGGCGACTGCTCTAAACACTGAGCTACCCAGGACCCAACAGGACTGACGAATCTTTCAAGCACTTTTTACTTTTCGCTACTACAGAGCGTATTCTCATCAATGTTCAGGCATCCACCCAAACAGCCGAAAGAAATTGTGTTACAAATATTGAAACTTTGTTCTAATTCTAAGGTCGTGGGTTCGATTCCCATCTCAGGGTGCCTGGGACCAAGTGGATTTTTTAAAGCATTTAGTATTAAGTATTAATTTAGTAATACTTTTCAGTATGGCATTGTGAATGCAAAATTAATCAAAATATAATTAAGATTCATTTATCTCAGAGACTACGTAATTTAGCTATTTGTCCCTATTTCGTCATAGACTGAAGGAACTTGATGTGTCCGCCAGTACAGCAACGCTAAAATATACATCTAAAAATCTAGTTCAAAACAATTGCGACTCGTATGTACGTAAAAATTTTATGAAGCTCCAGTTTTAAATGAAATAAAAAAGCAGTCTTTATCATGTCAATTTATTTACCTTTACAGCTTTTCCATGGAACATTTATCCCAGAACTAATTTAGACGATTATAATTATAATAATGGATCACATATATCTCTATATTCAATAATTACATAATATCTATACTGTACAAAATGCAAACCGAATAAGCCTCTACATATGATGCCACTACCTACTTATATAAAAAAAACAGTAGACTTCGAATAAAAATATAATTGCACATGTTTATAATGACCGATACATTAATTGGACCAAAATGGCGACTGCGCTGTAGAAAGATGCCGCATGTTACCATGGTAACGCAGTATACCAAAAACTGCGCGAAATTACGTGCCGTGTTTTTAAAAACAATCAATATATTAGTTTAATACGTATTTAGTTAGATTATAACGCACATCATTTTTAACACCCGGTCCCGCCGACACTGTGTGGGATGCCTCGATAATGGTATTAAGATTTAATAATGTCACAATGGTACAACATTATTCAAACAAAAGTTCCAAGTAGTTCCTAATAACCTAGTGTAGGTTACTAGGAACTACAAAATACCAAAATCCAACAATCAACTTTCAATTTAACAGTATATAAATTAAGGATTGAAGACGATTGGAAAAATTCGCCCTTTTCAATGTGCTGTCAACTGCACGATGTCATAAAAGATACTTTTCATTGGGTTGTGTTTTGAAAAAAGTCAACTACTCACATCATCCACAATTCAAACGATCATAGTTAACATTGCGATATGGGTCATTTAAATTAGTCAAAAGGGCCCTCATGCAGAGTGCCCGCGATTTCTTCAGGCACATTTTTTTGGCAACCAATAACTGATCAACGAAAATGAGGCACAGAATTAGTCCAAATTCTACATGCAGACCCTGTCGACCATTGAAAGTGAACCAGGCAAGGAAAATGCGCATAGGACATATTAATGCATCTTTTTGTCGCCAGATTGCAGCACTAGCGCATATGGTACAGTTTTTTTTTTAACGACAAACGTCATTCACAGGCTACTCTTTGTCTACAGAATAAAGTAATATTGTGCACAGTAGGAACTGCATATTTTTAGATTCATAATTAGAAAGAGTTTAATTTTATCCAATAATACATCATTACTGTATATTTGGATGTAAGAAGAAAAAGAATGATTCATTTCCAAAAGACAAATGTTCAAAAAGAATTGTTTTCTATATGCGCTAGCGAATGTAATATTCCCCGTTCAAAAGTTTTTCTTCATTTATGTGTAAAACACGATCTTAATATCTAAATGAAATATAGTGGCATCATCTGAAAAGTATATTCAGAGGGATCACATCAACAGCTATAACTATGTGATGTTACCGTTACAGACGTCCCCGCCAACGTTACTATAGAACAATTCCGTTCAATCAAGACGCTGGCTCATGCCAACCGAGACCACGCCCACAAATCCGTAAAATATCAGTATATGGGTATAGGACACAATCAGTAATATCTATCTATATATCGCATATAAATATCAGTTCAGTTGGAATCCGAATCCATGTGATTTCTATAGTTGCGTCGGGCCTTTTTCACTCGCTGTCTGAATTTGAGCGTTTGGTATTCCGGGTCGTCGGATACATCGTCGACGAGCGGACGAGACGCCCGTGTACTGCTCCCTACTACGGTACCCACACCGCTGTCCGGAGTTCCCAAAGTGTCCGGAATCGGCCAAACACTACTCTCTGTACTACAGCTACTCTCCAATTCACTCTCATTAGTTTCGTTCATGAGCCTCGCTACCGTCCTATTGTGCCCCATATTTGGTGAAAGCCGCTCAGCTATCGAAGTAGTCGCACGTTCCACTGCCTCCTTAGGCGGTGGCGATTCACTCGAATCTGAACGATGCAAACTGAGCCGACCGTTCCTTCTCACTCGTCTCAAGGTCATCCTGAGTCTACTCTCTGGCGGCGGCGAGGAGTTGTTACTCTCGGATTCTGGCGGATCCATTCGCAGCGAGTCTCCGATCGAGTCGCGAGATCCGTTGATCGGCGTGGGAACTATGCTAACGAGGTTAGTGGGAATGCTCTGGCTGCCGTTCTGATTTCTCGGCGATATCGGCTGGCTGCCCGCCGATTGGTCGTCGTCGGAATCTACTTCAGCTATCCGAAAAAGTGCTGAAGAACTTTGGCCCCTGTATCCTACGAAACCGAAAAACACATCTCACTTTAAATAGTGATCGATTTTTATTAACTTATATGATCCATAACCGGTCGAACAAATAAAACTAGTAGGACACTTTCTGGTACTCTAGAGGCAGAAAGGCGACCTGAGGTGCCAAATCAAAGATGGGACGACATTAGAAGCTAGCAGGTACGTGTTGGACTAGGGTAGGTATGGACCTAGACCAAGGCAGGAGCTAGAAGAAGAGAGTCTATCCAAAAGGGGGTGACGAATGGCGAAACTCAGTTTAAGACATTAAAAAATGATCGGAATTACGAGCCTACAAGTAAAGACGAAACATTGTAGTTGGCAGTAGTGCTTATTTTTATTAGGAATTATAAATTGAACCCTTGCTATGGAAAAAATTGGTCTCTAAAAATATTTTAAGTTTAATTTTATATGACAACACCAAATTGCAGCTTGTAACTAACTGATAATTCAGACCTAGTTTAAGTCTCTTTTTGCGTCTAAAGTTTACGATCTATTAAAATCAAACCAGCCCATTGATAAATTTTGAAATCATATAATTGATTTTATACTCGCATGGGTAGTCTTAGACGACATCGCCATTTTGCAAGCGTAAATGGAGTCTGGAGATTGGCACACTGGCAAAATTGCCAATAAAATATACAAGTAAAACCGGGCTTCTCTCACTTCAATTGTGAGGCAAACGTCAAAATGAGTACAAGTACAAGGACTGAGAAGGTTTGATACTTCAACTTCTCCATTTTAAGGGCCTTTGGTTAAACAACTAGTAGGTATGATTAAGCTGCTAGTAACGTAGACATAACGTCCTAATGAGGTTTAGCTCAAAAGGTAAATATATACATAAGGTAATATCACTGAAGACCAACTAGAATGCCCACTTTTTAACTAATATTTTTTCGGATTTGAAACCATAGACAAAAGTTTGCTTTATTGCTCGCCGCCATTTTGAAGACTTTAATTATAGAATTATCATAGCTTAACATATTAGCAAGATTTTAAGAGGTTTCAAAATTAAGTGGACATTAGACAGGCGCCAGTACCTTACATCTAGTACTTACATGAGAAACAGTCACTTACCTGTACTAGTGCTCGGCAGTGCTAAATTTTCTTCATTATCAAAGTTATTAAAATTATTATTATCACTACTGTCATGAGCTAACGAAGTCTCTGCAACAAATTGAATTGCTATATTATAATTATTTCTTTCTCTTAACTGACGGCAGTTTATCGAACACTCACCATTATTCCTTAAACTACTAATGATTTTCCTATAACTAGTGACTTTACTTTTCCTTTTCGACGTCCGCGTTAGATTGATACGTCTCCGAGTTGGCGTTATTATCTGAAAAAGAGACATTTCTTGTACTATAATTTCAGTTCTTCTTCTTCATCATTTTTACCTACGTAAGATCACGAAAACCAGCAATACTTTTTATTAGTCCTAAAAAAAATTCTTACTTTTTACCTTTAAAACCTTACGTCATAATTTATTAAAACGTGTGCGGGAAGGAGGGGTAACACTATCTAAGTGAATGGGACTCGCGCACGAAGGATTTCGTACCGGTAAAGAGCAAAAAAAATCACGAGTATTGTATAGGAGTCCTCTTAAATGTGTATGATATTCTGTTATTTAGTTTTTGTTATTAAACGGCAACAGAAATACATCATTTGTGAAAATTTCGAATGTGTATCTATTATGATTAATGAGATACAACCTGCTAACAGAAAAACTGACAGCGGAGTAATAAGTTTTTCTCTTTAGGCTTCTTTTTACATAGGGAAAATGCGTTACGCACTATCCCTACCACATAGGACCGCAGGGGGTGTGTGGGACTCTACCTAAAAGCATACCCAATAAAAAGCCTGCGTGTACCCTCTAATGGGAGTGGCACCCGGGAATCCCGAGTGTATTCACCGGGCCAGCCACTCCCATGTTTATCCTAATTATGCAACTTGAGCCCTGTTTTTACTCGAGTGACTTGAGTGAAAAAAAAAATCACTTGAGTTATCGAGACAACTCGGCGCATCGTGTGGATTCACTTGACATTAGATGTCACTTCGCTACTCTATTTGTCTATGCCGCTTATGTATTTTACTTTCTGGCTTACGTAAATAAATAATATATGAAAAATATTTTAATGTGCACTTTATTTATATTATAAATAGGGAATTCCTTAAAATCACTAAAAGGAATTGTTCACGTTTTAACTTATCCTTATAGTTTATCAACCTCCTTTCAAGATTCCTTAAAAATAAAGTAATAAAAAGGTATAAAGTTGTTACCATAGTAATCAGCTTGTTATTAAAAGAAATATATAAATATAGTTCCAGTACAAGTTCTTTTGGTTTTTTATTTAAAATTGATAAATATAGTTCCAGTACAAGTTCTTTTGGTATTTTATTTAAAGAAATAACAGTTCATCAAGCTATCGCACGTTTGCAATATTTTACACGAGTGTCTCGAAAACTCTAATGATTTAGTTAAATGGCTCGAGTCACAAAATCCTACTCGCACCGATCATCACCACTTTAATGTAGGTAACTTAATAATAAAAATATGTAACACAAATTGAATGTACTGAATCGAGCATTCCGGAATAAACCGAGCTACGATTAACACGTATTTTATTTACCACCGGTCACCGTAAGTCCTAGAAGAACCAACTGCAAATATTATAAGCACTTTACTCTACTTAAAAAATCGTGTGACGCATTACTTGGCTCACTCGTCCGGTATTGGTGTATAGGCAGTGCCTAGGTTCATCGGAGTCAGTCCGCTCGCTGGACAGCACGGGGCGGGCGCGCGTGCGCGGCGCCGGCCTGCGGGGGCCGCGCGCTCGGCGCTCGCAGCGCTCGGATCGCTCGGAGCGCTCGGTCCGCTTACCGGCACCGCTCACGCACTTGCCGCTAGATTTGCTCATCGATGTGCGAGACTGCTTGCTGCGTCTGTGGTTTTTTAAAGCATTTTTCAATGCAGTTGCTCATAAAGCGCTATTTTTAATACAATGTAAACGCCGAAAGTGAGTCTTTAAACACGTGTAAAATTAAAATGTACTGAAATAATTTACTGCACACGTGCTTAAAAGAATTTTTTTAATTTTTTTTGGCCGCGCACCAAAGAAAGAAGTAGTAAGTGGGCGGGGCACGCGTCGCTGGCATATGCGCTTTTACTCATATGACGCCCTTTCCTCGGTTTTATGTTTGCCAGTCGTTCGTCAATCGTCGAGTGGTGATTTTACAGATTTTTTCTATAAAAAATGCCGTTTTGTGCTATTATCACTTGCAAAAAGCAAAGCAAAGTATACAATCTAACTAATGCAAACATTTCCTTTCACTGGTAAGTACAATTTTAGTGCTAAAATATAAAAAAACGTAATAATTTGACACAATGTTAAATAAAATATACATTGATTGCTCAAACCAACATCAATGTTTCTGACCCCATTACTAAACAGCAATGTAAATCATTTTGTGCACTTTTGCAAAAAATAGTGCTGTGCCTCCATTTGTCTGAAATGTACCGATAGGCTGCTGCTGCTCGGAATCGTATTGTTAATTATATGGATCGTAATCGATAACTAAAACATATTTATTTAGAGCTTTTCTTTCATCATTTCATAACAACGTTATCGATAAATATATGCCATAATTATATAAAACTAAAAAATACTGTTTACAAGGGAAAATTATAGATGAACTGATACTGAACAAATGAAATAATGAACTGTCCAGGCACTTTTTTTACGAAGATTCAGTTAATTATTTACACGCAGATAAATATTAAAAAATACTGATGTGCTATAAATATCTAAGTTACGAAGTATATCACCGTTTTATGAACAATACATAAATTAAACGAAACTTCGTGAAAAGCTAAGAGTTGGCCTAATAGGTCTTGTTAGAAACTGGTGAAACTGGATTTCACTTATTTTGCATTACTTATATTTCAGTTTCCCTAATAACTTTACAACGGATTGCCTTGTTTACATAATTAATTTTGCCCTATCTGTTTTAGACCTAAACCTATCAAATGAATTTCAAAACAACATAATATCTATACAAACAAAAAATTATGTTTTCAACTAACGTAATATTGTTGGTGGTGTGAATTTAATTTACAAAATTAATTTTTAGGCGTCAATTTAATTTACCTTATTATGCTGATTCATAATCGGAAACTATTATTATAGAAATCGAGTTAAGAAAGCCACTTTAAAGAACCGCCCACAGAACAGCTTTTATCAGTTTTTTTGTTGCTCCATATTTGCACATAAGTTTATAGACGCATGTCTCAAACGGATGTGACTTTATATGTAGATTGACGTTTGTACGTACTTATCGCTTTTGTGTCTATCTTCAAACTTTTTTTGTCACGGCTTTCAAACTCATACTTGACCAGCAATTCCTTATTGTCCAGTCGTTGCAATTAATAATGTAGCTACTACTATTATTACAGATATAAAACTTAGAATAATAAAGTAAAACAAACATGGCTATGATCAATTTATTAGTGTAATGATCATATTAGTTATTATGAAATGAAATGAAAATATCTTTATTCAAGAAGGCTATTACAAGCACTTGGAATGGCAAGTTTATTTTTATTTCTACTTTTTTTTGTGAAGGAATCGTAATGTTTTCTTGCGTACATAATATTTTCATTGATGTATTGAGAGGCAACAGTCAAAATATTTATTTCTTTAAATATTTCTCTGAGAGATTCTCTAGACCGTAAATTATATATAGCGTGGACAGCTCTCTTTTGTAGAATAAAAATATCTTGAATGCTAGCCGCAGAACCCCATAACAATAGATTATACGTCATTCATTACACTATGAAAATAACTAAAATATACCAATCTTGCCGTTTCAACATTTGTTAAGAGTCTAATTTTCTTAACAGCAAATGCTGCAGAACTCAGTCTACTTGACAAATTATCAATATACCAAAATACCAAGGAACTTTGTCGATTCCACCATCTCAACTTTTTCACTATTTACATTTATAAGTATATTAACATGCCTCACATTAGGTAATGCAAACTTTATGTATTTCGTTTTATTTGAATAAAGCTTTAAATAATTACTATCAAACCACTGTAGAAAATTGTCGAACTGAATTACATTGAACTGTTTCATAACAAAATTTAAAGCTCTTATTTTATCAACTAATATGTCACATCACTAATATGCACAATCGGAATGATACCAGTAAGAAAAAAATACAAATTAGGCTTAATGTAATTAATACAAAAATTCTGTTGTTTTCTTAATTTTTGTTTTTTTTACACTTTCCCTCGCTTAATTATATTACTCCACAGACATACGATAGAGTGTATCATTAAGTTTTCTTAGTTTTTGTACTGCGTTTTTTAAAAGATATTTTAATAAATTATGTAGGGAAAAGCCTTAATTTTTCAGTATTCACTTGGTTACAGCAAAATCTAATATTAATAGTTCGCACATAAAATGATGACCCCAATTTTTTTAAATGTGCATAATCTTAAAATATTTTTTTCCTTCTGGTATCCCCATATACAGCCACGTGACAGTTCAACATTCATGTTAAAGTAAATTATTTATTATCACGTTGAATTAGAGTTTGTTTTTAATCGTGTGATTTCTTAGCTTAGTATCTTTTTGGGATTTGGTTTATGTTATCGCGAACCTATCGCGTGGCGGTTTTTCATGTAGTGAACAAAATGATCATTTCATCTAATCTGTATTTGTGTGCGGAGAGGCGACACTCGGTTCCCATACTAAATTAATATCATTATACTTCTAATCTCTCTCTATAAAAAGCATTGAAAAATGTTGTAAGAAACTTCATACAGGGAACAAATACAAGTTTTCCATATTTTGACCGGGATAAATTAAAGTTCGGCACCACTATTAAAAACCGTACATTGTGGAGTTCTGTCCTCTACCTATCCCGTAAGGGATACGGCTTGAAGATATAAATAAATAAAAAATCTCATTTATTCAATCTAGGCTGTTACAAGCACTCGTGAATGTCGAAAACTATTTAAATATATATGCAAATCTATGGCTAGGGCTGCTATTTCTCCCTATTTTAATAATATTATTTTTTACTATAATGTATTGATATTTAGAATGTTTTATCGGAGATGTTTCGTCAGTACAAAGGCACATTTATAAAAATAATTAACTATATAAATCATAAAAAAGCCCAATAAAACTGTGATATAAATACTGTAACAGTAAAAGCAGTCTCTCTCGACTTACCTGAGAGATCCTCTTTTGTGAGATCGTAAATTTTTGGAATACCGTGATGCTGTGGCCACTAATCGGGCTAGTCTATTAGGGCACCGTTGACTCCTAGCTCCATTTTGATTTGCTACAAAACATAAATAATTTCAATGAAATATGCTTAAAAATCCACATTCAGAGTACCATGGAGTAGTGGCCCGGATTGCGAAAGGTCATGGATTCCTGTCCCATCTCAGAGTGCCAGGGACAGAGTGGATTTTTTAAACTCCCTATATATATATATATATATATGTCGCATCATCATTACGAAGATCGTTTGATTTAGTTTCTTTTATTTTAATTGCTAGTTACTCGATTACTTAATTACTCGATTGTAAAGAGAGCGTGATCATCGATACTCTTAATTTTATTAGAATGGTGACACTGACTTTGACAGTTCGTTAATAAAAAGCAAGTTGCCGCCATTTTGGCACGCATTCTGTTTCCAAACGCTGAGGAGTAAACACATCAGATGACATCACGCTCATCTCGTTATATTTTCGTAAGAAAAGTGATAAAATGGAACAAATCCACGTTGATATACACGCCTGCAGTGTTATTTTAAAGATAGTCCTCCGATATGGATTATCTATTTGGGCTTCGCAATAGCCTGTTCTGACTACCCGCCGTTATATATATATCCCTATAGGCTCCCTTTAGATCATGAAATCTTTGATGGAAAGAGCTTGCTTGTCAAGAAGGAATGTATACATTTTCGTCTAAAGGCCAGTTTGCACGTATTGGTTTAACACAATTCGATTATAATAAGGCTATGCTTACATTTGCCTAATAAAAATAATTTTATGAGAACCAGTCATATGATCGATTGCTTGCTAAAAACAGACTTATAAATTTCAATAATAGAGATGATGACTGAGTAAAAAAAAAAAAGGAAATTCAATTTAGTCCGGCAGTCAAATAATAGAAAAATATTAAATACGCATTTCTTTTTTCTTCAGTTTAACAAGAAACTTTTAGATAGAAATATTTCATTTTAGTTTTTCATTGTATATGCGAATCTTAACCTAAAAAATACTACTCTGATTCGATGACCCTTATGTGTCTCGAGCACCTTGTTACAGTAAGTTCCAACTAATAAGGAGCACTACTAATTCCAACTATGACCAAATGTATGATGACAATTTATAATGATTCTGATTTCAATTCCAATACAGCGTTGAAAACAACGCATTTGTCACTACACAGTGCCTCAAACTACTCGTACAATCGCACGATAACTGTACTTATATCATTACGTTTGGTCGACAATAGAGATGATGACTGATTTTTGTTTGTTTGTCCGTCAGGTAGAGTGTAAAAAAATATTAAACACGTATTTTTTTTTCGTAATCATAAAATTACGGCGTCACATGGAGTTGAAATTTCGCATGACGTCACGTTAGGGTACGTTTTCTACTCAACTGTGACGTAGCGAGCCCCCACTCCTCAACTTTAATGCCTGTTATCTAAGCTATTTCTCGTTAAATTGAAGTAAAAAAAAATGTAGCTAATATTTTTCTATTATCTGACTGACGAACTAAATAGAATTGCATTTTTTTTACCCAGTCATCATCCCTACAGCGCGTTTTATTGCATGTTATCTTACAATAGCTCTTTAACCATTTACTTAGGGGTCATCCATAAATTACGTCACACGATTTTCATGATTTTTTTGCCCCTCCCCCCGTCCTAGTCACAGATGGTCACATTTGTGACTAGGGCGGACACACCCTCCTATTGTGATGTCACATATTCTGCAAGGTTTTTGTAAAGTAATAGTTTAAAGTTCGTGTTTTAACACTAAGATTATAATATATCTTGAAATGTTAAGTCACGAAATTTAGGACCCTCCCACCGCCTTGTCACACAATGTCACACTTCGTCGACCCCCTTCCTCCCCCTAAAAACGTGTGACGTAATTTATGGATGGCCTCTTAAAACTTTTTATTATTTTTACTAGCTCTTTAAAACGGATCTCATTTCCTCGAACTCAAGTTTCAACTATATGGTGCAAATTTCTAGCTGAATATTTTGTTTTGATATCGTTAGTTCACAGTAGTAGTTTTTGAATACCTCTTATTGTGGACGCAAATTTTTATACACAACTTAGTTCATCATCATCATCATCATCACCAGCCCTTTTACATCCCCACTGCAGGGGCTCAGGCCTTCCTTATGATGGTTAAGGAACTTAATTGCTATCAAATTGTACCCTATTTGAAGGCAAATAAATATCTATTCTATTCTATTCACGAGAAAAGAGTGTCTGCATTAAATGATTTTAAGAGGTACGTACTTCGCTTAATCGGCAACGGCAGAAAGTCGACGACGATCTGGTCGCTGTCTGATGAGTCTGTATCGTTGTGAGGCGATCGGCAACTGCTAGAGCCATCCAGTGAATCGGTCTCTTCCGCCAGACATTCCAGTTCGCGTTGCACTAGCGAGTCGAAGTATGCCATCATACGGGGATCTTCGCTGGTAGACTGCTCCACGTAATTGTGTGAGATATACTGTGGATATTCACTATGTCATAACATTCAAAATACACTGAATTAAGCAATAGGGGGCCATCCATAAATTACGTCACACAAAATTCACGATTTTTAACCCCCCCTCCCCCCCTCCTGTCACGTATGTATCTATATTAATTCCACTAAATTTTGTTCTAACGTCACAGTTCGTCGACCCCCCCCCCCCCCCTCCTAAAGTGTGACATAATTTATGGATGACCCCCTAGTTAAAATATTACAATTGAAGAAAGAAAACTATTTCAAAATGTGATTGTAGGAAATGTATCTTATACCCATAAACAACTTCATATTAGTAATTCGATTTCGAGAAATTGTTAAGCAACTTTAAGAGCCAATCATAGGATGGGTGACCAAACTTTAATATCTCGATCTCCTCCATGCTTCGGAAGATATTAAAACAGGTGGTGCAGGCTGCATCTGCAGTCGTTACCACCCAAGAATATGCACTTAATAAGATAAAAATCACTCAAAATGTCATTTAAAAGTAAATATAGATTATTACCTGTCCACTATGATGCACAAGGGAGACATAGTCCTCATGACTGTATATTTCGCGTGGATTATCTGACCCTTGTGCTTCTTCCAACAACGAACCTCTCATTTGCGGATACTCCAAAGCTGACCACACCTTTAAGGATTACATACATAAATATTAAATTAAAAAATAAAAATTTACATACATTCGACTTACTGAAAACCGACCTTGATAATCTTCTCCACTCCAGAGGATGCAATGAGACAGTAACGGGGATTATATCTCACTTGATTCACTATCGACCTGTGACCGTACAACACTATATGCGGTGGTTCGACAACCATATCTATAAAAAAAAAATTTAATAATTGTCAAAAAAATTTAAAAATCGAATAAATTGTAGTTTTCCATTGTTTCTATTACAATAAAAGCTGTTTATTCAAGATTATGTTATCCGCGGAAGAAAAACGAGGATCGGAAAGCTTTAATTTTATTAAGCATTTAATAAATCAACACAAGAAATTCTGACTAAAAATCGTGGCATAAACTGATGGATAATCAAAGATCTAAAGTCTAATCTAAAGTCTAATTTCAAAGATCGCATTCCCTTTCAAAGATTGCAGTTAGCATTCAACTCTTTCGTTTCTCATTTCTCAATAGCTTTTAAAGATAGTTACGTCTAAAAACGCTTTATTGCAAATTTCCTGGATAATTAATACTTTAGCATTAATATGCGGCCGTCAGAAGCAGAACTGTTATAAGTGTGTTCAGTGAATAGAGCCGAATAAATTTCTTTAGCCTCCTCTAACTAAATTGCTAATTTTAGCCTCCAATTAAATGGCTAGGCTAAAATTAGCAATTAAGCCTAGCCATTTAATTGGATGGCGGCAATCAATTGCACGCCTAGTTTTCTAGTTGAATCATTATGATTTGATCCGTTCAACGAGACGGTTGATTTAAAAGCCGCCAAAGAAGACTCATTCAGTTACTCGGCTAATCGAAGTCAGCCTGTTAATTGAATTGCGCCATTCTATTAAAGGGCTAGCCGACCGAATGGTCGGCTGATTATACAGTTTGGCTGCGACATAAAAAAACTATATGGCAATCGACTAATAGGTGTTATATTTGTTAACTATATAACAAAAATATTGTCCAACCTGATTCGCCTACATCAGGAACTTTCCACATATACAGATTGAAGTCATCAGATCCAGACATCACAAACTGATCGCCTTCCCCGGCGAAACAGCAACTTTTCATCGTGCAAGAATTGTAATAATCCTGATGGTAGAACTCTGCAACAGGGTCTGGCGAATGCACGGCATATAGGACCGGTGCCTGACGGCGACGTAACGCTAATATGTGAGTGCCGGCTGAGTTGAAACGAACGCTCATGCAGTTCTGTGTAGTGCCGTTATTACCCACGTAGCGTAGAACAGGGCTGTAGTAAAATAATTTTAATTAAAAAGTATGTATCTCGTTCTCCTTGACTATTATATATATATATATATATATATATATATATATATATATATAGCAAACTGTTCTATCACACAAAACAAAGACAAACTTGTTACTGGTCTCGTAACAGGTCACATACAGGTTGTATTTTTAAATTCGACTTGAGTAGAACAAGTTCTTTTTCTTTATTAAAATATTATCAGTATAGCGTTGTGTATGTAAAATTGTTCAATTATAATAATTCGTTATTTATATTTAAACATAATTATAACTTTTTATAAATTAACATTACAGTTAAATAATGTGAGGACTGTTTTTATTATCACCAGAGGTCGGAATTAGGTAGAGTTATTCATGTACTTACACTGATTTCATACAGCGAAATAATTAAGTGGATATGCCTCAAATCCCGAGATTAATTTTTAAGAGCAGAAAAAATCCCATGATTTTTTAAAAAAAAAGTTATTTACTTTTATACAATTTAAACTACTGCACGCACGACGTTGCCAAACTTACATCAATGAAAGAAAGAAATAAAGAAAGAAGAAATAAACAAATCCCGGGAAGGTCCACATTAATATCAACATTTCGATGCAAGTACATAAATAACTCTACCTAATTTCGACCTCTGATTATCACATAAAAAGTAAAACTTAACTCACTGTTTAGGAGATCTCAGGTCCCACAAGGCGACGCCGTCTCTCGCGTTTGCCGAAACGACCATCCCAACTTGTTGTGGGTGAAACATCACACCGTGGAACGCTTTCCGGCTACGCGATATGACAAGCGACTCTGCATAGTGAGGTACAATGTGCCAGTGAGTTGTCCACCACACATTAACCACTGAGTTCAGCAAACTATCTATGCCCATGGCCAATTCGATCGATCACCCTCTGACTTATAGCGAAAGCTATATAAAAAAAGTTTCCTTCACTTAATTCAGTAAGCGACTTTCAAACACCCTACCCCAAACTTGTGTATTATTAGAGATAAAAATTACAAAATAATATTTGTTTATAAATAAAGTGTGGCATTTTAAGATATTAACATTTGTAATAGATAAATGCATTTAGCAATACTATAATAAATAACTTTAAGGCCGCAAACTGAACAGGGCGAGTGCGGTGCAACGCGCGACTTTATAGTTTGTATGAACCATTCTGGACAACAGCAGCAGATAACGAGTGGCGAATGCGCGACCGAGTGATTATAGTGTAATCAACATTTAAATAAGTATAATTAATAAACAAGTAATTGGATATAAATATTTCATACTCGGAAGCTCATATTATATTTAGCATATAAATGGAAATGAACAATCTGACTGCTGACATTAAGTACGTGCCAATATGGCAGAGTCGCCGCCCGCACCGCGGTCGCCACCACCGCCGCCGGTGTCCAGAACGATAATGACCTAATGTCATAATTAGACCCCATTATCGGAGGTGTAATTTAGTAGTTAAAAATATTAAGATGGATAAAAATAAAATATGTAAATTAATGAATAATAAATTTGTACTTATATACAACTAAATATCAATATCATCAAATCTTTAATGGTAAATGCTTAATAATTCCAACAGATCCATGTACCCTGAACCTCCAGCTACCAAATTACACCTCTGATAACAGGATATAGTCATTAATAGATAATAAAAATGAAATAACATTTTAATGCTGACTTAAGTATGTTTTGCATTTGACATAATAACAATTCTAATTCTTAGATGCAACTTGTTTCTGGTATATTCTATATTCTTATTGATAACGATAAAGATACAGACGCCATAACAATTTGATGAATTGTCAATTTGTTAATGACATTATAATTTTTATCTGGAAGATACTAACCATGTACAGATTGCCTTGTATCAAACAGCAACAGTCGTCCATCATTACCAGCTGTGGCAACAACACGACAATTGAACGGATCAATGCTGAGACTGCATACCGCCCTCTGATGTTGTAAAACCTCCAATGGGCTTTTACTTTCCAAATCATGGACAATAACCTTACAAATCATAAAAATCTCAATTAGAAAGTGTTGTGAACACTCAGATGTAATTAAAAATCAATTCATGCTTTTGATAGGTTTAATTTTTATTTCACAACATTGAATAAATTCTAAAGTCTAGGAACAGGGCCCGCAAAAGCTCAGATGCATGAAAATGGACAACATTATCTCAAAAATCCTCAAAGTTGTTTAAAAGTTAGTTGAGGGATCTGTTTAGGATCTACTTTTACTTAGGTCTGTTTTTAAGAGCATCAAAATTTGTTTAATTGAAGTGAAACACAAGTAGTTTACCAATAAATTATGATATATGACATTTTGTACTGTAAATTTTTCAGATTGTATTGTAAATATATACTTGTATTCATGTTTTTCTTTGTGGTGTACAATAAAGTGTTCATTCATTCATTAATTTTGAGGCAATCACATTATACTAGCTCCTCTAGTGGCAAATTCAAATGCGTTAGTCCTCATTGCTTTTAATCAAGAAAGTATTTTACCGTGTCATCATTTCCTCCAGAATAAATCTTTTGATTATCATTAGTAATGCCAAGGCAAAATATATTGGAATGATGAAGGCTCTTCATCTGCTCTGGTTCTTTGCCATGATCGAGAAGTGCTTGGCCAAACTGCCAAAGCATAACTCTCCTGTCATCACCACCTGTTATATGTTAATCAAATCAAGCCAAATTCCAATCAACAAAATATCAAATACATACTAGACCAATATTCAGCAGCCTATGCAGTTTAAGTTGGTTTGTTAGTGGAGACCATTATAATTTAATACTATTTATGGTAATTTAAATTAGAAAGGTGCACAATGAATTAATATAACTGTTTTTATTGAGAAGATATTTAGTTAAATATTATTTTAGATAATTAATAGGTTTATGCAGATTTGCCTTCATGATAAGGCATACATATTGTATATAATATTTAGTAATAAACAATAGTAAAATTGTCACTTTCAACCCATCGGAATTACAAAGATCAAAACACAGACAACAGATAATGACATATTTTAATTTATAACATATTTATTTATCATATAAATCTATATAATTTTTTAAAGTGTTATAAATATACCTGATACGAGCAATTCGCCATTGCTAGAAAACTCGATGGCGTTAACACATCCAAAATGACACACTAAATCTCTCCGATATAAATTTTTTGCAGCGTTTAAACGTTTGGTAAACAAATGCGACTTGAATTCTGGCACGAAACCATATTCTCTCTTCACAAGATATGGTAAAGGACTCGCTATATTCGCCATATTTAACACAATACCACCATTTTCTGACACGACTGATACACAATTTCAAAATCCAACCAAATCAACTCAACTTCGCCTTCGTCTCTTCTCGTTGTTCGTCGATCAGCTGTATTTTATTTTTATTTTTCTAACAGAACGACGTTTCTTTTCCTCTGAATTAAATTGTAATTTTTATAATATCTAACCATTATTATCGCCCCTTCAAAATTAATTTATTAAGCATATATGGAAAACTAATTAATAGACCAAAATAATCATACAATTATTTTATTTAATAAAATAATAATAAAGAGTTAAAAAATGAGGATCAGTAAGATACCTAACTTCTTATTGCTTCTTATGCGTGTAAAGAAACGTGTAGGTGTTACCCTTTGAATAGGTAGGTATATTTAATAATAATAAAGTAATATTTTGTGGCGACTGATACGTAGTGACATCTAACTCATCGCACTGACATCGCCACAATCAGGAAGTATTTAAAAAAAAACGAAAGCTTTAAAAATGCACCTCTACTAGATGGCGACTCTAGCAAAAGTTGTTTTTTTGTAGGAAACGAATGAACCAAAGACAGTCATTTTCGTTCCTTTTAACTAACATATTAAAAAACTAAAAATTGAAAAGTTCGAAACTTAGATATCAATAAAAATACGAAAAATTACAAATAGAATATGAGTTGTTTACTGAGTTTTGAAAACTAATTTACTTCTAAACATGAAAGAAAACCGGAAAGATTGTCATGGAGAAATCAATAAAGTACCGTAGTGAGATCGAGTGTGATTTCGGGAACTTATTTTTTTTTAATACTTCCTCACTTGTTACAGAATTTATTTACCGTCTAGGCTTCGTAATTCATGAATATGCTTCATTTCATTATCACTATTTAAGTTAAATAGTGTGCGCCGTATTATGTAAATTACTCACAAATTATTTACATACAACGTGCTTACTGATACCCGATGGTAAAAAGGGTATAGAGAAAGACCAGGGAGCTTTTAGATCACATGAGTTTATTTAATCACCAAAAAATATATACTTTATAAAATACAAACAGCACCGACAATAGCTTTACGAAGAGTTACTTTCAATATAATGATAACAATAGACGCGCATGTGCAGAACAGATTGTCAAAATGTCAATATTTAAATTAAAATTAATTAAAAAGATCTTCAACCAAGAAGGTCTCCCTCAACACTTACAACATGTTGGGTGAATACGCGGAAACAGAATTATCGCGTACATTCATTATTATAAACCGTTCTTCAAAAATAATGAATCTTGAGTTAACCAGTTTTAACAAATATTTTAAAGCTTAAAATCAAGTGGAGAAACAGTTTTGTATAGCCTGATGTGCTGTTGACTGTACAAAGACAGAGCATGTTAAAAACCGATAATATAACCTTAGATAAGTTGTATGGCAAAATCCTATTGCTTTTAATAAGATAATAAGTAAGACGATAGATGTTAATGTCAAACGTTTGTAAATAGAAAATTTTTGAACGAAAGCGCACGTGGGAACGTCGTGTTTTTCTACGCTTAGATGTTATAAATTTGTTGTATTTCAACTTTATTTATTATGGTAGTAGCTGAAATCGTTGAGAAAACGATGAAAAAGCCAACAGTAAAAGTGTCTGGTATATATAACGAGAAAACTTAAAGCTGTTCCCTTATGACTCCGATTTTTTCTAGCCTTTATTTATTCCTTTTCAGTTTCCGATTCCGACTCATCTTCTTCCGATAGCACCGATGAATTGAAAAACGAAGAACACGATAATGAGCAGATTCTTGAAGCGGATGGTGAAAGCAGCGATGGAAGCAATACTGATTCTGCAGAATCAAGTTCACTTGTAACTAATAAAGGTTGGGCAGACTCAGTAGCTAAAATCCTCGGTTCCAGTAAACCAAAACACAAAAAATCACTGGTACTATCGAGAGCTAAGAAATATGTAGAAACAATAAAAAAGGAAAAAGATGTAAAGCCAGAATTTGAGGTAATCGGAGAAAGTATAGACATAAAGAAAGAAGAAGAACACAAAGAAGAGAAATGTGATGGAGAACCACCAACTAAAAGAATAGTAAGTACACCATAAAAAAGTAATTAAATGGTTTCAATATGTTTTGGTTGCCATTTATTTTAATGATTTTATTGATTGAATTTATTTTGAAGTTTCATTCAAAATTTGATTTTAATCTTATGTAAAATATGATGTCCTACTCATCCATTTGGGTTCAATATTTTTAGTTAATAAGATTATAAAGGTATATGAATATATAAAAGCTCAACTATGATGAGACTGAACTATTGGTTAAAAAAATGTTGATTAAAATTTAAAAAATATTCAATATTCATAATCGTAAAATCATATTACAGACCATTTAATCAACTATTTATAGTTAAGAAATTATTTAACTTTTAATTTACATTGATTATCCATATCTTATTTATGATTTAAATTTTCAATTACTATTTATACACTTGTGCATAAAATCTTTTTAGTTACTGTAACACACCCTCCCATATTCATTAACATTTTACTTAAATAAAAAAATAATTAAGAAAAACAATTATATGTATAATTTGTTTTTAAAAATATTGTCAATTACTATATTTGCCAATGTTTGTATGTAAATGTTATATATTGATAATATAATGGCAATACTAAAAATGCTAGGAGGATCCTGGAGTACAGTAATCAACTAGGCTTGGCTGCAGATGCTAAAGCTTTTTTTAAAAAAGTTTAGCCATTGTTTAAGATTAATAATTTTATTTATTAAGCTGTGTGCAAATAAATAAATACATTTATTATTAGTAAAGACATCCTTTAATTTATTACTGTTTCAGAAACATGAAAAGCCTACAATTCGAGTGAAACCAAATATATTAGAGAAAGATAGAGAGAGATTATTAGCAAAAATAGCTACAAAGGGAGTAGTACAATTATTTAATGCAGTAAGAAATCAACAAAGAACATTGGAAAAAGATATAAACAAAAGTAACTTGACAGAAGGTAAAAAGGAGAAGATACTGAAGAAATTCGATAAGAGAACATTTTTAGATAAGTTGATGGGTCAAACAAAGTCAATAATTGTGGACAAAGAAGCAAATACTGTAAAGGATGAGGTAAAAGTTGAAGACAGTGTTCCTAAATGGAATGCACTGAGGTTTGTAATAGTTTATAGCTTTATTATAAATTGTATACAATCTTCTACATATAAACTTTTATTGCAAAGTTACTATTTTATGTACTAACCAATTAAGTTATAAAATTATGTCAAAGGGGCTTACAAAATCAATAGACATAATAAAACTACATAATTTTCTTAAATCTTTTAAATAATTTTTTTAATAATTATTAATTAACCACTCACATAATAAAAATAGGGAAAAATTGGGGAGACCTATGTCCAGCAGTGGACGAATATGGGCTGATGATGATGATGAATAAAAATAAATAAAAATGTGTATAAATATTATATTATATTATATTATATTGTTCCAGGGATGACTTCATGATGGGTGCTAAAATGAAAGATTGGGATAAGGAGTCAGTAGATGAATAAATTTTTTAATAAAATTCTAATTTATTTTTGTGATAATACATAATTTAAGTTAAACTTAACTATAACTAGTTAATAATTGTGGTTAAGAATTTTATTAAAATTTAATTGGTCTATTAAATCATTTATTATTTAATATTAAGGGTGTAGGCATCACTTCCAACTGAATGTTGAGTTATTTGTTTTGGTAATGTGGAATAAATTTTTACTGGTAAATTCCAAACCATTGTCTCAATAGGCACATTCAAGGGAGCATTCCAATCTTTATCTTCAGGGTTTGGCAACAATTTCTCATTGGTAGTCACAAATTCAAAGTGAAGACGCCATCTGAGTGAAACTGAAATTAATTTATATTCATTAAATTAATATCAGTGCTTAAAGAATATTGGTTTTAATTCCTCACATTTTCTTACCGTCCTCAACATCAAAAGCTGGCGTTATATGCAATGGTATTGGAAGTATAAGTTGGGAGTGTGTAAGGCCCAAAGTAACTTCATGATATCTGGCCACTGTCATTGATCTACTACATGTATCTTTGCTAGCATTTTTAGGTGATTTTGATTTCAATACTTCCTCAGGTTGTAATGATACAGATACCTGCAAAATAATACTTCTATTATAGGACCAGGAGCTCTGCAAAGTAACTATCATTACACACATCATGTTTTGACTGGTCTGTGAATTGAAGCATGCCAAGGCTTCATTTTTAAAACCCAAAACATAATGTCGTATAGTAGAGCTGCTGCTCCTGGTTTGGTAAAACTTTTTATGTCACCAATGCAAAGCTTCAAACTGACAATAAAAATCACCTCTAGAACATAAAAAAAATATCTCTAACAATAAAATGTTTAAATACAATATGAATTATGATAAAAATATGCACCTGCATACAAGTCACAGTCCCAACTGAGAAATCAAATGTGCCCACAATATCTTCACCAAGCTTGTATGCTGATTTAAATAAACAAAATCTTCCAACTTTTCCTCTAGTGTTTGTTATCATGTATGAGTTAGGACTTCTTCTAGCTGTGAGGTTCTGCAATGAATTAATATGCTCTGAGATGAAATTAGAGGATATACACATTTTTTAATGCAAAAACTCCATTCATATTGTCAATAAAATTAATATAAGAAGTTATTAACATTAATGAGCTTTTTTAAATAATCAATACCTGTAAGACTTGTAAAGCCATTGTAAGAGGAGTTTCAACTTTCCTCTCCTCTGAAAATGGATTAGTTGGCTGCAGATCTTCTGTCGTTTCATTTCCACACAGAGCTGCATGATCTTGCATATTCATTATAGGGCTAATTGGAAGTACTCTGAATGGAATGCGAACCATTTTAATATGAGAGCCAACCTTTTGGGTGGCTATAGTTATTTTGTATGAGTATTTTACAGATGTGCCACGATATGAGGGTGCCGCTTCAATAGGCAGAGACTCCCTGTACCAGTCTACAAAGTATTGAATAATATGTAAAATATGTCAACTTATTGTTTTTATTTTTTTGGTAATTCATGTACTTACATGTTTTAGTCTCCCCAAGGGGTATTGTCAGATCACAAAATAAAATCTTAGGTTTTGTATGAAATATAACGTCTCCAATGTCACAGGATGTCACTTCCAATGATGTGGTTTTGCCTGATACTGGTGTCTTTTCTCCTGTATTTCCCGATGTTGAATAGAAACAATGTATTTGTGCTGAAGCCCATGCTAAGTTTTCAAGGATATCACTGAAATTGCGTTAGATTTTTATTTTGCTGTTTAAAGTGAATCATTTCAAAGTATTATTTACCTGTGACTTTGCGAATTTCTATGTTCAGGTTGTGTTGTATGACAGAACGAAATTGAACATTCTAAGGCTTCCCCAGCTAAGTAAACTGTTCCAGTGGTAAGTTTTGCTGAAAGCTCTATCATGATAATTTTATTCAGTCTCTAAATAAATAAAATACTTCACAAACGTCCTAAGGTATCTGAACACCACGTCAGTATCTAAAATTATTATACTTATTGCAGTATAATCTCAGTCGAGCTTGTGCTGTTTATAAAATCTTGTTTAATGTTTAAATTTTTCCTATATTATAAAATACTTTGAGATTCAATTTCTGTTTGATAAAAACAAGAAAATCTTTACAAATCTCTAAACAACACAACAATCACTGACTGAAGATGTCACTTTGTCTAAAAGAAGAGGACCGGCCATACCTACGAAAAAAGCGTATATGCCTAAACTTCAAATGCAAATTCTTCGATGGCGGATTGTCATAGGGCGTGACCCAAGATATCGATATTTGTATCGACATTGAAGTCATATTAAATAAAAGTTAGTATTTCGTGAAACTGCTACAATACTACTACTTATTAAATAATATAATATAATTTTCATTGTTAGGGGCATGGCTAAACTATTACCTATTACACTTCTATTCATTTCACACTTACGTACCAATCCTATTTATGATTATTATTAATTAAATTGAAAAATTCACGCCAGTATCAAGAAAATAATATTTTTTTAAAAGTGGCGTGAATTTATCAATTATTTATAAATCATTAAGCAATCTTTTGCTCGTATTTTGTTGGACATCTAAAATTTCTTGCGTTCTTTGTTCTTGCGACTCCGTTGCGTCACTATAGTAAATATAACATATGTTACCAGCGTATGATGGCGCTTCCCACGGGTAAAAGATTATTCGTATTCCAAATTTCATCAAAATCCGTTCAGTAGTTTTTACATGAGAGTAACCAACATCCATCCTCACAAACTTTCACATTTATATTATTTAATAATATAATTTTATAATATGATTGTACCTCGATAAATATGTTTCTTTTTCCTCTAATATAGCCAATTTTACATAGTTTTAAGAACTATAGTACCAAAATATATATCTTAAAAGTTTTACAATAATATCAATCGTGTTTTATAATTATTTCCATATATATTGTCAAGTTGACATTTTGCAATTATAATTAAATAGTTTTTTTAACATAAGTTTAATTTTGCATCCACGGGAAGTGTGACTACTGTCCAAGATAACTACCACGGTAACTATAATAAGCTTTTAATGAGTCGATTGACGAATGAATTATTATGCTTTTTTTTGTCTGTTATATATTTTTTATTGTTTTGGTGGAAAGTGACATTTTGGTCCAATGAAGTCATTTTTTATTTTTCAGTACGAAATTAAACAGGGTGCAAAAGCAGCCCTTGCAGTTTCTTACCGGTTCCTTTCTTACAGTTTCTTCTTTTCTCGGTACAAGGTTTCCCGTAATAGATTGCTGAACTATAAGCACAGAGTTTCGACTTTCTTATATGCTTGTAACTAGTAAGCCAACTTGTCTATAAATTTATTCAATAAATTGTTTTGACTGAATAAATTTCGCTTCCTCCTCATTAAGTGAGATACCGTGCGTACTGTGTCACAATTTTAGTTCAGAACATCTTGTTTAGTAGTAAACATAGAAAACTTGAAACACCTACATAATCTTTGTATTATATTATTGGTAAAAGAACATAAAAATACTGTAAACTTTGATGAATAAACAAGAGAAAATAAAGAAAACAAAGTTGGTGATGAATAAGTAACAATTGGCATAACAGTAACATTATTAAAGAAGTAACAATTGGCATTTTATTTAAAAATTTGGTTAGCAAGAAGAAAACAGCCGATTAATCAATAGGCAAGCATACAAATATTTTCTCAGCACTAAAACAGTCTGCAATTCATGTTCTGTGAACAATCATGATAACGGTCAGCAATTTAAATTCAAAAAGGTAGCGTATTTTATGATGCATCAGCAAAATAAACATCCACGCCGCAAAATAATTATTTGGGTATTAAGATTATACTATTGAACAGCAAAGAAAACCTTTAACTATGCCTTTAATTTGATAAGTGTGCATATTTTAATTTTTATTAAAATTATTTAACTCATTTTATTGTATATTTTACTGGGAGTATATTATGATCAGAATTTTATATTTTAATATTATTATATATTGCATTCTGATTTTTTTCAATTAAAATAGTCGTCATATGACCGCAAGACTAAAAATAAGGTACATTTATAGAATAACAAAATGACTATATAAAAAACTAAATAAATAAATCAGTAAAATCAAATGAAAATTAACTAAGTGTAATAGACATTTTTTTTTAAACAAGTTAAAAGCAATTGTCAAAAATTCTTACCAGAGTATTTGATTGGCAATGCATCATCTCGTAATTTTATTATATTTAAAGTTCGATTCAAACAACTTTCCCTAAAATGAAGTGAGCAGATAAAAGTAACTTTTTCATTACATTTAATATTTTCTGCTTCTATGTAACTCAGCCATTTTCCTCTTTTGTTTCATCTTTTGGTAATCTCAAATAATTAATATATTTTTAAATATTAAAATTATCGATATAAACCATATGTTAAAGTAACGACACTAGCCATGTAAACAATATTATTTACGAACCGAAATATTATAAAAATATAAACGAAAAGAGCAATATAGCATAAATAGAACACGTCAAAATACGATATGTATCGATTTATACACGCAATCATTTTCAGAATAACTTACTTACGTTTTAAATACTGTTATTCAAAGAAAGTGTTTAACTTACCGGTGAAACGTAATATTGCTCGGTTTGCGGGATATTGATGACGCACAACCAATTATACAGCACCTAGGCATTGTTTTGCATAAATAATTTACAATTTTCTGCCATGAAAGTTATATAAATTAAAGTTATAAATGAAAATAACCACAAAACTTATAACACTGACAGCTGAACTACTTCCGAGAATACGCAAAGCAAATTTGCAAATGGCTGACAGATGGTACGATAGCTATATCTCATGACGTCACGTAAAAAATGTTGAACTGTCACACTAGTGTTATCTTTGTTTACTAAAGAAACTTCTTATTAGTTAAAAAAAGACAACATGATGTTTTTGATGTCAACTTCAGATTGCATGATATTTATATAACCATAGAAAATATTTCCACTCTACCTTACTCTAACCCAATCTATCGGGCCCGATCCATCGGGTACACTGTAAATTGGGTAGTCTAATCGCAGTTAGAGAGTTAGGGTCCCGATATCGGGTGAACGTGGGCGCCCGATCGCCCGATGAGAGTTAGGGCCGATTTATCGGGTAATGTGATCGCTGTTAGGGTGTTAGAGCGCTCAGTCGGTGGTTGCGCAGCGTGCGTGTTAGACGTCAGTGAACGACAACGAAATTTGCGAACAGACAAAAATATCTTCTCAAAAGGAAAAGAAATAATATTAAGTGTATTTTAATATTATTACTTTTTCTAATATATATATATCAATATGATATAATGTTTTAAACAATTCTAGATAGCCTTTGCATGTGTCTGGTACAATTATAAATTTTATATAAATTAAAATAATAAAAACTAATGCTATAATAAACTTTATATAATCGTTGTGCCCGATAGGGTCCATAGTAACTAACTTAATTATGTAATATTATTTTAAATTACCTATGGAAACAATAAACTTATTGAGTATTTATACTTTAAGTCATGATATGCATTTCCCGTTGCTAAAAATTTTAAGGTTACAGCACAGCTAACCGCTGTTTTGCGCTATATAAGCTATGACTAAGTTTAATATATGATTTAATATATGATTAATTTAATATATGATATTTCAAATTGTACAGAACTCATTCTGTAGTAGTTCAAACTGCATAGTTGGTCTCTTAGAAGCAAATATTTTTCACCCAACATTTTGTTTTATTATTTACGCCCGCAGTTAAAGCATGGGCTATGCCAATTTTTGGTACTTTGAGAGCGAAGGAGCCATCCTTTCAACGCCACGTTTGCATGCCAACTGAGTTAGGGAGGCGATCTAGTGCAGTGTAATCACAACGACACCAACCGCCCTAAATCGCGGCCGATTAATCGTGCCCGATAGATTGGGTAGTGTAATTCAAAGAGTACTTTATAATAATGGTTATCGCTCTTTGGGTTATCGTGTCCGTGATCCGTAAACATATCCGCGATAAAATTTCCATAAATGTTCACATGTAATAAGTCCGTCTTACTTTTGCTTCTTTTTTTCTTTTTTTTATTAATGGCTTATCTGCGCGTTTGCATAATTCTGTCAATGTCCGGTAATTATATTACTTAAAATAAATTAATTTCTACATGTAAAATGTAACGAATGAAAGATGGCGATTGCTTTTCTTTTTTTGGGTCTATTTTTACTTCAAATAATATATAATTAAAAATGATATTGAGTGTGACTTTACGTTTTTCATTTTGAGATGTCTGTAAATCTAAAAGTTTTAGTTACCATATATAATCTTCCGTATAATCCATTTTGTACCATAAAAAAATATAAAATAACATTATATTTGTCAGGATTCTGTTACATCCTAACTGTGTATTTATAAAAAATTGTCTATTGAACCAAATAACAAAGTTATCCCTAAAATACTTAATTGTTTGCATTATTATAATGAGGAAGTATTAAAAAAACGAAAGCACTAAAAAAAGCACCTCCACTAGATGGCGCCTCTAGCAAAAGTTGATTTTTGCAGGAAACGAATGGTCCAAAGCCAGTCATTTCCGTTCCTTTTAATAGTAACATATTAAAAAACTAATATTTGCAAAGTTCAAAAGTTAGATATCAATACAAATACGAAAAGTACAAATAGATTTTGAGTTGTTCATTGCGTTTTGAAAATTAATTTACTTTTATACATCAAAGAAAACCGGAACAGTTTTCATGGAGAAATCAAGAAAGTACCGTAGCGACATCTTGTTTGATTTCAGGAACTAATGTTTTTTAAAATACTTCTTCATGGCAATTTGCCTACTTTTTCCACAAATTTTTGGTTTTTCCGGGTAAAATCCATCTCTACTCTGAGATTAGATATTTTATCTGAAGTTATACTATAGATTAAGTTTTACAAAACTGAAAATCTTCCCTACTCTTGTTGCTTTAATATGGTCACTAAAAAGCGAGCCTACTCAACGCAAGGCTTGACGATGATGTTCTTAAAATATTCATATATCGATCAAGTTTGTTCTTGTACTATACTTATTAAAGTTGGAACATATTATTTCAAATGAGGTATTTTATTTATTGAAGTTTCTGAACGTGTAAACGTCAAAAGGCAAAATATAAATATACGTTTCGGTTCACTCATTTCAATTATATAATAAATGTTACAATCTTGGATTTATTAAAAGTTTTTATCATTTGTTAGGTAAATTAAAGTAATTATGATAAATTTAGAAATATAGCTTCCACGAAACTTCAACATCATTAATAATAATTAAACTTTCTATGAATAACATATCCATATAATTAGTACATCGATTATTGTGAAATGAAACGTTTAAGTTAACGAACAATTCATTCGAAAATTGTATGCAAGGATTTTCAACAAAAGGAATTATTTGAAAGAAAATGCTTATATCAGACGGCATCAATCACGTTAAATTACAATCGATAATCGTCGGGGAATTGAAAAAAGCAGGTTTGAAACATCGGCTGAAAAAAATAATCTTGAAAAGCGTTAAAGTATGTGTCGGTAAGAAAGTCCGAATATTTTTAAATTTTTATTTTCTATGCATTTAATTATTAATTTCAGGATCATAAGACAGTATTTGGAGCACCATTGGCTAAAGTGCCATCATGTAGTGTTATTTGTTGTGGAAGTACCTTGAGCGTTCCTATGGTTGTTACTGAAATGTCAACTATTCTCAGAGCAAATGCCCACATCGAAGGTTTATTCCGTAAAGCTGGTTCTCAGAACCGCCAAAAAGATATTAAGGTAATTTGTATTGGATATAAATAACAACATTCTCATTATTTTTTGTGCTGGTTGGGGTTCTGTTGCACAAACTAGAATTTTTTAATCCTGTCACACTGCGTTTTTGATTCTTTAAATAAGTAAATTAGCAGTTGTAGACTTATATACAGGAGTTCAATTATATATCTTCGAATATATCTCACTGCAGAAAAAACTGATATTAAATTGAGTTTTTTTCGAGTGGTAGGCATCAAAATTGCCACCAACAAGCAGCCGAATCTATTATTAAAAACTTGTGGTAGGGACTTACTGCTCAGCATACTACTTTTTACTATTATTTTGTTACTAATAGGCTGGGGAAAAAAGTTTCTTCATGTTTTGAATGAAGATTCAAAATTTTTTTTAAATTGTTTATTTACATTTAACTAAAGTATGTATACTCCATTCATTATAGCATTAGACAGAAGTTAAATAAGGTATTTTTTATGGTATATTTAGTGACAAAATATCAATAATCATCTTACTCTTAAGACTGACGGCTAATTTGTTACATATCCACTTAAATACCAGCTGCTATACTTAACTGTTGTCATTTAAGCTAACTTTTAAACAAATTTATGAGTCTTTGACTAACTTAAATGATTTAATAACTATTACAATAAAAAGTGTTCATTATAAAGAACCTAAAGAAGCAGGGTTGGATAGTTTCGGCACGATTCTCATGTCACTATAACTCTACTAAATTTAAAACATTGCCTAATCCCTTCAAATGTTTCTGCTGTACAACTTTTTAACTTTGTCAGACTATGATGTATTCATAATTGTCAAAATATGTAATCTGGGATTGTCATCCATTGGGAATGCTACTACCTCTCTTGTTGTTTTGCTGATTATTTCCATGATTAAGTTGTTATTGTTTTATTAGTTTTGTTTTTGTTGTTAAGTTTTGTTAAATATGGACGATGCCGCCGAATAAAAGATGAATTTAGAAAATGCTGACCTTAGATAATTATCTCAATCCCGAGGTATCGTAAAAAATGGAAAATTGCCCACCTCTTTCAGACTATAAACGTTCAAAGTTTCAACAAAACTATAATATATATTTTTTTAATTTATCTTCAAAATAAAATGTTCTGCACTGCTGCTTCTATGACCCTCTTTTTTCTAATGTTATGATGAATGGAGTATAGGTACTGTTTTGTTGTTAACTTTTTACTATCTTATAGATAGGGACATAATCCCATTGCTATAGAAATTTTGGGGCTTCTGATCAAAAAACTGTGACAAGTGCTTTTGGCAGTCCTCGCATGATGTTATACTGACACTGACTAAAGAATTCTGAAGATACTGAAATGGGTGGAAATTTGAAGGTGCAAGGTCAGAACCATACAGGGGATACATACACACCTCCCAGCCAAACTCTCTTAATTTTTTGTTGAGTGGTAAAAGATGTGTGAGGTCTAGCTTTTTCAAAAGCACTAAAACTGTTTTATAGTCATTCCCCAGTTCTTCAGCTACAGTCGTAACTACTGATATGCAGATTTTGCTCCATTTTTTAAACCAAATTTGTGCTACTCTTACAGAAACTGCACTAGATCCATAAACGTCACAATTTTTTTTCAGGTCTTGTGTTGCAAATTTACCTTTTCAGTAATAAAATTTTAAAATGTATTGATTTTTCTTTATTAGATTCACTCATTTTAACAAATTACACATTTTCCTAATCTGACTTTGGGGTTATCTTCTTTAAAATTTAAACTTTTTAATGATACCAAAACCAACCAGATACAAATGGTATAACCAAAAAGATTTTCAAGTATATGCAACAAGAGTTTTTCCCCAACCTAATATACAATATTTTAAACATGTCTCTGTCATTGTCTCTAACCATATTTAGTTTAAAGAATGCCTTTACAAATGCAACAGCTCCAGGTACTCCCCAGATGGGAATATCAATATAGCATTGTTATGTAAAATTTATCAAATATAATAAAAGGTGAAAGTAATGTGCTAAATATATAAATAATATGATTTATTTTTTTACATAAATAGTTAATAAATATTATACAAAGAAAACTCGAGGGTTGATCTAGCCTCAAGTTAGAGAAAGGGGCAGAGCAAGGGCTAGATCCAGATGTCTATAAATTTTAGTTTATTTTTTAGTTTTCAGTACATTTTGTGAAAATGGGAAAACCACTCCTAATATTGTTTGTGAAATTAAGTACTCAATATACTCAATTGCACAAACAATGTTTAATGAGAGCTTAAAGCTTTACAGAAACAATTATATCTGTAATGTCGCTTTAAACTAATGACAATTTTAGAACTATCATTCACTAATAAATTTTCACACTTATTTCAGCGGTTATTAGATGCTGGTGGTTGTGTATCAGATGGACACCACCCAGTCGACGTTGCAAGTGTGCTTAAGTTATACCTCAGATGTTTACCTGAACCCTTGATCAGTGCAGAGGTACAAGATCTCCTTTTGAGATGTAGACTTTCTGCTGGTGAGGATGCACTCAAACCAATACTTCATACGCTGCTGCTTTTACCAGTATTACATGTTCATCTTCTTCATTATATCATGGAGGTAAGAATTAACACCTTTGTTTTCAATAAACCATATCATATTTTATATAATATCATATTTTATATAATATCATATTTTATACATTTTGTTATGGTAAACATTTGCAAATTTTGTAAGGATTTTTTATCACTAACTCCACAATATACCACTGGTCCTGTCTGCATCTACAGTTGTTATCCTACCAGTCTGAAATAGGTCTGCCTGATAAGGTCTCTATTTGACTCCATCCACAGGGAAGCTGGGACTAAGGCATAGGCGTAGGTGCCCCAGCAGATGGAAATTAATAGGATATGCTGATGATATACATAGAAGTCAGATTTTGATTTATATCTATGTACAAGCAAAAATAAAATTATCAGACTGAGGAGTATATTGCACTATTAATGTTTATATGGAGATAGAGTGCAGAATAACAAGTGCTATATTATATTTATTTATTAAAAATCCAAATGACATGCCTAAAAATACTTTGCTTTTAGTTACTCAATTTCATCGCAGCAAGACATAAAGACAATCTTATGGATTCATCTAACTTAGCTATAGTAATGGCTCCAAGTATCATGCCGCTGCCGGCTGCTGCGTCAGCTCAAAGATTGGAGCACCATGTTGCACTTGTTAAGGTATTTCAGAAAAAAAAAATATATATAACTTCAATTTCTTTATGACAATCTGTTCACACAATGAAAGTGTTTTTAGATATTCATCGAAAACTCGCACCATATAGGATTATTAACAGAAGATCTCATGACACAATTAGACGACGATTCTGATGTTTATCTTGCAAGGAGAAAAAAACGCCGAAGTGGGTCACTTAATCGTACGTAAATAATTATTTATACAGTTAAGAATTCTATAATTCAAGTTATTTTATAACGAAAATAAAAAGTTTAAAATAGTAAATTTTATTATCTTGATAAATATACCTTGATAATTATAAAACACTACACAAACTCTTTTTGTACTTTAGGACATGTTATTAAATGGGAATTATCTTTAAATAACTATCAAATTATGCAGGATGGACCTACTAAAGCAAAAAAGAACAAATATTAAAAGACATACTTTTTGCTCAATGTGATTTGTTTTCTATTTTTGTTATTTCAGAAAATGTTGCTAATAACCATTAATAATTATCATTATGATTCTCCCAAAAAATATTTTCTTTATTGCATTTTACAAACCCTGTTTTAAGTTGTAACATTAGACCTACTACTCTTGACATAACTAAACCACCTGCATATAAAAGCTTTAACAGTTTCACTCCCCCCTCTTAGGAGTCTTAAGTGGCCTACGCAAAATGGTCTCTGGAACTGTTAACACACCAGCGACCGTGAGAGAACATACCAAAACACCTGTGCTTAGCAAATCGGCTGCCAAAAGGAAATTTGACAGTTATGAGGGACTTTCTGCGAAAACTAAGTAAGTACATAGTAATTAATTTGTGAGGTTTGTATTGTGGATAAAGTAGATTATCATAAATTATACACCTTCGAATACACACAGTAGTTACCACAATATGTCCAATGTTCACAATTAGTTTTCATCTCTACCCTTAATGCATTAAGGATTGAAATCAAGTAAAGAAATTTGACAGAGTGGTATAGTCGGACAGAATTTTGTTGTATCTGGCGACGCTGTACAATGACGTACATTGTATTGTGAGATTCGTTTCCCCCCACCAGTATCTATTAACATATGTTTTTTATTAACAGGAAAGACATAGCTCAAGGATTACCACAAAAAGAACTGTCCTTCACGCCGCTGAAAATGTAAGTCAAAATCTGTTGTTTTAATCATATTCTACTACATTGATTTTAAGCCTTATAAATAGACCTAACCGTAGAATAAAGTTATATTTGATAAAATAGTCAAATCAGTTTCATAGTTTTTCTAGGTTATCCATTCAATTTAAAGTTAGGAGAAACTGCCCCTACTAAAATTCTGCGGCTAATTTCAACTGTTCCAATTAATCCCACAAGTGGGGCGGGTTAGTGGGGTTGATTGAGTAATTAAAAAGCGAGATTACGCATATATAGCTTTATTCTTTGTATTGGTCAAAATATTTTTTATCAAGGAAAATTAAAATATCTAATATATGAAATACATTTTAAAGGGACTTGACGGAGCGTAAAAGACTGAGACTTAGCATGATGGACGCAAGAAGTACACCTATAATCAATTCCGATTACAGTTCACATAAAAACTCTGAAACCAGCGTTAGCAGTGAAGATTTATTGACTTCTTCCGAACATTTGTTCAGTGCTCATGACACAATCGACTTATCACCTGACATGAGACAAGGGAATAAGGATTATGTTAGGATATCTAAACAAGAGTACGAAGAAATCAAGAGCAGAGTGTCTGCTATTGAGAATAGACTATCTAGGGAATTTACCGAAGTTATACCGAGAGTGCAACCTTTGCAGCAAGTCCAAAATGTTTATGAACAAACATTGGAAGAAGTTGCAATGTTAAACTGCCCTAACTCTGATCACTTAGCAAGGCGTTTGAGCAAGGAACTTAAAATTAGACCAAACGAAGAAGCAAAGATCATTCGGTCACCGAGCGCTAGGAAAATAGGCTCCATACGTCGACGGTCGAAAGAAAATATAGTAAAAATAGTTAGGCACAAATCTTGGAATGCATCATCACATACTCAATCCAGCCGGAACGCAGATAGATTCTACCCGTATATTGGGTTATCGCGTCGAAACAGAATGAATACTGCGAAAGCCGACTTAGCAACAAAGACTTCCACACCAAATGACTGGGATGCTTCCGGATCAGGGGATTCTTTAAATGTTTCAATTGCTAATAAAAAATATCAGCTGCGCAAAAGAGTCAGTCTTGCTTCAGATAATAATTTAGAGAAAACCATTGGCAAACATCAACCGCGAAGATCTTTAAATTTGACTGTAGATAACAGTTGGGATACAAACTCGGAGACGTCTATGAGTAATACGGTGAATTCTAGTACAAAATCATGTAAATCTGGTAATTCAAGGTTATATCAAAATTTGGACAGCCATAATTGGAATAAGACACGTAAACAGAGTCCGCAGAAATGGTTAAGTGCTGCTGCTTTTTTTATGGATAAAACAGGAGAGTTGGATAATACTAGTCAAAGTGGCAGACCGTCAGTTAACAAACTGCGTCGCCAAAATGCTGGCGCCGTTCTAGCGAAAACAAAGTTGTTTGAATCCAGCTCCGACAAATCATCAGAGAGACATAACAAAAATGCTCATTCTGGATTTGCTAGGAAACCAAGATTGAATACGCAAGTCAAACCTGTGAAACTTGTAGCTCATGTCAAACCCAAAATTCAGCACTCAGTTTTACATGATTCAACCCCCAATATTCCTGCAAGGATTCAAAGAGTGGCTGATACTGCTCCAATATTGCCAAATAGGACGCAAAGACCACTAAACGATAATACCAAAGAAGACTCCGAATCTTGGAGACTGCATAGGAAAATTACACCAACGAAAAAGGTAGCACAACCACAAACATCGAACTTAATGAAAACTCCTCAGGCGCCAGTATTAAAAAAACCATTGTGCACTCCAAGGAATATACGTACTCCGTCAGCGATAATCGATTCAAGAAAAGTAAATACTCCTATGAAGGCTATACACATATCGCCAAGAAGACGATCGCCAAGGCAAAAACGTCTGTAAATGTAAATAATGTTATTTTAAATCTTATATAAAATATTAGTGCTTTTATTAAAATAAAAAGGAAAGAGACTACTAATGCCCTGTAAATGCCAATTGCAAATGAGGTGCATACGCACAATTTCACTTTACTCGCCAATAATTTCGATTGATCGTCACACAAACCACGCTTGCGCTTATACCAAAAATAATTGTGAAATCCAGTGGTACGACACCTAAGATAATATCTTATTGCACTTTTGAATTGTTTAATAATAGTTCTAAGACTATAGACAACCTTTGGCTTCATCATTTTTCATTCGTAAGTACACATTGAAGCACATCAGATTACAAAAGGCCAAATATCTGCAATCAATTTTGAATTTAACTATCAACAGATTATAAACGTTGGAGAAATTTGACCTTTTATAGTAACTTAACGTGCTGTCAACTGTACATAAAACATTTCTTTCAATAAATTTATGTACCACTGGCTTGAGTGACGTACAAAGGTATAACTGTAGTTGTGAGTTGTGTTTGTAGGATTTTTTATATTATTTATGTATGAGTGTGTGAAACTTCCCTTTTTATTTAAATCAAAGTTTTAGTGTGATTATAGAAATCGAGTGGCCATTTTGTAAATAGTATTACATAATTAGTAAACTGTAAACTAAAATTTGATTAAAATTAAATTATAAAGTTAAATCATTTACCTTATTTTTATTTATATTCGCCCTGAAACGTAACTAAACAGGGTAGGTTTAGGTTTAGCACCGTCAAAAATAAATTTAAATCGTATGTAGGGTTATTCCAGTTCCTATGAGTGCTAGGAGGAGCGAAAATATCTTTTCTCATATCTCCGTAGAGCCGAGCCAAGCTTCTCACTCTATAAGCTTTACGTAATATTTACCTTATCAACCATATGCCTTGGTAATTTTGTAACTGTTACATAGGCATTAGCTTACGATCTTACACACGTTTTCTTTAAGAGAGAGTGTTTAAGTTAAAGCGTTTCGAGTTAGGGCATCCTTATTTCAACCCTTTTATTTTTTGCGATAAAAACTTACCTATCCTATCATAAGGTCCACTATTATAAATATTTTTGATCCATTTAAGACTCTTTACTGATGCACTGATCCGTATCTGTTTGCTCCGACTGGATCAGTGGATCAGTCGATCAACGTGTTTTGTGGCGCTCACTGATATGAACGAACGAAAGAATGAATTGAGCAGAACTGAGAGACTGTTCGGAAAGATTCGGGCGACATTCGGGTAACAAATAGCAAGTTTGTTCTTCAGTCAATAAATGATGCCTCAGTAGTAAAATCACTAAATTTTTCAGTGTTAATCAACTAAACTTTAACGTCAGTGGTGTTACATTTCGTTCACTTACTTTATCACAATTAGTTAATTTAATAATGGTTTGTGGTAAGACTCAAAATGATTATGATTAAATGATTGTATGTATAAAATAATTCCTTAATAACGTATCAAAATCGTTTAACGTATTGTTTTTGGTAAATCCATGTAGAAAGATAGAATTGGTAATTCAAAATTGTTTAGTTGAATGAATGTATTTAAATCGTGTAATGGTCTCCTGCGTATAGGGCAGTATTGTGGTGACGCAAAGTGCCATTAAAGTTACGAAGAAGAAGAGCGCACTTGTCAGCGTTCAATATTTGTTTATTTAATGTTAGGTACTACCAGAGATGTACAAAATACCCTGTACAAAGTATCTGAAATACAAGATACAAAATACTTTCGCGAAAAGTATTTGAAATACTAGATACAAAATAGGTATCTTATAGATACTTTTTATAAATATAAATACTTTTCTAAAAAAAGATTTGAATTTAAGTTTGTTTATTAAAGAAAGACCACAAAAACCTAAATCTTAGACCAGATGGTTCCAGGGACAAAGTGGATTTTTTAAGCATTTTTCATTAGAAAAAATTTTTGTAAGCTTTTATTTTGTTTTCTGTGTTTGTACTCAAATCTTACAAGCTAAATTTCACCCACTTTTCCTCCGTTTTATTTGTTTGTCAATCACAATGTAACATATAAAAATGCAAATATTTAATACATCAGGTTTAAATTATTTTAAATTTTTTAGTTCCTTTTTAATAATATTTTTTTTTCAATATAGCATTGTGAATGAACATTGCTGAAATATAACAACAAGAATAATTATTTAAATTTTATTATAAAATTATTATTTATTTAAAAAGCTGGTTTTACGTACGACGTAAAATTACGGAGAACTGAAAATTCATTTTTTCCTAGTGAGATGAAGAGAATGGGTAAAAATAAATACAGTACCTACTTGGTTTTTAAAATTAATGGCGTGACTTGTGACGAGGTGAATGTTCGATAGTATGTAACGGAACGTATATTAACTTTTTTTGCAGAACTACCGAAAATTATGCCCCTTTAGTGTGTTAAGCTAATTTGAAAATTTTTAGTAGAAAATACTTAGCTTCTGTGGTTGATTATAGTACGTTGGTTTGAAGACAGGCTTATAATACGTAGATGTACCTAAAAAGACGTAGAGTTGGTATTGCTGGTACTGTTGGTAATGCGCCAGTAGTTACCATCTGATCGGATAAATCCGGTCCCACCCGGATTTGAAGTATTAATTAAGTCTTTATCTATGATATTTCCGTTTTTAATAAAATAAATGAAGCTTTATTTTCTTATTTCTATTAATCAAAGTAATCACCCATGCAATCAATACATCTTTGCCAACGCATTGGTAGCTTAATTATGCCTTCTTAAAGAAATCAGCTGGACGGGAGGCAACAAATACTTCAAAGGCATTTTGTACTGCCTCTCGGGATTTTTTTTTTTCCCGCTAAGACGTTATCCAAATTCTGGAAGAATTAGAAGTCTGTAGGCGCATGGTCTGTTAAGTACGGCGGATGACGGAGAACTTTAAACCCCAGCTCTTGTAACTTGGGTACCGTCAATTGTGTAGTATGAGGTCGTACGTGGTCGTGCAGAAGCAGTGGAACCGAACGATTGACAAAACCTGGTTGGATTTGTGCCAGATTCTCCGTCATTTCTTCACAATACACACAGTAAATCTGCAGTAATGCTCGTCCTGTTTGGTAAGAAGCTGTATAATGAAATCCGCGTTAGACCACCAAACAGCAACCTTTTCGTAAACCAATAACGGGTGGTGCGTTCGTTTATAGTGTTCGCTCTGCAAACGTTGTAATGTTGCGTGCCGTTTTGCTGCCACGATGGCACACATACTCCATAATTACTCGAATTTTTAACTTATCCATGACGACGAAAAATATTCAAATGCATTGAAAACAAAACACTTACTATTGAACAAATGACGATTTTAGAAAAATAATTTGATATTAGTATTATCAGCCAAAAAAAAATATTTGATTTTAAATGGCTAGTACAGCAGAACGGCAATTACATAGGTAAAGACCTAATATTAAGACAGGACTCCGCCCATTTTTTTGTTGTTTCTCAATAAAGATCCCTTGAATTAAATGGTTACTTATTAAAGCAAAATCTACTATACGATTACATCACAGATTGTGTTGTATTTTTGAAAAATAAAGGAGTATTAATTGACGATGTCAAAGAAATTATTTGAAGATTTTTTTCTATTAACAAATTTATTTTTATGACGAATTAGGTGGGTAATTATTTTCAATACATGCAATGACAGCACTCGTTTCCGAACTACTGAAGATTTGTCAGTATTTTTTTGTATTATGCCTCATAATGCGAATATTGATTTTTTTTTTCGCTCATGAATATTAAGTGGTCAAAAGATAGAAAAAGATTAACTGTTGAGTCAATAAAGGCAATATTGCTTTGCTCACGGGATATAATTTCAAGCATTTGCCATGTATCGAATTTCACAGTGAAATTTCTTTAAAAATAAACTTTTTGAATGCTGTTGTTAGTGGAAAAAGTATAATGTGCAAAAAAATAATAAAATTTAATAATGAGTTTAATTGATATACTGAGTTTTTTTATAGCATATAACCGGGTTTTACATAAATCAAGATTTTTTATTGCTTGTAACTGGTTATTCGATTTCAAGCCCTATGCGCCATCTATCAATTTTTACTAGGGAGGGTGTATTACACTGGTATAACCGTACGTTCAGTTCTACGCATTTACTTTTTAAATGACACCAACAATGTTTGGATTCGAGTTATTTTTAACTAAATATTCATTGCGTTGATAATTGAACACTTTCTTTTTGTAAATATGTATGTTTTAGGCAAAGAATGTTTTGTGATATTTATAAAATGTAAGAAATAATCTTTTTATAAAGTATTTTATCAGAAAAAGTATTTAAAAGATACTAAGATACTAAACAAAAGTATTTAAATACAAGATATAAAATACTTCCTAAAAAAAGTATTTTAGATACAAGATGAAAATACGTATTTTGTATCTTGTATTTGTATTTCAAATACTTGTATCTAAGATAAGTCACATCTCTGGGTACTACATACTTTTGTTTTGGAATCCTAGATTATGATCAAAGTTTAGAATTGCAAAAAGCGATTTAATTTTCATGTTTTAAAAATCTTTTAGGGTACTTTTTTTACAGGGAATAAATGACATTAAGCGTGTGCATAGAACAAATTCGTAGAAAATAGTATAAATATTTTGTCCTTTCAAATCGTTAGTCCTAAGCGTGAATAAAGTATGGAGATTTCGATTTTATGTATTTATTTTACTTTTAAACAAACATTCCACATCAAAGGCTTATTTAAAGCATTATTTTTCAAAGACATTCGTAACACGATAATGTGTTTGCTCTTGAATTTATCTGAGAATCGATGATGCAAATGAAGTATTAATTCTTATCTTTGCGCTGATTCAGATGAAATGATTCAATCTTTAGAAGGATACGTTTTTCGCAATATTAATCAGTTTAGTATCATCATACTGTTGCGAAATAGGGACAAAATAGCAGTTACGTAGTTTCGGAGATTAACGAGAAAGTCTGACAACGTCAAAGCTAGAACTCCGTACTTATAATTAATTTCATAAATCTTTAAAGATCACCTTTTCATACATTATTTATCACTCTGGGACATAGCGGCGATAAATGGCTAAAGTATAATATATTTTTTTTACTTGGAGATCATTAAGAAATAATATAGAGCTGCTGATCAGAATCTGCGATAACTTTATACTTGGGGCGCCCATCAATCAACCGCTACTGCGGGCGACCTAGAATACTCGGCGATAAAGTGTGTACCCTAAGCAACTGCACACAAAGGCATTAGCGTTGTCCAATTTCATGATAGTACACTTCTTAAGTATTGAATGCTTATTCCACTTGTTAAATAAATGACTATCGAATGGTGGTGAGGGTCGTGAAATAAAATTCTAATTGATAATATTATATTATGTATATCACGGCTTTTACAGTGGTATTTTCATGTATAAACAAAATATCCAGATTTGTATTTCAATAAATTAAGAACATACTGATAATTCAATAAATAACAATTTTCACATTCATATATATATAAAGCATTGGCGCCACAATAATTTTGATGACATAATAAATGATGACAATAATCTGCACATGGGATTCAACTAAAATAATTCACTTACACATTTAGCGATGATCACAGATTGAGGATTATAAAAAAGCAGATTCAGAACATACCGTGCTATGGAGAGACAATTTAACAATTCGAAACTTGCAATAGTGATTACTGAGTAATTTAGATTTCATATAGCTTATTGGCTAAACTTATCACTATCAGCACTCTGGCCGCTCACACACGGCGCATCCCAGTTTCTTAACATTGCTTCTCGGTCGATATCATTACCAAATTTAAATTAACAATATAATAAAATATCAATTGTACCTAAGATCTTTTCCATTTAAATACGCACATTCGTTCTTAGTTTGCATCATATTATACACAAATGCCGGCGCACGCGCAACGGCCATGATATCCCGAAGTCGGGCGTAAACCCTCTGAGCGTATATAATTCCATAATTAAACGTACATGTTGTGATCAATAATAAAAATATAATGATACAAATACATTAATTGCTACATTTTTCGATTATTGTGTGACATAAATATTTACAAAGCGCATTAGGAGCGCCGAAATAGGCGAGGCAGACTCATAGACGAGATTACGACTGCGCCTGTACGCTCCGGCGTGGCCCAGCGACGCCACCTACCCCGACTAAACACTGCAACGCTGCGCGTATTAAATTCATTAACAATAAATGTTTCAACAAAGACTACTTTGTCAGGAGAGCTACAGGGTAATCGCTCAAAATAAAATTAATTCGTGTCAGTTATAAGAATAAAAATTAACCCTTTCAGTGCACTCCACATAAAAAGAACACAAAATATTGCTGCCGTATTAGAGATAAGGCAATATCGCCCTTACAACGGAGCCCTTTAGACGAGTTTTCACTATGTAATAACATAATTTTAACATGACTATTCTGGGTCAATGTTATATTTTTTTAGATTATGGTATTATAAAGGTAATGTGACTGAATTACGGATTAGCGGATTTTTTTTTATGGCAGCCGCTTTTAGCATTATATAGTAATCAGACGAGACAACTCGTCATTGCAATGAAAGGGTTTGACATAATAATTATAAATAATACAAAATAAACTATCCTGACTCGGTCACCAGATCGAATACTAGTCACTAAAGTGATAAAAAACTACCGTTTCGAGGCAAACATAAAATAATCCTTTCCCTCATAATTACGAAACTATAGTAGATACTATATAATACGTTCCTACATCTTACAAAACGAATAACATTATTCTAAATATCAATGTGTGATCTCTCGATACAATAGTATGATTACAATTTGGGAATGCATAACACTACTTGACAAAATACGTAATTAAGTACCAATGTTTCAAAGAAAAATCTTATATATTATACAGATAGCATGTTGCTTTACAAAAGTGAAAAGTTTTGTCGACTACAAAGCGAGAGGATACTTCCGACAAAATCGGTGGTAGTTGTCGTAAACATACAGGGAAGTAGGGTGGTGGTACCTTACGTAATAAAAATAAATGAAGGGGGAAAGACTCGCCAATGGGACGCGGGCTGATTGCTACCGATAGCTGAAACACGAGACAGACTCTCATATGATCCCGCGGTAAGTCTAGATATGTTTCTACATAAAAAACCTTTATCCGATAATACATCAGAATAGTTAATGTTATCGCAATGAAATTGCATATTTAAGGGAACAAAATTTGAAGGAAAGCCGCCAGAATAACAGCTTAAAAGTGAAATTCTAACTGTACTGGGGAAATTTTGCATATAGTGCTGCTGTATGGACATCAGAAGTTTGTAAATCATTCATTCTACTGTCATCTAACAGACAGTAGAATGAGCTTAATAAAATTGAAAATGTTTAGTCGTCAAATAAAATGATGTACCATGTTATTTTAATCACCTATTGATGCAATTTCATGTGCAAATAAAAATGTAGAATACACTCTAAACCCCTGAGCATTATCATCCCGCAATCTCACATCCAAATCCAATAATTAATCGGCATTCCCTAATTTATATTATCACCCTATTTATTGCAAATGATATTATTGAAAGCTGCCTAGTTTAGTTCTAGGACTTTCTTTGATATCTATCTAAGGATTATTCTCGATAAGAAACAATATTCACTATGTTCAAAGCTCCGATTTCCTTATGATAACGATAACCGGCAGCTCCGATAGTGATGTGACGATGAGGCGGCAAGTTTTCAATTTTAACATAGACGTCGTTAAACAACGTTCGTAATAATTAATTACAATTATTTACAAAGTTTTTGCTATGTTTGCCATCGTTAAATTACAGCCGCTCTTGAATTCTTTTCTAAATAATTTTTTAATACAGCGTTTATAACGCCGACATATTACTATTTAAATAAATTACGAATTCGACACGAAACCGTCGAAAATTATCAAGAAAACTCAAAAATGAAAATCTGTCTCGTCAAACCGTGTCCCCAATTGGATGCAGTTACGCTAATAGGATCCGATACATAATGATAAAAATAGTAATTGATAGACATGATGATTTTAAAGCATTAAATGACGAATAGCTGTATAGTATGAGAAGTAAACAAGCATACTTGTATCTGGCACGAAAATAAATTACAGAACGCGGGAGATTTTTATAGATTTATTAACTGCTCAATGTTAATTAAGTTTCTTGAAAATATTAAACGCGTTATGAATCTTAAGATGGTTATTATTATTTTTTTATTTTTTTTAGTTTTATTTTCGTGCCAGATAATAAAGTCGATAATAATAGAGCCCGGTCGCCGATCGGAGAGAGATTAGCTAGATCTGTAGAATAGCAATAATTTAGCATACGAGTGAAAGAAATGTAGTGCCGGGTCATTTGTCATTTATCGAATTCTAAAATCTGCGATCGAACTGTACAAACATCGAAGCTAGAAACCCAACACGTAGTAACTCCGAAAACTGTAATTGTTTAGCACAAATGTTTAATTTATATATATAAAAAAAAAAACTAATTTCCGTATCAATCAACCTGGTGTTAAACATTTCCATTAGCATGGATGTTCATAACATATAATTTTGGTTTTGCGGGTTACTCCATGTTTGCTTTCTAGCATCAACGACAAAGTTTCGTAAAATAAAGCATTTGAATAGGATCCATTTTGCGTAAGTACTTTTACAACTAAAGTGAGGTTAGGGTGCGTACGGTCGGGCGGTGGGGCTGCGGCGGCGGCGGTGGTCGCGATGGCAGCGGCGCGGTTCAGTTCACCATGAGCGTGTGCGACTCCATGGGCGCGGCGGAATCGTACAGTGTGTCCGTGTCCTGCGTCGGCTCACCCTGCAACTGGCACTGGTTCGACAGTGTCCCCGCGCCGCAGTCGCAGAAGAACCTACCCAATAATCATTACACAAGTCAATTAACATGTGTTCTAAAACAAAGTATTGAAAACACAAAGGTCATTAGTTACATTAAAAATCAATTACTCAATCTTTTTTTTAATGGGGCCACAAACACGTTTCGATCTTGAAGCGCGGGCCGCAAAAATATGTAGGTGTTAAAAAAATATAATTCCAAATGCTGTTACGTATGAAACCATCTTGTTTTAATGAGATTTTTGATACTATGAACACTTTTTCAAAACTTTGTCAAGATCTGGCTTGTTGCTGCATGCTAACCTTATTACATCATCCAGATGAGAGTCTGTAAGTTTGTTTCTGTACACATTTTTTACCCAGAGTTTTACTCAGTTTTTCTGATGGGCGCTACATTTTAAAACTTAGTCAAAGTTTTAAAATTCCAAGTGGGCCAATCACAAAGGCCCGGCGGGCCGCAGGTTGAGTATGGCTGATTAGACAATATACACCAGTACACGAAGCTACTAAAATTGCAGTTATATTAGTTTCGGAATGGGTATAAAACGAGAAACCCGATACTGTATTCATGTACTCGCACATATGTTTTTTCTCAGGGAAACCATGCTGACAAATCTATTTTTAGTAATGCACGGCTAGATAACTACCCACACTGACAGTTAAATGTCGACAATGTAACTGATTTACGGAGGCATTGTTCATTTCAGTAGTCGTACCACTACTACAGACAAAGATAGACGAATGGCAAAGGTTATAATTACCTGTCATGGCGAATGAATTCTACGTCGTGTCCAGAATGGCACGTTTTGATGCAATTAACACAGATCGCATTACGGTCTGTCGTATTACAAGTCTGGCACCTATAAAAAGAAATATAAAATGGGAAATAGTTTATGACTCTTACGTGTCGATATTGACACAGAAATTATGGCAAAAGATATGCAATAATCACCTGTAGAAGTCGTGCATCGGGAAGGACGTATAAGACGAGATTTTATATAAGCACTGCCCGCCGCCAACCGCCTTCTCTACAGCATCTTGGTTGCTGAATATCTTATTGCCGCGTACTAAAGGCGATACGCCCGACGCTAGACACAGTCCACCGAACCGGTTATTGAATATCTGATTGTGCTCGAGGGTGGCGGTCGCGTTGTTAGTGATCTCCACGCCGGCCGCTAGACCGTCGAAGATCCGGTTCCGTCGCAATACTGGATGGCTTTGTGTTGAGATTAGTACGCCCGCTTGCGCGTTGCGAAATATATCGTTCTCCTCCAATACGCCCTGGGGGAATGTTTAATTAATTTTAATACAGCTAGTGAGTCAAAATGAATATGTATATGGTCAGAGCAATCGTTTAAACATTTCAGTAGTTAGGGACCATTTGAGAAATCTGTCATAGGTGATATCTTTGATTTTAAAGTCTTTGGAGTGTGAATTTTATGTAAAACACAGAAATGTAAAATAAAACGAATATATTATTTACCTTTCCTCCATTAAAAATACAGATGCCTCCATCTCGGCCATCAAAAATTTTATTTCTTTTTAGGGTAGGATTGGAATCAGTCTTTATCCATACTCCAGCCATGGCATTATCGAATATTTCATTTTGTTCCAATAAGCCTAAACCCCCGTTGTATACTAGGACGCCACCGTTCTGGCCGCCCCAGATTTTATTGCCTCTAATTACGGGGTTACTGCCTGTTCTGATCTGTACTCCAGAATATAAGTGATTAAATATATCATTATCTTCTAATTTTCCATGGCCATTATCATAGAAATAAACCCCAACCTGTGAAATAGTGGTTTTTATATTAGTACAATTCGAGATTATATTCATTGGGTGTTTAACAAAAGGTTTTTTGACATCTTGGAAAAAAAGTACATTGTCAGACATTTTACTATTTTGTAATTTTAAGAGACCTTGAATACTATATTGCTGTATTTCTTTTTTTATTATGGCACTAGATTACTATTAACTATCGGTTTTAATTTATTCTATGTGAAACAAATTGATATTCAATATATTACATTATGTTGGCAGAGCGAATAAGAACAATTACACAAGCAGAAACTTAACGTCATATGTCTATATTGGCCATATTGAGAAATTTTTCAACAAGAGAATCAAAAATTAAGTTCCTGCTACTAGAAGATGTGATGTGTTTATGCACACACAATACCTTAACATATTTTTTCAGTACTGTATAGCTTGTCTACATAGAAGACACAAATTACATGTACGTAAGTAATAAATAATTGAAGACTGTGTGACTTACTTGTTTCCCCGAGTGTATGCGGTTACGTCGCAGTACAGGCGTAGAGCCTGTAGTGATCCACACGCCCGCTAACGTATTAGCATACACTTCATTTTCTTCTATCAACCCTTGACCCTTCTCGTGTACGTATATACCGCCGTGCTGACCGTGATGGATTTTATTGTGCCTTACTATTGGATCACTGTTTGTGCGGATCTATAATATAAAGTATAATAGTACAAAAAGACTGTATTTATCTAATTAACCCATAAATGGTCAGTTGCACAAAGTCCATTAAGGTTTAATGACGCCTTTAAGCTCTAATGAATGTCGAATTTGTATGAGTAATGTTGCTTTAAACTAATGACTGTTTGAATGGACGTTTGTGCAACTTGCGAAAAGTATGAGGCTAAGTGATGGATTTGCATAAATTGGAAGCAATGATAAATCACTAAGCAAAATAACCCTACATGTACTTTAAATTTTCTTAGATACATAGAATTAGTTTGTGTACACTGTACATGTAAGCTAAATATGGTAAAAATAAAAAAAATCAACTCACTTGAATTCCAGCTAATGCATTCCCATAAATATTATTGTGCTCGATAAGTCCACGTCCTTCTCCGAATATATACACGCCGCCCTGATGTCCATTATATATTTCATTGCGACGAATGGTGGGATTGCTATTGGACGTGATCCAGACGCCCGCAAAGTTATTAGAGTGTATCTTGTTGTCTATGAACTGTCCTAGTCCGGTCTCGTGGACGTATATGCCGCCCGTCTGTCCGTGGTGAATCTCGCAGTGAACCACCGTTGGATTAGCGCCCGCTTTCACTTCAAAACCTGCGATTCTGTTGTTGTGAATATCGTTCGCCTCGAAGTAGCCCTGTAAGGTTTAGAATTTCGATTTAGTTATTCGTCAGTATTTATTATGTTTCACGCTGTAGCCTATAGGTTAAGAGTCAGGAGAGAACATGTACAATTCGGAAAGTTGGTTGTCTGAAATATTTATAGCTTGTGCTAGATCATAAGTCTAGATCGGTATTTCTCACTTCCCAAGTAATTTGGACATATGATTTTGACGGCAAAATAGAATTCCTTGCGACATGACAGTAATTGAAAATATTTCGACAGAACTCTATAGTTAAAGGACGCTAAAACTGTTTTTATTACACAATTTTCGTTATAATAGTGCTATTAATGTTACAATATAATGCATACCTATTTATCGTATCCGTAAAAGGAACAAAAACTCTGTATAAGTTAGTTATCTCTTTGAAATGAGATATATTATATTTAGGCAACCTTAATAATAGCCAAATTAAGTTACTCACCAGTCCATTTTCAAACGTGAATATGCCAACGTCTCGTCCATGGTGTATGTGATTGCGACGCATAATTGGATTCGCAAAATTCTTCACCCATATGCCGGCGAGCGCGTTGCGAGATATCTCGTTGTCCTGGTACGCTCCCTGTGCGTAATCCGTCACGTACAGACCGACGTTCTCACAGTCGCTGATGTCGCAATGTTTTATTACCGGATTAGCGCCTGCACCACTAACGCATACCGCTGCACCCACTGTGATAAATAAAGTACATGTAGCATCTTGGTAATTTGTCAATAAGGGATGACTTATGTTAGAATGTCTACTGTAGATTGCCATGTACGAAGTCTATTTTTGAAAGTTCATGCTTTCAAACTAAAGAATTTTTATCTGTGACACAATTACCGACTTAGCTCATCCGACACACGTCAGTATAATATTAATAGCCGAAATTTGCCATTTTATAGTACATGGTCTAATATAAATCATCCCTAACAAAAAATGATATCTAAGTGTCCTTGTAGACAACTGACACGTGAACGTGAATAATAAAATTCACATTTCTATACTTAAAAAAAAAAAAAGTCACGTGTCTGTTGTCTGCAAAATAGACAGTTTCATATTTACGACATTCCGTTTGATGATGATCTACATCAGCATTGAGGGTTAGCGCTAAGTTAACCTTCAACAAAAACATGTTTTATAAACAGATCAAGTGGACACTTTGGTGGTTGTATATATTGAACACTCTATTATCTGAAATATTTTTTAATACCTGATATTTACTGTCGACTTAATAACATTATATATACGCCATTTTTCGATCAAATTTTGCGGTACTGACACAATTCAAAATTACACGCGTGAAAACGGATGACTTTGGATTATTCTTAAATTATTGGTATCCTCATCGGTCTCTAATAATAATCTTCGGATAACCGAGTTTGCTATATTGTCAATTGCTATAATTAATTTTTTGCTTTGTTAAGATATATGCATAATACAGGAGATGGTATACACTAGAAATGCTAACTATTACAAGTTAGCATTTTGTATTAAAGTTTTTACTGTGTAATAAAATATAATTGCGTAGTTTTAGTAACTTTGGAACCTACTCCATTCATAGGACATTTTATTGACTAAGGCACAACATTCCAATTTCGAGAACAATGTAAACGACATGGTGGGTAGACGTCCTATGCACATAGAATCACATCAAGTTACTATAAAAATGACAAATATACCCAACAATTTCTTAACTTTCCTACTAGCGATGAAAATCGATAGGAGAGATTTTAACTTTACATTATAATGCTAAGAATTTTGAGATTTAAATTACATGTTAACTCCAAGACTAGTTTGATAACTATATAGCCAAAATATTTTTAATGACATCATAGATTCGCCATATTGAATATATTTGTAAATATATAGTCAATGCCACTTGGGTTGATGTAATGTTTGTAATTACACTCTAAACATTCATATTCGTAAAGTCTTTCAAAAGTTCAAAGTTCAAAGTATTTATTTGCTATGAATAGGTATTACAAAATTTTAAAAACTATTGCTATCGCTATTCAGTTAATAATAATTAACATGCAAAATTATCTAATTTCAGGAATGTGTTTATATTATAGTAACATTTTTTCACAAGCCATTCTCGCAATCTTTTTGTCATTAAGCTCTCAGATCCATTCTTATATTGTTCTGGAATCTTATTATAAACCTTGACGCATATGCAATAACAACTTTTTTGACTTAATGAAGTCTTTGGTTTGTATTCCAAAACAAGTCTGTCACTATCTTTAGTGTTTCTAGGGTACATGTCTTTGGCTCTTTTAAATAAATCGGGGTGTTGCTTTACAAATTTAAATATTTCTAAAATGTACATACTGGGCAAGGATAATACACCCAATTATTGAAACAGTGGTTTACATGTATCAAATGGACCTTTACCACATATAGCTCTTATGCATTTCTTTTGGGAAATAAACACTTTATTTGTTGTACTATTGCCCCACAGAAGGAGTCCATAAGATATATTTGATGCGACATAACCATAATAAGCAGACAATGCCACTTTTAGAGACACTTTTAAAGTTAACCGTCTTAGCACATAAACATATCTATTTATTTTATTACAGACCCTCTGAACGTGGGTAGTGAAGTTCAGGCTTTCATTTAATAATATTCCCAAAAATGTCACACTGTCAGATCTTTCAATGATTTTGTCGTTATGCTTCACATTGTTATTATAAGCTAGGCGTCCTTTTATCTTAAAATTAACATAATTAGTTATACATAAATTAACATTCTAATTATGGGCATTAAGATACTGAATTATATTATTGATTGTTTCATTAATGTCATTTTCATAATACTCTAAGTCGTCAAAAGGATTAGATTTAATAATAATGGAAATATCATCAGCAAACATAAAACATTGGTTCTTAGTCACTTTTGGCAAGTCATTGACATAAAACAAAAATATTTTCGGTCCCAGTACGCTCCCCTGTGGTACTTCGAATTTATTAATTTTATAATTTGATCGATCTGCTAAAGCCACATATTCATGTTATGGTGGCATAAAGAAAGTCACATACATACATTAACCCTAAACATAATACTTTGCATTATTTGGACAGTCTCATGTAAAATTAAAATACTCACCAACACTGGCACTCCTTATGATACAGTGATCAATAGTAGGCGAGCAGTTGTCGGACACTTCGAGACAATAGTGTTTGTGATGTTGCATAGTGCTAGTGGCGTCCGGTGAGAACTTGAGCGTCATGTGACCGGCGTACGCTCTGTTCGCACCTTCCGCGAACGTTAATGTGGACTCTGCTTCCCGTTCGAGAACCACTGACTCGGCAACGTTGCCGGTGGCACAACCTATTTACAATATTACAATAATAATAATATATACTTTATTGCATATTACAAAAATAGATTACTTAAGCACAAGGAGGGGAGTGGGTGCAAGGCGATAGTAATAATTAAATATATCCAGATACTTAAGTAATAAATAAGAATGTCAAAATAGTGATAGGAAGTGACTCTTCACTTGAGGTACAAAATAAGCCAAAGCACAAGCTTTCTTTATTGCTTCTCTGCCAGGACCATGCGTTGTAGCATTATGTTCCCTCTGCCCACCCCGCAACTGTGTCAACTGGACGTAGTTACCCAAAAAGGATCCAACCCACAAATTGGTTGAAAATAAGTTAAGTATCAAAATGTCTATTAGCATCTATACTTTCATATATCAAAAAGGCTCTGAGCTGTATTAAATATTTGACTTTTTTTTCAATGGTAGTTGTTATTGCACATCTTTGGTAGTTTCATATTTTAGTTCCATGAAAATGACTCAAGCTTCTTGGATCCAAATAGTAAAATAGCAAATTAAATATATTTCTGTTATAAAAAGTAGCAAGAAAAAAACCCTATTCATGTATAAAAGATGACAAAAGAAGACTAATTTATAAATATGCTAATACAAAATGATAACCAGCATCAGTAATTGAATATTGATAAAGGACAGTCTGTACTGATAAGTGAAAATGATTTCACTCTACTATGGCCAAACGGAAAAGAGATTCCGCAGGTCAAATTTGATGATTTGAAATCTCCCTTTGCTTTTAAGGCAACGCTAGCCTCTATGACGACATTGATGGATTTGGGGGTGAACCGGATTTCAATGCTGAATATGAAATACAAGAAGAGGAAACTTAAAAATGCACTTAGTTTTTAAATGTAGACATATTAACTAAAGTTTATAAGAGTTTCTTTATACATTTATAAATTTCCCCATCTTGTATCATATATTTAACTGCTCAAATTCTTTTATTGATTGCTTGATCTCATATGTAGAAAGATAATTTTAGATAGTAGAATACATTTCACCTTAAGAATTAAAACAATAAATATAAAGAACCTTTTAATAAATAGTTTATATGATAAAATTTTGTCGTTCAGTTAATTATTCTATTATTTCTTTATTTGGATCTTTTTTTAGACTTGTTTTGTAAGAATAAGGTAATTAAAACCTAAGCACATAAAAAAATAATATTAAAACATACTTTTACCTTTAAATTTTAATAAATATTGTTAGTTCAGAAAAAATGACATTATAATAAGATAGTGTTAGTGGTTTTCTATGCTATTTGATAAAAATATAATATGTTACATCAACATGCAAATACAGCTTAAACTTCAATTTTCTTTATCTCAAAAATGACATTGTGTGAGATGGATCCTTTTTGATTAACTACGTTTAACTATAAAAGTATTATTAGCCTTCTTTAATATAATTTTTTTTTAAAATCTAATAATTAGCTGTCTGTCTTGGAATATAATAATATTACACCTTTTAAAAGTATCATTAACTTTCTTTACAATTTCATTACGAGAAGCAGTTGTGAGCAGTCATAATATTTTATATGAAACGCACCAATGAGCTGGACGTCCGTGTCGATGGCGAGACACTCCTCTTGGTAGAGTCCCGCGTGCACGAACAGTAGCGCGGGCTGGTGGGAGGAGGGGCGGCGGCACGTGCACGCGGCCGCGCCGCACGCGCACGCTGCGCCCCCGCCCCCGCCCCCACCCGCGCCGCCACCCCCCGCCGCGCTCCCACCGCCGCCCCCACCGCGCTCCTCCACGTACTCGAGAGCCGCCTACACAACAACAATCACACTTCACATCACGTTCCTAGTGTCGTCTAACCAATGCGCATGCAGCGTCGGCTCAAACTTGGCGCCCTAGGCAAAACAGAAAGACGACTGTAAAAAATGAGAAAAAGTAAAGTAGGTACAAAAATTAAAGAGTGTACAGTAGAGCGTCGATTATCCGAACGTCGATCAACCGAACGACCGCTTATCCGAAGTCCCGACTCTCCCTTCAACAATATTCAATTTCTATAATATTAAATCTGATGACTAATAAAACTGACACCACTTCATCTACTGCAAGTTCAGATAATGAAGATGAAAACATAATTGGTGCTTCAGAAGCGTTTACTTGCTTAGATATTGCCTTGGGTTGGTTTGAAACACAAGTCGAGAACGACCAGTATCAAATATATGTCCTTAAAAAATACGTGACCTAGCCGCTCGTAAACGGGTAAGCTTGCTTCGGCAGACGAAAATTGAAGATTTTTAAGCATTAGTAAATTACACTTAATGCTCTTCGATTTTCGCCAATATTATACTTAGAATGTTTTGTTGCAAATACTTCAGTTTATTTGTTTTTAAATTCCTATTTTTCAATAAAGATATAATTATAAACGTTGATAAAAAATATGTATGGCTATATCAATACAGAAATAACAAAAACAGTTCGATTATCCGAAAAAAACGGTTTTCCGAACACCCCTGTCCCCCAATTAGTTCGGATAATCGACGCTCTACTGTATTTGTACCTATGTGCCTCCGTAGCCGAGTGGTTCGCACTCCGGTTTCAAGGTTTAAACCTTTGAGGGCCCAGGATCGATTACCGGTCGGTTCAATGTAAAAAATGAAGTTTTCGAGATACCCCATAATACAGAGGCTTTAGCTACTCATCTTGGAATCTGAGCAATGTAATGTTGTTTATTATTTATTTATAAAGAAACTCCTTAGGTAATTCTGGTCGGTATTTTTTCTACGAAACGTTAACGTTAGAGCAAACAGATTGGTTTGCCGTTCCGTGCCGCCCTCGTTCATATTTGAGGGGCGCGCCCCCTAAACACGAGAGCTCTAGGCGGTTGCTTATATGGAGAGGCCGGCCCTGTGCGCATGGTGAATCTTTGTTTGCACAGATAGTCACGCATAACACGGTGACTATCGAACATGATGGGCATCAACCAATAGTATATAAAAGCGGCTCATGCGCAAACACAAACGCCCTGGATCAAATCATTTTTCTTTTTTTAAATTGCACACTTTTATGTCTTCATAAATAAGTAAATCAATGACCTTCAAGCTTCCTTTGTTATGCATGTGAAAATGGAAACGAGCCCTTAGTAGTGCTAATAACAGTGTATCGACAACCAATATCTTATGGTGGTCAGCGACAGTCGCCTATTTTTAACCTCGGAATCGTTAGGACATCTCTTCCGTGGCCGATACACTGTTTCTAATCTGTGAAGTATCATGTATAACACAACGAAACGCACATGGAATTGATCACTAAAAATATATTGTTTTCAATATATGTACTTAAACTAATAAACTGGTATTGTGAATAATTTGTGTTCATACTCACACGAGAGTTCCTGATATTATATTTAAATAAACTAATTAATCTCACCCTGATGGTGTTGAAGTGTTTAATTCTCGAGTCCTTTTTTGGACGGTAGTTGGGTCGGACGTGAATTCCGTAGTAAAGCTGCCGGAAGCTCTCCTTCCATGGGTTGTCCGCTTCGCACTCGTCCGCGGGCACGAACTCGAACTGGCACGACGCGGGGTGCATCAGAGGCGTGTCGTACTCGAATACAGATTGGTATAAACTTTTCCTGTTAAGGTTTAACATTGTGCTTTATGAAGAACTCTTATAGGGTAAGATAGCAAGTACACTTAATGCATTTTGATACAAATTTACGAATGACTAATTATCTAATTTTAAAATATTCCCTATCCATCCCTTTCATTTTAATATTCACGATCTTCATGTTACGACTATTTGACACATGATGGATATTGCAAGCACGTTTTTTTTTCAATGCTCAATTAGAATTGTCTTAAGACTAAAGTTTATCATCATCACCAGACTATTAGTTTCCTTACTACTGAGGTTCAGGCCTTCCTTATGGATGGAATAAGCTATGACTCATCACGCAGGCCTATTGCGGATAGGTGGGTATGAGCGACTGCAGACGGGACTAACAGCTTAACGTGCCTTCTGAAGCATGGAGGAGCTCAGGATAATAATTTATAGATCACCCATACGGTGACCGGCCGTATCCGATATGGCGATCCGAAAGTTGATAAACAACCGTATTGCAGACCGAGCGCGCTAACCACTGCGTCATCGACTCCAAGTTTAAGATACTAAGTTTTTATTGTTTCTTATCATTCAAGTCATCATTCGTTCTGAAAGCGATTGCGTCTTTAAACAATACATAATTCCATAAATAGCTATACCATTGGAAGATATTGCAATAGATTTTAAAATTAAGCAATTAGGCCACTGGTCGTGCTTTTGACGTCCAATTAAAGACTTCTAATGATATAAGTACTTAACTGGGTTTTTTTTGTAAACTACATATTTGTGTGATACCTAATAGGAAAAACAATAAACCCAGCTTCATTTCAAATGATGATAATTATTTTAGTTTATCAATTTTGCATTAACAATGCTATATTGATAAATCTTTAATAATAATAATAAATCTTTAATTTGCAGTCCTGTGTAAGGTCTTTGGTAGCTTATCGGTAAGAACAATCTCCCGGACTGCGTTTGGATACCTGGGATTGGTAATTTTTTTAACAATTTTCATTTATGATATTACTTCAAGAATGGATTTTATGTAAGTGACTGTCTTATAAAAAAAGTGTGCCCAGATTTCAAAGATTCAAAGATCACATTGAGAGTTTTCACGATCAATTCACAGATTGATATAGAAAGAAATCCAACTTTCTTGTGAACTCACCATAGTTCAGTATCATTGGCGATAGTGTTGAACCGCTTACAGACTTGAGCGACGCGGCACAGGTCTCGCTCGGTGAGATGAGATAGGATACATAGCAGCACCTCATCAGGCAATTCATACTGTAGATACTGCGACACGTTGCATACGTCCACACCCTGAGACAGTGAGCTGCGTGCGAAACAAAAACCATTTTCATAACTTTATTTTCATTTCTATAATTCTAAGTAAGGGCATCAGATGTCATATAATATTTTATTATAAAGACAATTTTGGCTCATTAAAATAAATACTATTTTTTATATTTATTTGTGATTTACACGACTCCAAGCATCTATGATTCTGCAAAGCAAAAAAATTGTACTCAGTGCACAAATTAGTACACAAAAGTACTCAGAGGTTAATAAACAATTTTTGTCATATACGTACAGTACCTATGTTAACTAGTTTAAGATTTTATTAATAATTTTCATTAAATTTAAATACTTTCTCGTTATTTAAAAGTGCAAAGATTGCAACTTTTGCGTGTTTTCGTCAAAATTAAACACTTTTTGAAGATTTAACTTAATATTATTTTATACGAG